AGAGGAACAGGCGCGCACGTCCAATCTGGACGGCCAGTCGGTCTGTGGGAGTAGGGGCTCGGGACGCTGGCTCTTCGTCGGCATTGTCGTTGATGGGCTGGCTGGGGAGAATGGCCGGTGGTGAGGGCGCTACGGGCAGGGGCGAGAGGTGCTCGACTTCATCGTAGATTGGTTTCCTCTGTATTATTTTCGTATCGCATATTAGAAGCTTGTCGTCTTACAAAAGGAGACGCGAGGCCATGGGACAAACCTTGGGGCCCTCGGCGAAGACGACCGCCGGCGAAAAAGCAATTCCACCCAGGGCGGCAGCGGCCAACGGCGCAAAGGTGCGCTGAATCACGACTCAATTAGCTGACACGTACTGCCGAGCGACATGTTGGATGCATTGCCTACCCGCTGCAGGAGCACTCTTGCGGCCATGATGCAGGGCGAATTGGTGGTCGAGAGAAGTTCGATGATGTATTTTTGAAAACGCTCATGCGATCTTGCCCAGAATCCCGCACTATTCCGATGGGCGGCGCCTGAGAAATTCCGGCCCCGGCGGCTAAGTGGCAGAGATGTTGCCGAATTGGGGAGCTTCTGCTGGACGACGAGCCAATTGGACGCTGATCATTAACTCTCACCTTTTTTATGCTCTCTCTTGTCCTTTCTTTCTCAGACTCAGCTCTCCTTTTTTTGGGCAGCTTATACTGTATCAGTCCCTGCTTTGTGATTTGGCTGATTTCCCCATGCCATATTGTTGTGATGAATATTACCCAAGCGAAGCCGATAGAGTGCGCCCAATAGATTTAGTGACACTGTCTGTCTTCCCTAAATCAACCTGTATTAAAGATGGCTGTATTACCGTATACACATAGATGTCAAGTTTCCAAAATCAAAGTATCATCCATTACCCATATTTAAGAGAGTCTCCCAGCCTATCTATTACATCAAACACGGATTCGTTCGTCAGGACCCGGCTCTCCCCCACTGCATCACTACTTTCCATATCCAGACCCCCCCTAGTAGCTCCTGCTGAGTCGAATGATTCATAACATGAACGTTAGTAGGGGAATTATACGTAATCCACCCGTTATATATACCTAGCCGTTGGGTGTTTTGCTGCTGGGATAGCTTTGCAAATAGTCATCTGATTAGTGGGAAGTTAAATCAGACAGTTGTTCTTGCTCGGTCATTTCACATACTGTTTCACAGCTCGCATTTATAGCTCGTCTCTTTTTATTCTGTTCGAGGACTCTTTCTTTCTTCTTCAACACAGTCAGGGCATCTATTCTGGTGTGGCTTTAGCAAGATATTTGGCCAATTCTCATAGAGGAACTTATAGGTAAAGCGCCATGGCATTTGAGCATCGATGTATTGAGGCCGATGATGCCGGTTCTCAGATAAATCAAATACATAAGCAACCAATTTCCAAGGAAGCACTGTAATTAATCTACAGGAGACCCAAATCTATGGGGTGGGAACAGATGATGAAAGCATCCCCAATGACACGACAGACTGCGTCAGTCTGGTTACGAAGAACATGTACGGCAGAAGCCATCAGCCCAACTCAGTAGAAATGGTTCTCTTTGCTTACGAGAGCTTGATAACCTTGGTCAATATTGCTTACATCGTAGAGAGTGGAGGCCTGGGCAACAACTGAGCACGAGATCAGCGATCACTTCCGTGTAAGTGAACTGCCTCCGCGGAACAATGAGGGGTCTTGGCATGCGACAAATGGACCCCAGTAAGTCCATTTGGAATGAAAAAATACCGCTATTGACATGTTAACATGCCGTATAATTCTTAAACATGTCTATAAACTCAATCAGAATCCCTTTGTCCATTAGATCTGCTTCATCCTGAGCCAATCCAGGCTGGATGGCCGCACACATCGGCTTTCGGGATCGCGCAGGTACATCTTCAAGGTACCGCATGTCGCAACTCCGAACTTCGGTTCCCACCTTGATTTTTTCTGCCTCTTTATCACACTTTCGACTGCAATTGGGATCGCCCTTGCCTCGAATTCCGCGCATGATGCTATGAGGACGTTTAGTTCTTCGCATGCCACCAACCTCCGTCTTTATCCCCAACACTAGCAATGCTCAACTCCGGGGGCTCCCGCCTCCGGGTCTGCACCCGATGCTGTCGTCGCGTGATCAAGCCCAAGCCGCATATTCGATGGGAGTCGAGCGCCTCTGCTGCTGCTGCCTCTGCGACGCCGGTGACTGATTCTGCGAAACTGCCGGCCGATCACTTCACAAGCTCTCGACATGACGATGCGCTACTCCGCGAGCTGTTCGACGCCCCGTCCGGCCGGACGTTTGCCAACTTCAGCCTGAAGAAGAGCCAAGGGCTGTTCAAGAACCGCTACCTGACCAGCCCAGAAGGATTTCTCGTCTTCGCACAGAAGAACCTGCAGAGGGCAACGAGGATCGTCCACCGAGTGCTCGCCGCTTCGACAACCCGCGAGTACCAATCGCTGGTCCGGGACCTCGACCGGCTGAGCGATTTGCTCTGCCGTGTCCTCGACATGTCCGACTTTGTTCGCATGACGCACCCTGACGTGCGCTTTCAACAGGCCGCGGCAGATGCCTGGTCCATGGTGTACCAGTACATGAACCAGCTCAATACCATGACTGGGCTGAGCGACCAGCTGGGAGAGGCCATGTCCCGTCCCGAGGTTACCTCGACCTGGTCCGAGGAGGAGAAGACAGTGGCAGAGCTGCTCAAGCTCGACTTCATGAAGTCTGCCGTCAACTTGCCCAAGACGGCCCGTGACAGATTTGTTGAGCTATCCTCACGCATCAGCGACGTCGGTTCGGCGTTTGTCCAGGGCATGGAGCCGGAGCGGAAGGAGGTGACGCTGCCGTCGCATCGCTTCTACGGCTTATATCCCGGCCTCGCCGCAGCGCTCAAGGTTCGGTCCAACATTTCGGTCCCCACCACCGGCTCCGAGGCCGCAGCCGCCCTGCAGAGCGTGTATGACGAGGAGACTCGCAAGGAAATCTATCTCGCCCAGCGGAGGGCATCCGGGCGGACCATCAAGCTGCTGGAGACGATGCTCAAGCTGCGGGCAGAGCTGGCGAATCTCGCCGGCTTCCAGAGCCACGGACACATGGCGCTCAAGGACCGCATGATGGCCAAGTCGCCCGCTTCAGTGATGCAGTTTTTGCTTGCTCTGAGGGATCACAACGCTCCCATAATTCAGCAGGAGCTGAGCGAGTTGACGCAGAAGAAGCGGGAGCGGCTGGCCATGCAGGACGCCACTCTCCAAGCGTGGGACAGAGACTTTTACATGGAAAAGATTCGAGCCGAGATGCGGTCTCGGGTCCGCTTTGACGATCACTTGACGGCATACTTCTCCGTCGGTACCGTCATCCAGGGCCTGTCACGTCTCTTCGACCGTCTCTACGGCATCCGTCTCGTCCCGCGGGAGACGCTCCCGGGCGAAACTTGGCATCCCGACGTCAAGCGGCTCGACGTCGTGTCCGACAATGGCGGCCAAGTGGCCGTCCTGTACTGCGATCTCTTCTACAGGCCGCAAAAGTCACCCAACCCGGCCCACTTCACCGTTCGATGCTCCCGCGAGATCCTCCCTGACGAGATTGACGAAGTTGGCTCCGACCTCAACGGGCCCAACATGCCTGCTTTCGAATCCGCCGAGCAAGCCGCCAACGACGGCATGGAGACGTCGTCTTATGACGGCACCCTGAAGCAGCTGCCCACCATCGCCCTCGTCTGTGATTTCCCCAAGAACGACAACGCCAAGGAGCCCGCTTTCCTGTCCTTCTATTCCGTCGAGACGCTCTTCCACGAGATGGGCCACGCCATCCACTCCATCCTGGCTCGCACCTCGTTCCAAAACGTCTCGGGCACCCGCTGCGCAACCGACTTCGCCGAGCTCCCCTCCACCCTCATGGAGCACTTTGCTGCCGACCGCACCGTGCTCTCCCTCTTCGCCCGCCACTGGAAGACGGACCAGCCGCTGCCCTACGACCTCGTCGCCGAGCGCATCCGCGTCTCCAAGCGCTTCGAGGGCATCGACACCGAGCACCAGATCCTCCTCGCCATGGTCGACCAGGCCTACCACGCCCCCGACGCCGCCTCCCTGGGCTTCGACTCCACCGCCGCCTTCCACGACATCCACGCCCGCTTCGCCCACGGGCCCCGTGATCCCCCCGAGACTCGCTGGCAGGGCTTCTTCGGCCACCTGCACAGCTACGGCAGCACCTACTACAGCTACCTCTTCGACCGCGTCCTCGCCGAGCGTGTCTGGCGCGTCGTCTTCCGCGCCGGCGAGGACGGCGCCGCCATCGGCCGCGACAACGGCGAACGCCTCAAGGAGAATCTCCTCAAGTGGGGTGGCGGCCGTGACCCTTGGACGTGCCTTGCCGATACGCTGCAGGACGACCGCCTGGCTCCAGGAGACGAAAAATCCATGGCTCTCGTCGGCAGCTGGGGGCTCAGGGATGACTTACACCACGGTTAACGGAATGGCAGGCTTATCAGATGGTAAATTGAAACCAGAGACTCCAATGGGCATGGTCAGGTATGAATAACGAGGGCCAATGATTTATCTGGCGTTAAAAGGGAAGAGCATGACGTATATTCGCTTCAATTTGACATCAAGTCGGGAACGACATGTCAGTTAGACCACACCCCTTTCCCATAGAAACATCACCATAGAATTGTTTGTGCTATTAAAATCAAAATACTTTATTTTTCTCAACAAAAACTGTCGAGCCATATCCTTCTATCTATGGTCTCGCGTGCAACCCTTGGCTGAGGCCTCATTTTGTCCCAGTCCTTGCCCATCCCAAAATCACAACCCTATCAGCGCCACACAAAGCACAATGCTATAGACAAAACTCCAGACGAATTCAACATCGAACGAATGGGGTATAATATACAAAAGTAATACAGCGCTAGCAGTTGCAAGAATTCATCAAATGCAATTGGTTTTTTGTCTTTTTTTTTCTTGTTTCTCCTTTCATCGCGATCCAGCTTCACCGCGGTATCTAGATGGTCTGCGATAATGCTTGCTGAGATGCCGGGATGCCACCCATCATTGTGAGCTTAGAAAGCGACAATGCTGCGTTAGGTGTGCTGAATGGTAAATCTGCATTTTGACCTTCGTCGCTCAGCGTGGCAAATGATTCAGGGTACTCCTCTTTGTCGCCAGCTTCGGTACCAATGCCAGAATCTTCATTGTGATCTCTCTTATAACTCAGGCCACCATCCCTTGTTACCAAGCCTCCTCTGGTGTCCCCAAAATCCAAAACGGACGTCTTCCCAAGGGGGTGAGATGCAACGTCGTCTTTCGTTTGGGCTGCACGAGTGGTAGACAGGCCTTTGGAAAGGCGGCTAACCTGTCGGCTGAGTTCCATTACTTGCGCCTCTAATGCTATCCGAGCAGCGCGATCATTCTCCATTGTTGTTAGGAGTGCATTGTAAGTTTCGTGATCCATGAGGAATGATCCTGTAGGCAGGGATTTGGAAAGCATATTGGAACCTGTAGGGAGGCTGGACGCAAGCGCTGGTCGCTCCGGGGTAGCAAACATGGGCTGCTTTGTTGCTTGTTGGCTTGTTGATCGAGCATAGATCGGAATCTCGCCAAACGAGAGTCTAGAGGTCCCAGAAAACTGAGCAGAGGAATGAGAAGATGGACGAACCGCCGTTGCGAAGGTAGACGACCATACAGGTGCAGGTGGCGCCAATTTTTCTGAGGCATCGTCTGGCAACCCAGAAAATGGAGACGCTTGACGGGCATGCGTCAGAAGCCCCTCCACCAGGCTTAAACGATTTTCAACTTGGCCAATCCGCGTCTCAAGACCGACGGCGTCTGTGATTTTCATGCTCGTGCCGGCAAACTCTGTCATGTACGGGATGTTACTAAAGGTAAAGGGCTTTACCGGTGAGTCGATTTCATCCGGCATCTCTGCCTCGTCATCTGCCTTGGACTCATCGTCTGATTTGTCGCTGATGAAGGTGGCCCGATCCTCGCCATCTGGAGCCGTTGATGATAGAGGGGACGTGGGATCTTGGTCGTAGCTTTCTCGCCATCCACGAGGGATCTCGTCGCTGCGGCGCCGTGTGATGCTAGGGGCGGGGGTAGAGTCGACTAAAGGAATAAATGACAGGCTCCTGGACCGGCGTTTAAGGCCTGTAGTAATGGCACGGCCAATCTCTTCCGGGTCATGGCTGTCATCAACCAGCCTGCTTCCCCAATCCTGAGTGCTGGCAGGACGTGGAGTCAATCCCGTCGGCTTCACCCAGCGTGCACTGGCCGGGTGAGCATCACTACCGGTTCCGGTGCGCCTTCTGTGGTGGCCACTGTACTCTGTGTTGACTGGGCTGCGCGCACTCCGGATGGCCAGCACATCCTCGGGACCAACGGAATGGGACCGTAACGCCCGATCATATTCAGAAATGGGAATGGATTCAGACACTTGCGGAGGTGGGCTCTGAACAGGGGCAGGATTGTTGGCGAGATCCTGTTTGCTTGCATCAATATACTGCTTCCAGCGAGTTGTTTGCGACTCTCCCAGCGAAGTGAGGGATGCACTTACACTGTAATGCTGGTTTTGTCCATCCTCCTCTGAGCCTGCAGAAGCCAGGCCCGTCTTGGGCCGGGGCCCCTTTTTGCGGCCGAATATTTTGCTAAGTGCCGTTCGGAGAACTGACCGAGATCGCTCAGGTGTGAAAGAGATGCGGCGGCGAGCGTACTCCGCTGACGGTCGTGAGATGTCCATGGAGGGGTTGGCGAGGTTAACGTGCTGAGGTATGTGCCCAGAAAAGCCAACTTCTTGTGGTCTCATGGCCAGCTCCTTGTCCAGTGAATCTGGTATGGGAATAGGGCTTGAGATTTGGGCCCGAATTATCCTAGAACTGGTCTGAGAGCGAACTTTGGGGTTGTTGTTGTTGATGGCTGCAGCGCTTGATGACCGGGGCATGCCTTGCGGAGAAAGCGGTGTTGAAGATGTTCGGGGCATCTTTATTTGCAATGATGTTGAGAAAATAACACGAAATGAAGAAAGAGTAAAGGAAAAAGGAAAATAAATAGATGGTAGTTTTTAAAAAGGAGAAGAGATAAGGTTGAATGAGTGTCGAGAATTGTTTGGGAGAGAAAGTACGGATGACGACGGTGAGAGGCTTCAACGGCGGCAGGAAACCGTGGGTCCCGAGAGTTGGTTTTTTTTTTTTTTTTAATTTCTTTGTCGTCGTTTGCTCAGGCAGGAGCCCTCGGGCCAGATGATGGAAGCTTCGGATTCCCCGTCTTCTGTTAATGTCAGGTTTGGCGCCAGTGAGGCTGGCTGACCATGTCGGTTCGAGCAGAGGCCGTTCTCAGTCCTCGGTTCTTGGTTCGTCTACCAGGCTACAGCGTTGCGATGAGAATAAATTGGTCCAGGCGTTTGTCGAAGCGCCCTGTGTGGTAACCGCGGGGCAGAACGAAACAGCAGTGGCAAGAGATCAAAAGGAAATATCACAATTAAAACGAGGGACACGAAATAACGTCAGTGCGATCTGGCCAACGGCGCCATGGCCCAGTCGCTATAAGAAAGTTGTAAAAGTTGAAGTGCCACAAAGGTGTATGGAGCAGCAATGAGATCGATTGCTCGCGGCCACGGCCGGGGCGAATTCCTTTGTGTAATAGGCCTTGGGAAGACGGAGGATGAAACACGATGGCGCCCTGGCCGTATTTTAACGGAGCCCCCAGATGGCCCCGAGCTGCAGCCAAGCTAGCGAGGGATTGGGATCGAAGCAGGCCGAGGCGCATAGCTTGAAACGCCCAGGAAGGGCAGGTCAGAAACGCGCTATCCGTGGTCAAAGAGCCACCCAAGATATGAAGCGTATGGAGTACGGAGCACCGGTATCAGGACGGCCGCTTTGGTTCCCTCTACGGAGGACTGGGGTAGCAATTCCGTACCAGGGCCCGTCCAAGTACGCACATGGCATCTTGGGTACACTTGGTACCAGCAGCCGTAAAATCTGTAATGCAATACGGCGATGCTGGGACGCTGCGCTACCGTGCTTGTACGTACTTTACGGAGTATGGAGTACGGAGCACAAGCACAAAGCAGTCGCGTGCGTGGGAATATGGCCCTCACCGGATCCAAGGATGATGCAGCAGCGATAGCCAGGCCCCCCCCCCCCCCCCCCCCCTCTGCCGTGGATTGGATTGGAGTGCGCTTCAACGGAACGGCCGAGAAGCGGCACACGAGCGTACATGTGCAGATGCAGCAGGCGAATCAATGGTCGGCGAGCAGTGCCTCTTCATGGCCGAGACTAGCAGACTGCATATGCATATCCGATGACGACTGGTGACTCTATTTCGACTGGCTGGCTAGTCGTGGCCGCAGCAGCTCGAAACGACTCATGATTCCCCGGTGCGTGCATTTTGCCCAGCAGGGCTCTCCGCCAAGAGATGCCGGCCACGTTTCTCGCAGGGGAGGGTCCATGGGGCCTCGAGATTGGACCGCACTCCGACGACAAAGAAAGGGGCTTCGCGGCGGGTGCAGATTCGGTGCGCTGTCGCGGAGCCTGGAGCGGCAGCATGGCGATTTGCACAAGCACTGGTCGGTGCCAAAGTCGGCGGCTGGACAAGGCCTCCTTGCTTTACAGGTACAAGAACTCGTACACGTACGAATGCTTGTAAGCGACCAGACACGAACGACGCCGGGATTCCAATAGCGCTTGCGGTAGCAAACGAGCTGTTCCAGCAGTTACTCGTAGTCGCTCAGTAGCTGCAAGGACTAGTAGGCGGCTGAAGCCGACGGGACTGCATCATTGACAGCCTATTGAGACCAGCAGAGCTAAAGCTGCCACTAGTGGAGGTGTTGCGTGCGTTGTGGCTTGCCAGCGGGATCAGCAAAAGATGACAAGATACAAGTAAGTACTCGGAATGCAGGGAGAGGCTGGGAGGAAATGAAGATGAGAGACGATGATCTGCGGAAGCTTCGATGTCGGTGGTGAATCAGTTAGGTGGTATTATTCTGCCGATGCTTAGGTACTAACCCAGGTAGGTACCTACCTGTAACTACAAGGTGCTGCTAATACTGCAATAATGCCCTTCACCACAGAAGGCGCAAACAATCACCGAGCTAGATAGAGCTGTTCTTGCCAAAGATGACAAAAGTGCCTTGCTTCACCTTGCGGGATTACAAATCTGCTCGTACTCACCTCCAGGTACCCAAGGCAGCAAAAGATACAACTTGCAAGTATTTCCGGATGCCCTCAAACTCCATTCCAAACTCCGCCACTGCTCAATTTCATCGCCTCTGCCTATCATTACCACCAGCTGCTAATACGAGTTGAGCGCTATTTACGGTACCTGCAAGTACTCGGCCCGGCCAGCCAGCGGCCCACGGACTAAAATACAGTTCAGGTACCAGCGGACAGCGGGACAACACCAGCGTGTAAGCAAATCGACTCACAAATTGCCGCCAGGGTGATGTGACAACTGACCAAATGAGCCGCGCTACCGTGCCAGATTGCATGCCTGCTTCGTGTCCACCAGCTGCCAACGGACGTCTATCCCTTCTTCGAGGCTCTGCTCCGAGCGGTTGATGCCCGAGGCGCCGGCCGTTTTGTGCTTGAATTCGCGCGAGAGGTCCATCACAGCAAAAACCTCCCCGGGGACCAAGCAAAACGAGGCCCCTTGTCAGACCACAAATCTCCAGGTGGGTTTGGCTCTGCCTTTTTGGCGTTTCCAGAAACCCAACTCAGCAAAGTGCTTGGCAGCCGCATAATGGCCCCCAATGTCTCTTTTGTTAGCCCGTTTCATTTCTCTGTTTTCCCATTGCTTCTTCCTTTTCCTTCTTGTTTCCTTGATCATGCGGACACCCGAGCCGGGGCCGCTATCCGACTTAGCACTATGCAAAGCATAAAGTAGCAGCCAGCCCTGTTGCACTGGTCGCGCTGCCCAATCGTTTCAGGCCATTCTGGAGATCTGGACCAGGGGGCGGTTGAAGCGTGTGGTTCATGCGCAGATCCGCGTGCTCTTGGAGCCTCTTTTCTAGAAAGAATGCAAGGGAGGGCTGTGGCTCATCTCCCCTACCACGCGGCGGCCATGCTCTTACTAGATGCTAGCTTGAGATTGCGGCGTGAATCTTTTGTTCGTCCAATTGTTCACAAATGTGGACATAGCTGGCGTTGCTTATATTGCCAACCTCGCTCTGTTGAGGTTGACAGGCGGACAGGGCCCAGGTTCCCTTGCTGAGAGGACACTTCTGCTAACCGACACGATATGTCACCGGCTTTGGAACGATTGGCACGATTCTCGAGAAAATACCGGCTTAAGCTAGAAGCTGTCGGGCATCATTTACCGAAACCCTGTTCGCAGTCATTTCGGATACCAGCAAGTCATAGAACCCGCGCCTAGCACGAGAGCCACCCGAATCTTGCTTGGAATGATCGATTATTCCCAGATCCCACCTCATACCCACGACTGCGGTAGGAAGCATGCGCACGCACGCACGGTTACACGCAGGCCGGATGTTCGGATGAAAAAGCTGCTTGGGTCTTCTCCATCCAAGATTTTGACAGCAAACAGGCCCAGTGTCCGTCGGAAGCAGGAAAACACCGCCCGCCGTCGTATTGCAAACAAATGAGCCACGTGAAATTAACTCTAATCTTAATCCAGCGTACGAGTTATCTACACGTAACCGCCGCGCCGGTTGTCCAATGTCACCTTGGTTATCTAATCTCCTTTTTTGACATGACCTTGAATGTACTACTCAGCAGCACGTCATGTCAGTAGAGAGCTATCGAGTGCCGAATTATGATGCTGCGGCTGTAGAGAGCATCATTTCCGAGCCATCAACGGCTTATCCCTTTTCGTATTCTTTCCAGTGGGATGGGTATAATCTAATTCTTCATTCACTCTCGGTTAACCTCTGCAACATCAGGATACCTCAGATCGGCATTCTCTTCCAGAAATTCCATCCACTTTTTCAAAAACTTGCTCCCCCTGAAAAAAAGCAAAGTCAGCATCTTTCTCGTAGAGCAGTAAAACCCAGTCGAACGCACCTCTTGACCGTCTCGGAGTCTCCAATGACGGTTAATGACCGCTTGGGGCGTGTCATGGCAACTGTAATTGGGGTCATTAGCATGTGAATTCTCGCTTTCCCCTTTGCTTATCCATCTCTTTGCTCGCAATAACTAAATATAGGAAAAGAAAAAGAAAAGAAACATCATGCTTAAGCAAGACTTACCGTTAAGTCGTCGCTTCTCTCCCAGGAAGCCCACCTCGCCGTCAGGGTTGCTTCGCACAAGGCTCACAATCACAGCCTCCTTCTCACGCCCCTGAAAGCCATCCACACTCCCAAGTTCTATGCCCGGAAACTTTTCCTTCAACGAGGCAAGCGCAGCTAGCTGATCTCGCCAGTCAGCATTATTCCAACACGTATCCATCTTCATCTTGTAGCTCGTATAGGGGATCAAGCTCCCAAGAAACGTACCTGTGCATTGTAAGGAGTGACGACGGCGATGTCCTCGGGTCGAACGCCGGCTTCGACCAGCTGCTTCACATGCAGGCGAACCAGCGCCGCTTCCATCTCGTTACTCTTACTCTCGCCGTGGAGGCTCCCCTTTTTGGGGTTCTCTTTATCGTCATCTTCGTTGCGCTCCGGGAAATCGCCCCCCTGGGTATCGATGAAGATGACCGGCTCTGTCGTGTCTTCGTTATTCTCAACGTCATACTCCAAGTCTTTGAGCAGTCGTGCTTTTACCGCATCGGCCGCTATAAGTTCCGAGTCATACAGCTCATCGGACGGGAAGCGCATAATCTTCTCATGCATTCTATATTGCGTTGTAAGCATGCGCTTAATAGACGGCCCATGAAGAGCCAGAAGTCGGTCAAAGAGAGTTGTCTCAAGAGTCATGCCCCTGATGACAGGCGCCGCATTCTCATCGCCGCCTTTACTCTTTACCTTGACCTTTGAATTGAGAGACTTGATCGTCGGTGGCAGCTGCAAATGGTCTCCAGCACAGACGGCCTTCTTCGCCGACAGCAACGGAACCCAACATTGTGCCTCCAGGGCCTGACTGGCCTCGTCAATGATGACCACGTCAAACTGCTCGTTCCTCAGCTGGAAACCTCCTGCTCCATGAAGCGTTGCGAGGACAACCTTGCTGCCGCCAACAAGATTGCTAACACACCTCCTCTCTCTCTCCCGGTACTCCTTGCGTAGCTCCTTTAAGTCAGTGTAGATAGCTTTCCGCTCCTTGCCGCTCTTGGTCTTCTTGATTGATGCCTGCTTTGCATCCATCTCAGCACGGACATCCTTGACTATTGCCCCAGCCTCAGAGGTTTGCGTGAGAACATCCAGAGAATGGTTAAGAACGGATGGCAGGAGCCTAGCAGGATGACCCAAACGGAGGATGGGTATCTTGTGTGGAGAGAGTCGTTCTACAATGTTGTCAACAGAAATGTTGGACGGACCGCAGACTAATATTCTCTGATCACGCTTGATCATTTGCAGAATCAGCTCTATCAGCGTGTGAGTCTTGCCTGTCTAAGCTCGATCAGCATCGTCAAAGCACCTCGTAAAGAAAAAAAGCAGCCAGCCGTAGCTTACCCCAGGAGGTCCATGAATGAGAGCCACTTCCCGAGAGGCCAAGGCAAACCGGATGGCATCCTTTTGTGAATCGTTCAATGTCAGGTCTATCCATTCGATATTTCCAACTTCGTCACTTGCCGTCAAATCTTGCGGCACTGGCGAAGGACTCGAAAGCCCAAACAGCACTCTGATAAAGCTCGAGTACTCTGCCTCTCCCATCTTCTGTAGCTTCTCCATCGTCTGGTTCATGCTGGTAGCTGTCAGCTCAACATTCTCGGCTTTCGTTTAGTCTCGTTCTCATTACCGTCGATATGTAACCTCATCCGCCAGCTTCACCATCCAGACTCGTCCCGCAAATACAACCTCATCTTTGCCTTCATCCAGTGCAACATTCACAGCCGCCCTCTGCACTTTCGTCACCACGCCTCTGGCACCCTTCCTCTCAAGCTCCTTAACCTCCCTCTTCTTTGCGCTTCCCGCGGGCTGCTCTGCAACCAGGACAATGTCCCCCGTCCGGATGCCATGTTCGGGCAATTCTCCCGTGCTTGACGTTGCGCTATTAGGACTCAGTTCCAGTACCGTCTTGCCTCCCAATCCTGTCCTCTGTGAAGAGATGGTCAGATTCGTTATGGCCAGGCCAGCTCGCTGTAGACCCGTGGGGCTGTGATTAGAGACGAGAGAGCTTGTTTCCTGGATCTCACTCTGCAGCTCTTGATCCAGAAGCGCAAGTTGAGTCGACGCAAAAGAGGGAACGTCTATTGGTTCCTTGGGCGACATCGCGAAATGTTGTAGTGAGCGGCCGTTGGGAGAGAGACAGCTCCAAATGTTAAGTGTATGAGCTCTGGTTGGTGACAAAGCTTAAAAACCCCACCAAAGCAATGACCTACCACAGCTCACCGATTCTGATCGATAAGCCGACCAGTACAATGTCACGATTTTACTCGAAAGTGCACAAACTTCGATACGAATCAATGGGTACGATGTCAATATTCTGTAGACGGCTAGTTGCCTTGATTTTCTCTTCCGAATTCAATTAGTTATCAGTCAAGAGATTTCCTCTATCCATTGCAAATGTGCACCTGATGCAGGCTTGATCCAAACATCTACCCTGCAAAGACCAAAACACCAAAATCCATTATCACATGCTTTATCCCATGCTATCCTTAAATCACAAGTACCAAGCCCGTGAGCCATTCTTTATCCCAAAAAAAGGGGGGGCAAAGGAAAATCAAAAATTAAAAGCCGGCGATTCCTTAGTTGCTCAGCGCCTCTATGAAGGGCGTATGACAATCACCACCACCAAGGACAAAATCATGAGCGCCAATGCCACCAATGACATGATGATGATGGTCCCTCGGCTTGCCGGGAACTTGCCCTGAAGGATCCATTCCTGGGCATGGAAATACCGTCTGCAGCCAAGAAGCAGAGTCACAATGCTAATGGCGAGGAATGTCGCACCCAATGGGCGTCCCATCTTTTGTAGTCTTGTGTGGTCGAAGTCGGAGGCAGAGGCGTTGTCGGTGTTGAGGCGGAATAGCTGCGTCACGGCGACGCCAATCGATGCGAAGGCGAGAGAGGTTCTAAGCCATGCTAGAAACGTGCGTTCTAGATAAAGAAAAAAAGAAAGAAAATCAAATGGTCAGCTAATTGGTTCCCCCCCGAGACATGCAGCTCAGCTGCACGCCGTATTGTGACACTGTGAGGAATGCGACATACCGAGAGCCAGGTGATCTCTAGCCACGCTTCCCTTGTTTTCCAACTGAAGCGACTGAAACTTGCGAAAGGTCTCCTTCGTCCATGTCGACTTTGTTTTTGTTGGTGTTCTTGTATCCTCCGAGCCGGAGACTCCGTTTCGCTGCCGCAGAGAGTTCTGGCCCTTGGCATGGTTCTCGGGCTTCTTCGCCGTATCGCTATATGAAACTTTTCTCGGACGGGTTGCTTCGCTATCCTCGCTCGCCGGTACGGTCTGGTAGCCTTGCGGAGTCCCTCTTGGACTCACTCCGGAGGCTCCATAGTTGGGGGAGGGATTGCGGGAAGAGCCTTTCTGAAGAAGACTCAAGGAGGCGGGATCCATCGTTTCTGCTCGCTGTAGAGCTGTCTGCATTGTCGTCACGATTGCTGTTAGCGACATGTTCTTATTCTGTGTATCAACGACAGCGGAAGAATAGGCGGTATTGCTGTAGCGAGTAGCGCAATCCTTATCAGACGCCTCAAACTCGGTAACAGGCGGTGATGGAGGTGGAGGAGATGATGGACCACGAAGATGGGGAAACACGCACAAAGGCGCCCGCCTTTAAGCAAAGGGTTCAACCAAAAAGAGGGTGGCCTCGTCTCACCTCGAGAATGTCATTAATCCGCTCGTCTGTCGACTGACGGCGACGCAGGTCAGCCCTTGACAGTGTCTTCTTGGGCAATGCCACCGCAGAGGCAGATGCGTCAAGCTCGTTGGCCTGAGGGCGAGAAGCCATGGTCACGACCTCGACTAGGGTGCAGTCTCACTTGACTCGGCAGTACTCCTTGGAACTGAGTGCCACAGCACATGAGCACAAGCACTTGTGGGGGCGCAGAGCGGCGCATTTAAACTAAGGTTTGGTTGCGTGATTGTAGTTCAGAGTGGCGGCACAGCCAGATGGTGGCGAGGATGGAAGCATTGCGCCCGAGCCCAGAGACAAGAAGAGGAGCAGAAAAAGGAATTAAAAGAAGGTAAATTGGCTTCTGCGCGGTATAGATAAGGTAAAGTAGTTCATGTACTTGCAAGGCGTGGTTCGTCCACAGCAGTCGTGAGTGGCCACTTGGTCTCCGTCAGCTAAAAAGAAGAGCGAGATCCGCAGCGCCGCCCGCGATCGCAGCCGTTGCGTCATTGTGCACGAGCCTTGATCTCGATATATTGAATATTGATTGAATGGCATCCCTTTGACTTCATCTCCGGCTTCAGCCTTGCACGTCTCCTCCGTCATAGCGATGATGAAATTGTGCATCACTTCTGTTATAGCCCACGGCGTCGGAAAGCAAGCTGGATCAAGCACCATGTCCCTCAGATAGCGGACGAGTCCTAGCTAAGAGGTCACAAGCAACTATTAGTGCTGCCCGCAAATCCACATAGAGAAGATCGCATCTTGGCTGGCAGATCGTCTGACAGGCAAGGGTCTTTCTGGCATTGTATGGCGGTTGCGTGCCATGGTCGTCGGCTCGTCGGGGCTCTCGGGGCAAGCCTTCATGATAGACTCGGGCAGGCAGCAATTGCCATTGCGGGCATAGTCATTGAGAATCATTCTTTTTTTCTTCTATTTATTCATTCATTCAGAGGTAGTCCAAGGGTCATTTTGTACATTGCCACGCATTTTATCCTTTCTCCGTTGGCAGACCAGATTGTATGGCACGGAATCATCGCAAAAGGCACCGACGGCCCAGCATCGCCGACATCCGACCACAGGGATGTCACACTGACAGCCTCTATATATGCAAGGTGAGGGGTTGGAGAGACTGGAGGTGTCAGCCCGAGGGCCCGAACTGAGCCCGCATATAAGGCTGAAAGCTCCTTTCGTAGACCTTCCCAATTGGTGCTCTCGTGATCCCGTGACGGGACATGAGCCAGAGTCGTGTACACCAGTGTGGCTGTTGCAGTGCGGACGAACACATGCCATGCTCTCCAGCACGACGACGTTGTTTCTGGATGATGGACAATCTCTACGCTGGTCTCCTCGATTTGAGATAGACCAACATGAGCGTGCCACTCTACCGTAGACTGTCGAGGAAGCTCTTCCACTTCAGCAGCGAAAAAGGGAGGGATGCATGATTCCGGCTCGTTTTGTTGTCTCAGTGTAAAAGTTGACCAGTCAGGCAGTCGTGCACGGGCCTTCTGCTCATCGCCCGCCAGTGTCATGTGTTGAAAGTTGTACTTGAGATCCCACGGGTCCAGCTCATTCTCATCGTCTTCGTCATCTTCCGGTGACCCATGAGCGAGCCTCCACGCAAGGCCAGCCGCTTGGGCGTTACTTTTCATCTCATCTGGTGAGGATGATTTAGCAAAGTAGGCTACCGCGCTTGTCCAAAGTTGAACTTTCATCTCAAGCCCAATTCGCCAGAGATGTTGTAAAGAGAGAACAACCTGCATTCCGTGGCTGGTCTCCGAAGGGGGTGGCAAGGCCATGGAGAATGGTATTAGAGGGATCTGGCCTGCAATGTATATGGCTCGGAGCCCGGTCTGCTCTGTTTTTGATGACAGAGCAACGTCAATGGCCTGGCTGTACGGACCAATGTTCGCTGGTGCCCAGTACGAACGAGACTGGACATGGAGCCCATTCCGGTGAGGATTTACCCCTGATTTCGGGACTGTGAGGAACACCATGACGCTGAAGCCGGACGGAAGTAAGTGGCCGCATGAAATGGTGACACGAGACGGCGGGTTCGCCCTTGGGAAAAGCTTGCCATACTCTGCGTTGATTTTTGGAAAATCTGCCATGTTACGAAGGATAATGGTGGTATTTGTTATTTGAGCCGTATCAAGAGATGAGGAGGAAACTAGTCCCTCGATTTGGCTGACAATGGACTGCATTTCCACCTCAATCGAAGTGCGATCCGCAGAAGGCTTGGCCAAAACAGAAAATCGGAGAAAATCGTCATCTTCTTCCAGTATCGTGGAGAACTTATTGCCCAGAATCCGTAGTGCGAGAGCTCCTGAAGCTTCTTCCCCTCTATACTCGGCCGTCTTTGTGCTCAAAACTCTATCCAAGATGGACTGAAACTTGGAATCAAACAGCTCAGGGCTCCTAATAGATGACTCTGGACTCGTAGCCTCATCGGCGTCTGTGTGTTTGTCTTGAAGCTGAGCTCCCCGAAGCATCACCCAAGTTGACCCTCCTCCTTCGTTGATAACTCGCCGCGTTTCCTCGGGAACATTTATCCTCTTCTTGAACAACCAGGCCGGTCCATCCAAGACAAGCGTCTCAAACTCGCCTCCCTCGCCCAGTGCAGCACCTTGTGGAGCACCAAACTTTCTCAGAGCGCTCTTCACTCGATTTACTCCCTCGGCGCTCGACACTCGCTCCCACAGATGGCCTTCATCAAGCCCGGCACTTGCCACTTTGATAATGCGAGCATCAAGTCCAGCCACAGCCATATCACGCAGCAGCTGAGCGTCATCTGCAACCTCATTTACAGGAGATGGAAGAACGGGATACTTCCAAAGATATGCCAGTGGAGTGAGGCCAAGTCTCATCGCAACTGACTCAACTCGTGTGCGCTGGTAAGTTGACAAGATGGCTCCGGAGCAGAGAGCGTTGGCCTCTGGGTGACGATCTTTGATGGCCCTGAGAAGGAGCAACATTGATTCCGTCTCATCAGCCTTGTGCTCTCCAGACGTGTAATCATAATCCCGTTCGTGATGCAGTGCCCCGCCACGGATAGGCTGTCGATAGAGGGGTAGACCAGTTGCTGCTGCATAGAGCGGGATAACCTCGTGGCCAACCGTCTGATACATGAAGCTATTCAGATCCTGCTCGCTGACATTGCCATCTTCAGCAGCTGGTGAAAACGGCTGCTCTGGGTCGATAAACTGCACATCGTCTACGGCTTCGTTGGCACCATCCACAGCTGGGAACAGGTTCGCCAGGGCCACGATGCGATGCCCATGGCGAATGCAGTGAAGCAGATTGAAGAAGCTGTCTTTGCCTCCTGAAATAAGCGCAATTACATTTAGTGATTCGGATGCCATCTTTTGTCGGGAGCCCGCCTTTGGTCCTGTTGATGCAGCGGCGTTGAGACGTTGCTTGGAGGATGCGCATCTTGCATCTCACGTGCATTTTTTTCACGCCCGGCCAAGTAATTTTTTTTTTTTCGTCCACCTTACTATCAGATCTACACACTCCACCAACACAACGCCTTTTTACCAAATAGCAGTGTCAATATGCTCGTAATTGAACACGCACACGTTAAAACACTAATTAACATCACGCTTTGTGGGTAACTAGAGTTGATACGGTACGTAGGGAACCTCGTCTCTTTTTTTGGAATTCACTCTCTCATCTTGTGCGGAGTGTTGCTGATCACCGGCGTCCCGCTGATAACCGCAACTCGCACATCACACCACCAAGCCCCAATCTCCAACACGAAGATAAGGCCATTTACGCTAACATGCTTAGCAGGATAGCTATCATAGACTACTCTTTCAGCTCGGGGACATGTTCTTTAGCAGACACGCCAAGGAAAAAAGGTCAACCACGGCTGGTAAACTAACGACACATCCTCCGTCACCAGCGTGATTCTACTCCGCACGAAGCTACGATAGTTACGGCGATCTTCCCTACTACAACACGACCGTCACCCGCTATCGGCGTTAGTAAACGATGGCCAGAATAACGGCAGATTACGATGAGTGCACGTGCTCAAGCTAGCCGTAGGTCTCTATTCAGCTATTACTCGCGTTGCTACGAGGCACCGAGTCAGGTACCGCGATGAGAAACGGCCTGTGCTACGGCCTTCCTTTAGTCTTCTGTGGGGGGTATCCATTGATTGCTCCAAATACCAGGTTATCCCATGATTGATTCATGCTAGCAGATAGTACGGAGTGCTAGTACTCGTACTTGTGCCGCATAGAAGGGCATGGACGGAGACAAGGTCAATTGGTGCTTATGGCGTTCGCCCGGTGAGCTGAGCTTGGACAAAAGTTGAGTGAGTGCTATCGGCCGAGTCTAACAAAACGCCCGCAGAGAACATTCTTCGAATGATGTTCACCAAGGAAAGGGCTCCGCAAAGGTCTCGGCGAGCAACATCTTCAGCTAGATCCGAGAACAAACAACATACGAGCACACTCCGAACTCCGTAATTCTCTGCCCATGGAGCCGATACGGGCGCACGTGTTGCACGTCCCCTTCGTGTCAAGACGCCCGACATTGTTCTTTTTTTCGCTTGGCAGGCCCAGTGCCACGGTCCAGGCACCCAAATTCCCCTTCTCGCCAAGATACTACCACCGACCAGCTGGCCGTCAAGTTAATTAACTGCTACTCAAAATAGTCGCTGCTTCGCCTCTCATTAATTTGCCGCCACCGTGGAACGCCATCGGTGCTTTCGTCAACGTCGTGGCCAAGCTTTCGCCTGTCCAAGTATGGAGTAGCCCAACTTGACTCTTTCATTTCCACCTTCCGGAAGCCACCCCACGCCTAAATTCGAAGCACCCTCGCAACTCGAGCTAGTCCAGGGACCATTCGCTAGTGGTGCTGTACCTTTTGTCGACCTGGGGGGGGGGGGGGGTTGTTCTGTCATGATCCCTCCCAAATTAGGGCGTCTGCGTTTCCCAAAGAGTGTCCCTTAGACCAGGCACGTTCCCTCTTCAACGGACCAGACGGGCCATACCCGGCCCCCGGATAGATTGCGCGAGAGATTAGCTCCATCGCAGATATGGAGTCGGCGCGGACACCTGTGCCTGCACACGTATCGTGCTCCGTGCCTGTATATTTCATACTACGCCGAAGGGGATAGAGAGGCCATCACTAGCGTTACCTCGCTCTCCAAGAGAAGCCACCGAGCGAGTCCATCCTTGAGGCCATCCTTGAGCGAATATGTGACAACTCACATTTTCTGGCACTCTGAGTAGCGTCCCCGCGGAATGGATCAAGCACACCACAAAGGAGATTTTTTCCTGCTCGTTTCCCAGGGACCTGTGCCTGTCAAGGGACCCCAATACCGACCTCAAACGGTGCTACCAGGCCCTGGACCGGCAATGGGGCCGGAGACTCATGGGCTTGTCTGCCCACCCCAGGCAGAACAAATCGAAGAGGTACATCCCCACATGTATAGAAGCGCCGTGGAAGGATAACCAAAATGTGAGCTGAACTCTACGCCTCACCTAGAGACCAACCAGGCAGGCATGGTTCCCTCCCAATATTGCTGCCTCCTCCCCCCCCTCTCCCCAGATAAGGGAGTAATATACCAGCGCAGAGCAGTAGCAGCACCCAGTAATGCCTCAATTCTCCACTCTCACCGGCGAACTTCTTCCATGAATGTTCTTTTGGCCGTTCCATTTCCCCGTTGCCTCTCCGAGACGGGAGATGTCACAGGTCGAACCTGTCAAAACGATTTCCCCTACCCTTCCATCCCCCTTGATGGCCCTTTCCCCCTGGAAAGCGTAGAGGGGAGGCCTGCTTTTGTTGCAGGTAGGTATCATGGAGTCAAGTCGGGTAAACGGCTTGAGAGCGTAACTCTTGTCGGCCGAGTGAAGCGTCCGTTGTTGGACAGCTCGTATGCTGCGAGGCATCGTTTCATTTGGCCAAGACGGCATGGTAAGAACGTTATCTGTGAAACCCCAGCAACGAGATGGTATCTATGTATGTGATGGTTGGTCCAAGTTCTACAGCATAGTGATAGTAGCAAGTACCAAGTCTGTAGTACGAGAATCACAATCACAAATCACAATTGTATTCAGTCACAGACATCCTCATGGTACGCAAACAAGTTCAACACATCAAGTGAATTTCCATCTATCTGCTATAGTCTAAAATATCCCAAGTCCCAAGTCTAAATTCTCCAAGTCTTTCTCCACGTTCACACATAAACACTTCACTGGCCACGGGCAAACATGTCACCATCTCAAAGGCACAATTCAGTATTAACTGGCAACAGTGTTTTTTCTTATTGGTTGGCATAGCGTCAAGTTAAACTTCTAACAAAAATTGTGACCCGCACACCCTGCCGTAACCCATTTGCCCACACGAGTGAGCAGCACAAAAATTATTTGTACTAAAAGAAAAAGGAATCAACCTCCAATGATGGGCGGTGCGATCCTCCCACTGGCCCAAATGCTTCCCAAGTGTCCTCTCTATGTTCAGTTATTCCCGCCATGGCAAACGACCTTTCCAGCCATCGCTCGCGATGGATTATCACCCAAAAGTGTGATAAGAGGGGCAGCCAACTGATTGGCGTACCGTCGTTGTTTCTGCCAAATATAAAAAAAAAAAAAAGAAAGAAAGAAAGAAATCTAATAATCCGCCATGCGCGCCAAAACAAACAAAAAAAATCATGTCCGAAAATTCCTCTTCCGAGTTCGAGCCTCTGTCGAACTTTTGTCATGATGCAAAAATTGTGAAGATACCGAGGAAGTGTCTCCCCGATATGTATAAATAAAAAATATCATCAGTATGATGTTGCAAGTCGATACAAGAACTGAAGGTTTGAAAATGCAATCATAACCGCTTGAGCTTTTTCCCTGTATAGTGTGATGTCCTCCTCTAGCAAAAGTGTATGTGTTGGAATAGGGCTTGCGCCGAAGCGAAGCAAAAAGTGTGTGGTAAAAGTGAATCATGTCAGGCGTGTATATAGAGACAGTCATAGACTATCTGTGAGATAGATGCAGGCATTTAGTCCGAGCGCTTGCGCTTCTTCTTGCCCTGGTCACCCTCTTCTGAAGAGAGCTCGCTGGCGCTTCCAGGGATCTCGGATGCAATCTGGAACAGGACCTTTCCATAGGTGTTGTAGTCATCACCCACAGGTCCAGTCATCATGCTACCATCATAGGTGGGCACGTCGGAAGAATCCTCAATGAGGTTCATGACGATGGCGCCACCAGCGTGGGTACGGGCGTGCTGAGCCAAGTTGTCGCTGCGAGAGAACTTCTTACCACACTCGTTGCACTCAAAAGGCTTCTCTTGGGTGTGGAGGGAGCGGTAGTGTCGCTTGAGGTGCTCCTGGCGACGGAAGCGTCGGTTGCAGAGATCACAGACGAAGGTCTTGGAGGGGTCCTCGGTCAGCGACTGCTTGCGACCGCGGCGGTTGGTGGGGGCGGGCATGGAAGAGGAGGGCTCATCAGAAGCGGAAGAGGCATTGGAGTCGGAAGCGGCAGAGGCAGCCTCAGTGGCGCCAATCTGCTCGTTGCCAGACTGGGAGCCGCTGGCAGCAGCGTTCATGATGGGCTTAGCGTCCTTGCGGTCCTTCTTCTGTCTCTTGTCCTGGTGGACGTCTGAGAGGTCAATGGACGAGGTCGGGCTGGGCAGAGAGGGGAACTGGAAAGTCTCGCTATCGTCGAAGCTCAGTTCCTCGTCGCCAATGAAGCTGCCGTGGCCCAGAGAGACAACAGAGGAGCCGGTGCAGGCTCGGGGACGGGAAATGTCCACGGGGTTGATCTCGCCGAGGTTGACAAGGCTGCTGAAGTCGGCTTCCGACTCCAGGTCAGAAAAGTCCTCAAAGGTCGGCAGGCCGCTGGGCAGCGCTGGGTTGAAGTCAAAGGTAGGCTGGGCAGCGGTGGCAGGCAGGTGCTCGCCCTTGATGTCCTCGGCCAGCAGGGTAAACTCCGGAGCCAGGGTGGGGTTAGAGCCAACAGAGACGGTCAGGTTGCGGGGATCGCAGAAGTCAACATCATGCTCAGAAGTGACGGACCGCGCATAGGGAGTTGGCGAGGGAGACAGAGAAGGGCATGAAGCTGTTGTGGATAGCATGTCGCTCGGGCTCGAGGTAAGCGAAGGCACCTTGCTAGCCTGAGATTGAAGGTACACTGCCCAATGAGGATTAGCCTGTTGCCCCGCCCCAGTATTCATTAAAGCGTCTTTTTTCTGTTTCTTTTTTTGGTTTTGGAACGGCGAAAGGAAGATTCGACGCGGAAATTAATTTCAGAAATCACTTACCAGGCGACAGGGGTGGAGAGGCAATGCTGGCCCAGTCCAGGACGAGGCTCTCGGTGGCATCGATGTTGTCCTTGATGGCGATGCCCTCCAGACCGGAGAACATGGGGTTCATGGGAGTCTGCAGCATGTCACATGCCTTGGGGCTGCCAACGGCGCTTCCCGAGGCGGACAGAGGAGGAGTAGAGGGGAAGTAAGGGTTGTCGCCAAACTCTGTGTCCAGCAGCATGGGCTTGCGGGACAGAGGAGGTGTGCTTGTGGGAGTCATGACTGAAGGGCCGTTGCTGTACAGGGTCGGGGGCTGTGAGCAGGAGGAGTTTGGTCGCGAGTACATGGGAGTGGGCGGCAGCGTAGGCACCATCTGGAAGGCGGCCATCTGCTGTGCGAAAACGAGTTGTCGAGGGGCCATCTTGTGCTCGTGGTTGTAGAAGTAGAACGCCTGCTGTCCCATAGCTTGAGACATCATGCCGTCCATTGTGTTCTATCCAGCCAAAGAATGTGTCAGCTCTTGAACATGTGCTTTGTTCTGCTTGCTTGCTTGTCTAACCTCGTAAGAGAAGAGCTTGCGGTGGCTTCGAATAGATATTAAACGTTAATAGTTATTGTATAAGTCGTAGTCCGTATTATACAATTGCCCAGGCAATTGGTGAGGCACGTAAAGAGTGGTTTTGGTTCTTCGTTAGGTTCGTCTTCGGATCCGGTGCAAAGAATGGATGGGCAGTCTTGGTAGTAGTGGTATATCACTATTATAGACTGGTTGCGATGGTGGGAGAGGTGAGGATGGATTGCGAATGGTTGAGCAAAAGAAGGGAAGGAATCTCGAAGAAATATAACGAGTTTCCGATGGAGACGAGGTCGCAAAAGAAGGGAGAATCGAGGGTATAAAATAACAAGATATACAAGCTCAAGGGTGGCCGATCATATGGATGATGTTGATGGCAACGGCGGGGGCCGTGGCAGGATAAGTAGGACGTGAAGCCCAAGATCATCGACGAGCAAATCGACCGATAGGCAAGAGAGCCCACCAAGTGGGAACGCTCCGTCGCCTCCACGCAGGCCTGTCCACTTCCACTTGTCTCACTCGACCTGGCCAAGAGCCAGGATCCGTTGCGCGGACATGACGGGACAGGCTTCCTCCCTGGCCCCTGTCGTCCGTGAGGTGTCTGGGGCGAGTGGTGTGCGAGTCCAGGGTTGTCTAGGATGTCTGGGACGGCCAGGGGTGTGTGAACCTTGAGAGCGACTGGCAAGGGCCTCCTGCTAGCACCAGCAACCCTGGTCGAGCCCATCTGTCGAGTCCGTGGAGGCGGTACGTACCTAGTGCCAGGCTAACGGCCAGCCTAAGAAGCGACCAGGGTGCGGCTTTGACGGTGATGAGTACAACTGGACAAAGTGGGAAGTTGACAAAAAAAAGTTGCCAATTCATGAAGCCCCCAAGCCCAGTCGAGTCGAGTCGAGTCGAGTCGAGTCGAGGTGAGGTGGATACAATGCCGGTGGGCCTCCTACCACAGGTATACTCGTACTAAGATGCGAAAGTACCAAGGTACTCGCACATGTACCCGTACATGTAACACGACGACAGGTCCTGCTTGGCCCTCGTACTAGCACAAGAGGTCAAGTAATAGTACCACTTGCAGTATAGCAGCAAAAGAGCCCTCTGTCTCTGCTGCTGGCTGGCGTTGACTAGCACGAGTAATAGTACATTGGTAGGTTGGATAGCATGGCAGATTAATGCAATGCCAACGGCCGTCCGTATTGGTAGCAGCAGCAACGTGCACATGGATGGCCGTCATTCGCCATTGGATTGCCATTGGGCGTTTGTGCCGTTGATGGCTTACTGGCCCGGTTTGAGTCAAAACCCGCGGGCGAGCATGGCGCAGCCACCCTTCTAATTCTGGATTGTGGGCTTACCAGTCCATACGAGCGTAACATACGAAGTGCATCCGTCCACACAGCAGATACAGGCACGGCTTTGCTGAGGAACAAGCATAATGACAGAGACACGCCGCCGCCTCCCGGATGCACCGCGACTGGCACAGCGCAGCGCTTCTCTCCACCGGGGGCTTGGCCTGGGTTTACGAAAAAAAAAAAAGCCACTGTGAGCCGAGCCAATTGCTGGTGGTGCCGTTTGTTCCTTTTTGGTCGCTTTTGTCTCGTTTTTTTTTTTCTGGCTTGTAGTTGTCGCGCGCATATCACATCACACTGGAGAGAGAGAGGGAGGGGAGGGGAGGGGCGTCCATAGCGAGATAGGTAGAGAGAGACAAGAGCGAGAAAAGACGGCATGCATCCCTCCCAATGCTCAAAGCCGCGTCCAAGAATGGCCACAGAGAGATGGATGCCTCACAATGACATCTGCACGGCGGCACAGCTGCTGATTGGGCCTCCAACGCGCAAATGCTGCACTGCTCCAACCTGTGCCGAGTCCTGGCCCCCATGGCGTTCGTCCAAGTTTGCTCGTCCATCTGCTGCTGATGCTACGCACACTCGAGCGCTGAGAGGCCACCTATGAAATCAGCGTCGTCAACAAGAATGCCGGCTCGTCTGCGGTGATTGCACCGGCGCCAGCCCGCTAACACCACTAACAGGTACCACCACCACTAAATACAGTGCTACTGCTAGCCCGAGGCTCGCTGTTGTTGTTGACAGGCTCGCTCTGTGCGCGCCATTTTCCGGCGCTGGCCACTCACAGGCCGGCACGGGCACACAGGAGCGCGTCACAAGCCCTGCATAATGCCGTGTCGTGATAGGACACAGCGCGTGCTAGCATCACTTTGATGACCCAGCTTGCACAAAAAGCCGCCGTCTCAGCTCTGCACACTGACGCACACCTCGACTGTGCACAGCCATTGGACCTCGAGTCTCTGGCGTCACACCTACGAGACGTCGATAAACTCCACCGCTGCAAGGCACATGATATCCTGATGGGCGATGCGCTCAGCCATCAATCACGCTGTCCAGTGGTTGTAAGTCATTCGACCTGCTAGTTGAAACCAGCCGTCAGTCACTAGCCAGGTAGTGGGAAGCTCGCATCTCGGAGGCAAAGACGTCAAACGCGGATCCCAGATTGGCCGACCGGAGGGCGGGTGTCGCATCCACTGCAGCAGAGCCCAGAGAGCTGTTTGGGCATGTTGCCGCCCAGGCTGTTTGATGGTGTGTTTGTCAGGCCAGAATGAGCGATGCCTGTGTTTGTGTCTTTGTTCTCGCACTAGCACCCAATCCAGCAGTCGTCACACACAAGGTTGCAAGTATACTATGTAGTCTATACCTCCTTGGCAATGCCTCTACAGTAGCGGCAGTATTTAGTAGTATTCTCTGCTTCATGCCTACGTTTAGTACGCAAATGATCTCGTCTGACGGTGGTCATCAATGGGCAGCTTCAGTCAAACTTGATCTGACATATTAGCCAATTGCCAGAACCAGGCCTAGCGCGTCGATCACAATCCAAGAGGAGCGGGTTGCATGTGAGTGGATTATTTTTATGTCTTGGATGCTGCTTAGTGCAGGTGGTGCTACCTCGTACAAGAATAGCCCGTCCCCACCCGTACTTGTGAAGACCAAGGGCTCTTTTTCGTCATCTGTTTCATAGTCTGTTCGTATGTGCTCCGTAATGCTTATGCATGGAGACACTTTTGTTTGTGTCAACTTGCTTGTGGTTCTGCGCGCTAGTACTAGCCGGGACAGTAGCCCACAGCCAGTGGCCACCGGGAGGCACACACAAGAGCAAATACGAAACACATGGGCGAGAGAGAGAAAGAAAAAAAAAAAAAAAAAAAAGAGGGAAAAAAAAGAAAAGAAAACCGTTAGATAACAAGACCGTGCTGGAGGGAGGGCACACACGACGCGAGCAAAATCAGAAAAAAGAAAGGAAAATACGGCAGCAAGTGGCAACTGTCTCGCGGCGAAATGAGATGCATCCCCGCCTGCAAACTAAAAAGCCCGTATTTGCTTTTTTTTGCTGTTTTTTTGCTTTTTTTTTTTCTCTCTTGCCTCTTTCCTGTTGTCCCTTTTTTTTCCCTTTCCTTTCTTTTTTTTATTGTTTTCTCGTTAAATCCTCGCTGCATGGAGTACCGTAGCATCCCCATGCCGTCCACCCCCCGTCTGCAAGCCGTGCTGCGTTGTCAATACCTCCCTCCCAGGCTGTATACCGCCTCGACCAAAGATTCCGGTGAAGCCTCTCCAACTTGCCTCTCCAGGACGCCCAACGTAGAACCGCGCTCGCTATCGCCTGGTGGCCCCGCGCGTTCCCGCAAAATGCCCCATTGAGGCTCCAGGCCACCCATCGCCTGGGCTGAGAATCGAGCCACGGCCGTCGACGGTGGCTTCTCCGGCCCGCTAAGCTACTGAGAGCACTACTGTACTCCGTACGGAGCCCAGCTCCTCTCCAGGCCCGATGGCTTTTCCCGCACGACGAGCCTTGAGAATCGCCAGTTTCACCATGGCCATGATGGCTGTTGAGGGCGAGTCATAGGCACTACAGTATAGACCTACTCGTGCGGCAAAGAGTGGAATCGCGCCCATTAGCATACGAGTAGTCGAGGACCATCTTCAGCTCTACGTACAACGTAGTATGTACTTGTATGGGGCACATCTACTGTACTAGAAACATCTGCCCGCATTTCAATGGTGCCTTGCTCTGATTGCAACCGTTGTAAGTAGTAGTACATAGTACCTCTGCACGTGCTCCCATGGAAAACGCAGAGCTTCAAAGGAAGCAAAAAGTGTCACCGCAATTACAAGAATGTGCGCTGTCAGGCAGGCCCCCGCTTTTCTTTTTTACGGTGTGCCTTAAGCGAGGCCTGGTAAACGTCCGATAGGCTGTTGGACGCAACTATTCCCCCGTACTATTGCCAGACAGCAGGCATGTGCAGCCACCACTTCAGTCGACATCTAACGGTGTGTCGTGGGATGGGTGGGAAGAGGTAGGTAGGTTCCAATTTGCACCTTACTTACTGTACTTGCGGTGTCTTTCCATCCGGGCCATGTAACGCTAGTCAAAACGCCGTGCAAGCCATGGTGCCCCATTCCCGGACTTTGGAGAGCCGGGGAAACGACTACGACAATGCATCACTGGCGACTAAACTCGGTGGCTTTCATGTTAGTAGGGACTTGTGCTATCAGTATCGGCCAAGGTGGTACTTGTAGGTAGTCTGTAGTTTTGCGGTGGAAACTGGCTAAGATAGATGCTTGGGGGGGATCCGCTACGCAGTAGTGTTTACGAATGAGGCAAGAAAAAGGAAGACTTCCTCTGGAAGCGATGATAGCCAGGAAAGGCTAGCGAGTTGGATCAAGTATAGTGCCTACTTACCCGGAAGGAAGGAATCTTTGCTATCAGTACCTATAGCACGGTACTGCAATCGTGCCATTGATTTGATTGCGTCTTGTTGACAGAATTCCAATTTCCCATCCTGTATACCGGGTAAGCAAGCACTGGCCTAGCATGTGATATACCATCGGGGCGTAAGTCGTCAGCATCCTACGTGCGGTGTGTGATGTGATAGACAGGCTCTTCCGCATGTGGAGGGTTTCATCCAATGCCTGGTGCTTTGGAGCGGTGTTGGTGCCTTTCCATGGTTGCCTGGGTACCGGCCAGAGACAGTACAAGGTACAAGTAGTCGTAATCTTGTGCCTGCACCATCCACCGATCATCACACACGAGATGCAAGCATTGGCTGCCACCGTCGCTAATGTAAACGGACTTATGCCAGATGCTGGGTTGGTGGCAGCGGTCCTATTGGCTGTGGTTTAATCTGAAACTCTAGCGCTGCATAAAGAGTCGAGAATGGAAAATGCATTAACAAAGTGCACAGACCCCTGAACCATGGGAACGGCTGCACAAGCGACAGGGGGACAAGAGGCGGCGTCATTTTTCTCTTTCTTGTCTCGTCTCGTCTTGTCGCCTCTTATCGATTGCATGGACTAACCTCTGCGCTGTACAGTGCTGTACTCGTACCCCCCCGGCCCAGCCCAGCCCAGGCAAGCGGCAGCCAATGCAGCAGCACCTCCAACTCGGAAAGAATCCACGTAACCTTGGGCCCTGGAAACGGCGGACCCGGATCATAATGTAATACGAAGTCCCATTGCTCCATAAATACGTTTTGTGCTCTTCACCGACAAACTCGAATAAGCGAACGCTCCGGGCAGAACTTGCTGATGCTGTGAAATTATGGGATGATTCTCCATCATCTGCGCATCCGACTTGAGCAGCAGCAGCACGTGCTGACGAAATGGGACAATGAAGAACACCTGGGGAGCACGCGCCAAACACAAGTGCTATCCGTCATGATGAAGCTCTAGCCACAAGAGGAAACAGCGTCAAACGATCAGGCACAACGAAGCCAACGGATCGCCCCAAGTCGAGCCACTATCGCTGGCCCGTCTCTGCGCCGCGCCGTTGGACGGGAGATGCTACGCCCAAGAGGGAGCGACCCCGTGTTGCTAAATGAAAGAAGGCGACGCTCCGCCCCGTACCGACATTGTGCCGGTCACTGATTGACGCCAGCCGCCACCCGTCGACCGAGTAATTAGATGAGCCACCGAGTTTGCGAGTTGCGGCCAACGAGGCGTGTGTGATTCGAGTGATTTGAGTGCGCAAGCGTGTGAGCAAGTGTGAGAGCAAGTGTGAGTGGCAAGCAAAGTGCCTGACACCAAGCATGCAGCCCGGTGCCCAGCATTGGTTGACCGACAAAGCGGTTGGCGAATAAAACCGCCCATGGCCGGGGTCATTAATCGTGGCATCGAATATAACTACACATCACATTTTCTCTTGCATTGGTCCCACGGATTCCAGCATATCAGCCCGCGCATGCATAACCCGCCGCCGTGACTGGACAGCGGCCCCCACCAATTGCTGGCGCTCTAACCATCACCATCAACCCTGCTGCGTGCACCCACTGCGCGGCGAAGAGACCGCCACTGCAGACGCAGCCATGCAGGAACCAATGCGGCCACTGGAACCCGCTGTATGCAGGTACCGGTCACAGCTTCTCAGGGCTCTTTCCGCCTCCAGCTTGGATCACGGCCGGGGGCTAGGGCCCTCGCCCCGACATGTAGTATGTACCGTACAGCAGCTGCCACGTCCTCCACGCATGGGTGGGATTACGCTGCGTTCTGCAGTACAGAGTACATGGGCCAGTGCTGTCCCTCTTGTGCAACTGCAGGCCTGCACTAGCACTCGGGCTACTTGGGACTTGTGCAATGCACGCTGCATCACAATCACCCCCGGGCTCAAACCAGCAAGCAAGTCTCTCCCTCTCCACTCGCCCAGCCAACATGGTCAGCTCATCGCCTTGCCGTTCAGAGCACAAGAGACGCCATTGCAGCCAAGCGTCGCGGCCGCCTCCACAAACTTGAGCTCCAGAGCTAATAGCCTAATTGCCATGGTGCTCCGGGTTGGCAAGTAGGCAAGGTGATTCTCAAGTGTTTGTACGAGCGCCAATGGAAGTTCGTCCGCAAAAGGCCCACCGATCCTCATTCCCGCCGTTCTGCACGGCCACCGACTCTTCGATGTCTTTGTCTCTCCCCCCCGGTCGGGTTGAATCTCAGAGATGCGGCACGGTACTGTCCTCGTAGACTGCATACCGCTGCGCTCAATTGACAGCCCTTGAGCCGAGCCGCCACCGACACCGCCAGTAGCCAGGATGGCGGTGATTTGACAGGTTGGGCGGGAAAAAGCTTTTTTTGCCTCCTCGCCAAAGACTCGCGGAACCGGCAAGCGTCCACCGCCTGAGAAAAGATTTCGGCAGCACCCTTGCTAGGCGAGCGTCTCTGGCATCTGCAAACGATAGATCGCACTACGGCCACACGGGCGGGCTTGAGAAAGCTCAGATGAAGGCCAGGGTCCCAGCACAGCTGTTGCATGTCCTGCTGGCAGACCGTCTTCTTGACTCGAACAATGACCCTGGCGGCCTGTGGCACCGGTCACAGGTTTTCGGATGGATGCGACAGCGTGCCCCGGACTCGAGCGAGAGCCCATGAATACCTGTAGATGTTCCATGCTGACAGGGGGGGAAGACGCAGATACACCGGTAAGTGCTGCAGGCATGGTACTAGTATTGGCCAGCAGCCTCAGTGGTCTGCTGTGAAGCTCGTTAAGCTGGGCAACCGTTGGCTGCTCGCCACCACTTGCTCGGGCTGAACCGTCTCTGCGGCTCTCATTGGTTCATATCTGGGTGCTGCCAGCAGTCTGCCCACCGTGAGGCGTTTTGCGATGCATCCTCTCTGCACGTTATATGTCTTCACCGTTGGTTTGTGTCCCTACTGCACGAGTGCCTGTGTGCTGTACGACTACGTCGTTGGCTTTTCGCAGTTACCCACCGCCTTACTCGTCTAATGTTTAGCCAAATTTGCCTCTCAAAAACCTGCTCTTTTGTGTCGAGCCAACAACAAAAGACTGGTCTACGAAGATCCCCAACCTTGACAGGAGAAGAAGAGTCGGCCGCAATGGCCAACCAGCGCTAACATGGTCGGCAAATCGAGATAACTTACCTGTAAGCTATCCATGCACTTCCATCTACGAGTAATGTGTGTACATTCTGTTCCTGCCTGGTCCAGTACGCCTAAGAGCGACTAGACAATATCATATCGACTACGGCTCGCGGAGGCCACAGCCGCGAGAGCGAGAGAGAAAAACTGAACCAATTTTGCCACCGCCTTTTACACCGTCGAATTCCAGGGACGATGTCAAGTGACTTTGACGGATGCGGACGAGTCAGGACTTAATCTCTCAGATCAAAACGACCAGGGCCCTTGCAGACGACCTCACTGCACAATGCGCAAGGACTAGCAACGGCCCGGATTCACAGCCGTGTGGCCAGCATCTCGCCCTGATACCATAGAGGCCTGCCCGACCGGGATCAGATGGCCCTTGCCACCGGACCCTAGCGGTCTACCCGCTCCCCGGATTTCTGCTTGGCCATGGCACCGCACCATGGCCAATTTGTCTCGAGGTCCACTGGGTAGAACAACGCCAGTCTTCTCTCCAGCCTTCGTTTCCCCTCCTCCAAAGGTCGAAGGCCGGGTTGGCGGTTGGTATAGCCGGCACCCACCAATCCTGGGCTCTTGGTTGCGCGAAATGCCCTCTGGTTTGCAAGTACAAAGTACGAGGTACCATTTGCCAAAAGAGGCCTTGATGCAACCATAATCACAGTCATCATCTTTCTTGGGAGCGGCACGGCCCTTTTACAGTTGGGGTTAGTGGCGTCGCCGCGCTTTCTTTTGGCATTTGCCCACCTCATCCGTTTTGCCACTTGCCAAATGTTTCAGCATGCTTCATCTTAACAGACCGCATTGCTGTATCCTCACGGCATATCGACGCTTCATGCCGGCACGGGGGCCCGTCTCTTGGGCGGGAAAAAGGGCTCAATGCTTCGGTTGTTCGCTGCCTATGGCCGACCCGCTACCAGGACCATGGTAAATGCGCTGTGCCAGATTAAGAGGCCAGTGGGGAGATATTCGCTGGCAAAAGACTAGCCAGGGCATCCCCCGGGCTAGCGCAGGTACGACTTATCCAGCAAGGGCTTGGGTAGGGCCAATTGGGCATTCCGCAACCCAAGCCCATGGAGCTTCTGGAAGGTTTCATGGCCCACAAATCCAGCTTCCATCCAGCCAATGTTCCCGGGTATTCGTCCTCGCAATGCCAGGCCCTCGACACTGGAACCGAAGGTCCCGGAAGGTGGTACGGCGGTATGGCGTATCCATTTCTGTATCCATTTCCGGCCTCAATATCGCGCCTGCTTCGTCGGCGATTCCAGAATGCCCAGGCATGGTTGTACCTGTCCAGCGGCGGACATGCTCGCTCGCGACTCCAACAGGCGATTCCGCGGCAATGAAATGGCGCCAGATAGGACAGCCGCTATCGGTCGAGTCGGGGTTTGCTGCCACTGGCAGCAGCATTCCCTTGTACTCTAGTACTGCCGCACGCGGGTAGTGTCTCTACTCGTGCTGGCATTCGCTGGCACAGGCGCCCCATGTCTCTGCCGGCAGTCGTTCGATGTTACCCTGCCGACGTTCGGTAGTACACAATGTCTCAGCACATGTCGTGCTACTGCCACGGAGTACTCCGTGCTGCTACTGCTACTGCACTGCTTCGTACGGAACTCGAGGATGCTCGCCCCGAGCTTCATGGCGTGCGAGCATGTACATACTAGTCAGTACGCAAGCACTAGTGACATGATCAGACGATTGGGGCCGTTGACTGCAAAGTGCGGAATGCGGTCTGTGAGTGAGCGGCAATTTAGGACCGCGGACGGGCATCAGACACAGAAGTGTTCATGCATGGCCGATCGACTACTTGGGCTATTGCTACGAATTGCGGGCGACAAAATTCAACTACTTCCCGCAACTACGCATTACCGTACGGAGACCGGATGTTGCGATCACTCATGTACCTTCGGGCCGCAATGTTTCACTTGCGCCGTTCCTCTTTTTTTTTCTTCCCTTCCCCCGTCGCCACCGTCCTCTTGCTCTCCAAAATAGAAACACTCAGCTGAAGTCAATATTGCGAAATGCTCTAGTCCACTCGGTGAATGTCATTCAATATTCTATTTTCACCCTGATGGGCCCTTGGAATGGGTATTGTGGAAATTAGAAAGACCTGACAAGCTTCTATTTCGGCGGTGGATCTCCAGATATTGAGGCGTATACGAAGCCCGTCTCCATCCAGGTACTATGACTGAGACCAGCAGCTAACGGCTTGGTGGTTCTCTAAAATTACATTGATAATATCGCTCCGGAACACTTGGAGATGGAATTCTCGCCTCAGTCAGTGGCTGAGCCCGGAGTGGACTATTCATTTCGAAGGCACGGCGCGGCAGCGTAGCCGAGTGGTCCAGCTGAGTTGGAAAAAGGGAAAGAAAAGCAACGGGCTGTGCACGAGTCTCCGGGCGCCCTTCCTCGGGGCTGTCACTGTGCTTCGTGGACAATTACCGATGTCCGCTGGATTACCTAGCACGGACATCAATACGAGCACGGACCCGGCTTCCAAATGGCTTTACGGGATCCGGTGGCAAGCGGTGCTCCGTCTGTTGTGATGATGAATGTCATTGCCATTGTGATTTTGATTCCAATTCTTTGCCACTTTTACTTGCAAGTATGCTCTTTTGCGATGAGGTTCCGGCTATGGTAGTGTCTTGCGGATCGCCTAACAAGCGTGAGCCAGCGGGAAGCATGATGTACATCCATTCTTTGCTTTTTCTCTCTCCCTCTCTCATGTGCTCTGTTTTTTGCCTTCTTCTGCCCGTTGTCCGTCCACAAAAGACATGACACGCGTCATTAGCTCCGACATGTCACTAGTTTGAAGTGCTCCCATATAGCGTGCCGGCCTACTAACAGCTGAACCAGAGAACAAGTCCCAATGTTGAGCTAAAGCAAGCTAAGGAGCACAGCTTATGACTTCTGACATCTGTTGTTTCCCTTTGCAATTATCTCTGTTTTATCTGTCCCCTCCTCAGGCCCGTGTGGCGTTATGGTTTGTTGCGTTTCCTCCCGTATCCAAAGGCGGGTGCCGGCGCCACGAATGCGGATCAGGCGAGGTGGAAATGAACCAATGTTTGAGTTGCCCGCAGAGCATCTGCTTAGTCGCTCCTGTTCCAATGCAACACTACACCACAGTATAAGCTGCAGTCTCGTTTTTCCCGTCTTTCTTTTCTTTTTTCTTGATTTTATCGGCTCACGCGGTAAGACGTGCACTGTACAGTACCTAAGGCATTAGATGACCTCAGGACCAGTCTAGTGCAAGAGACGGGGCTAATGGCATCCCGTCAGTGGATTTGAGAAATGAAGGGAGACTACCAAGAGGAAGAGCAGCAACAAGAATATGACAAAAAATAAAAATAGCCCCATGCGTCTCGGCCGATGTCAGCGGAGGATAAGCTCAGACATGCGATTGTTGCCTTTTCAGACACGGCTCAGAGTAAGACTTTTGAATCAGCCAAGTTGTACTAGTCGTATATGCCATTCAGATGCTCTACTCCATATACGAGTACTGCCTGATTCCATCACTTTTGCACTTGCTAATGGGAGACACACAGGTCCACACACTCCGATACTGGATTTGTTTCCCATTGATGCTACGCAACGGCTGTTGCTAATGGACATCTCTGTGCAACCGCATGAGACAGGCGGCATTCTCACGGCCGACCGTTGGGCTAGAGGGGTAAGATGTGAGGGGACACAGATCTTGATCACCTCTACGCTTGGACACTAGCACCTGATAACGTGGGCAGCCTCCCGTGCGTCTTACGATGTGGCGGCCTCTGTGCTTGCGGATCAGGCCAATGCTAATTCGCGAGTGAAAAAAAAAACCCGCCTTGCATTCGTAGTTTTGCCACTCTGAAAGTCGGGGAAGCGCATTGCCAGTGGCCGGTTGGGCCTACATTCCTGCAGAGGACTTGCGTACATGCAACGTGCATGATCAAGTCAATGCTTTGTTTCTTGTTTTTGCTTCGGCTCGGGACAGTCAGCGGGCGATATTATGGGGAAGCTGTCATGTTATTCATCCTATGCGCTGGGAGCACATGTGAGGTTCTCTTTTGGTTGGTTGAGGCCTGAAACAAGAAAACTTTGCTTTTTTCCTGCATCCTACTGGTATGTACGGCCAACAACACAACGGTCAAGTGGGCTGACTCCCTTGCTTTTTTTTCCCCTCTCTCTTTTCTTTTTCTCACTTTCTTTCCTTTTTTTCAGGCGTGGCTGATACAACGGCTAGTGAGTAGGACATGTCTCTTGTCTAATTGACGAGGCGACGGAGTCATCTTCCGCTTGAAATGCCAACGTTGAAAGAGACTTTTACGAATTAAGCAATACGAGCTCGGCTTGACGAGTGACACTGCGGTTGGTTGAGTGGTGATGTAGGATTTCGGGCCCTAAGGGAGGAGGGGTCTTGGGCAGCCCAGCGAAGCGGGGATGTGACAATGCAAAGTTCTCCCTACATAGGAAGCCGTGTCTGGGCAACTCTGTCATTGTCTCAATGTTTCCGATGAGATGCCGTCTGCTCGTACGCCTAGTTCATGCCCCCAGACAGAGGCGGGCTCAAGACGCCGTGTCCGTGAGGCTGCAAGGGCCCGTTCCCTGCGTTTGGGGTGTGTTTGTATCACGGCCGGTGCTGATGGTGTTGTCCTCGTACAAGTACGAGTACCTAGTATGTCAAGCATCGTGATCTTAGCTGCTGTCGGATCTGGGAGAAGCAATTCCTAGTGTGGCCATTCCCACACATGCGAGCAAGCCTGTAGCGTACAAAAGTTGCACACGTCACAACTGGGGCAGAGGGCCATCTCATGCCGTGCTCGCTACTCTACAAGCACAGGGTCTGGTACAGTAGAGGCCCCGTCCAGGACTCGCGAGGCCATCCGCTACTGGTAAACGGCACAATGGACGGCCCTTCACCGCATGTCCCGCACGATGCTGCCGGCCCTCCACCTTCGGCGGCCACGTCAGAAGGGCCCAATGGAGATGATTATGTATAGCTCCATTCTGCGTGTAGGGTAGGCCGGAAGACCGGCGGGCAGAGCTTCACCGAAATTCTCGCGCTCCGGCGCCGGGCCCCGCTTTTAGGCTCCAAGTGGCTGCGTCCAATCGGCTCGCAGCTGGAGGGGCCGGCCGTGCTACTGCGCCAGGTCCCAACCACCCGCTTTTACACTGCTGGGTACATTAGACAGAATGCAAGCATGTGCGAGCCAGTTGTCACTCAGTGGCCAGCGCATTGGGTGGGTTGACCGCCAAAAGCGCGCTGTTGGAGATATGGGGATGGGGATTGGGGAAGGAAGGCAGAAGTAACTACCGCTGGCTGCATATGCATTATGCAGAGAATTGGGAAAAGTAAAGTTCAATAAAGTAAAATAACTAAATAAATAGATAAATCATTAAATGGGTCAATTTAATTGATGTCTTGTAAGAAAATACAGCTGAGAGACTTGGCGGTAGGCGGTGGGGTCCGTTAACGCGAGGGAGGACTTGCCCAGCGCCTAGACGCACCGCATCATGTCCTTGCCTGGCGAGGCACGAAAAGCGAGAGCAAGAAGGAGCGGGCGAGAGGGAAAGAGAGACGTGATGATAGAATCACGAACACGGGTGACTTGTCCCGTAAACGGTGATGTTTCTGATGCGCACCTGCCTTGGCAATTGCCTCGATGACGATGACGAGGACAATTGGGAAGTCGAGTGGCTGGGAAGGTGCAAAGCCCCCGCTTATAACCAGCCATTTGCTTAAACCTGCATCTCAGCTGCAGCTTCATTTTTTTTGCTTTGTTTTTTGCAAAACAGCCCTATCATATCGCTATCTGTGCATTGTATTACTTTTTCTCGGGACGCTGGAATGCTGAAAGTATAGTCGAAAGCGACTTACAAACTTTCACTTCCATCCCTTGCATTGCTGTCGTCCATTTTGCAGCCTGCCTTGCCGTTAGTTCGACCACATACGCGAACCACTTGCTGCAAGTGACAGCATCACCAAGCTACAGCTCCAACACCATTTTCTCTCTCTCTCTCCGTCTATATCTCATTGGAGCCTTCTCCTTTTCTTGCGTGGCGCTAGGAAAAACCTTCTGCCACACAGGCTGCACGAAGCTGCATCACTTGCAGCCACCCGTCCTTCTCCCTCACGTCTCGCTCTGTCACTTTTATTGCTGTCCTCCTTGCAGCTATGAGACAGGCGGCGAGCGTTGCCTGCGCGGCTATGGCTGCATTGGCGCTGCCTGGAGCTGTTTTGGGGCAGACCTGGAGCAAGTGCAATCCGTTGACCACTAGTGAGTTGATCTATCGCCTCTGTTTCTGACGAGGAACTTGTTGGCTGACTGCAATGTCTTTGCGACACAACAGCCGGATGTCCCGCTGACACGGCTCTGGGCATGAGTATCAATGTGGACTTCACCAAGGGTGCCGTCAACTCCTTTGTCGCTTCTGGGTCGCCGACATATGACAGCAATGGCGTCTCATTCACGGTGGCCCGTGGTGGTGACGCTCCACAGCTCGCATCCGTGTTTTACATCATGTTTGGCCGTGTTGAAATCACTATGAAGGCCGCCCCTGGCGCAGGCATTGTCTCGTCAGTGGTGTTGCAGTCTGATGACCTCGATGAGATTGATTTGGAATGGCTCGGTGCTCAGCCCGATCAACTTCAGTCCAACTACTTTGGCAAGGGCCAAACGACGACGTACAACCGCGGGCAGTTCCACAACGTCCAAGGTACCCAGGCGAACTGGATCAAGTACACTGTGGACTGGACTCAGGACAGGATTCTGTGGATGGCAGGCGATTCTGTGCTGCGCACTTTGACACAGGCTGATGCTGAGGCGAATCAATACCCACAGACGCCGATGCAGGTCAAGTTCGGCTCTTGGGCTGGTGGCGATCCAAACACCAATGCTCCAGGCACTGTGCAATGGGCCCAGGGGCCTACGGATTTCAGCAAGGGCCCCTTCAGTATGTTGGTCCAGAGCATCACTGTCACAGACTACTCTACTGGAAAGCAGTACGTCTACAGCAACAACTCTGGCTCGTGGCAGTCGATTCAAGCCGTCGGCGGCACGATTAACGGCAACGCCAACAACCAAAACTCTCTCACAATCACAGCCAGCAATGCCGCCGCCAGCACCCCAACAATCGTCTTGTCCATTCCCGTTGGCGGCATCGGCACGGATAAAAGCCCAGCTACCGCCACACAGACTGGCTGGCCGTGGGTGAAAGGTGCCACGCCAACAATGGGCAGCATTCCTAGCGGATGGCATATGAACCCAGATGGCAAGATTGCACGCAACGCCGGTGCGACATCGGGCGTGCCTCTTCCGTCGTTGTTGGTGCTTCTGCTGAGCCACTTGGCCATTGGTGCGTTGGCCTTTGTTGCAAGGATATAATGAGTTTATGAGCAAGCCAATTATGGGTTTAATGGTTGATGTGTTATTAATGAATGATGGGGGTGTGTATATTGGGAAAGAGAGTCTCCTACCGCGGTTTATAAATTGGGCAAAGAAGCAACAGACTTGTGCTCCACACGGGGATTGCATTTTTATCGGCGTTGCATCGCATCATGCGTTTTGGACACTTATTATAGATGGTATCATATCGTTATCTTGGTATTGAATATGTATATATCCTCCCTATAGATGTAGAGATGCTACTGGGCATTTCCAAAGAGTCAATACTATCTTCTACTTGTCAATAGAGCAGTAAAGAATATTTTGTTCACAAACGGATATTATATATTGGTCACACAACAACGCGCGGTTGTCGACAAGAAACGATACCACATGACCTCGTTTTCATTGACTCATATTTTTCATTTTCATTTTCGTAAATACAACCCGTCTTTCCATCCTTGTGTAACAGATGCTTGTAAAGTACTTGTATAAAAAAGAAGTAAAGCCATTAATAAACATATTTCATGTATAGCAGCATTTGTATCGACATATATAATCAACTGAGCAAAAAAAAAAAAAAAGTCAATTAAAACAATACGGCATGGCCGAAAACCTCAAAAAGCTCAAGCCTCTCTCAATTCCTCGCTATGAATTTTTTTTTCTCGCTATCTCCTTGTCCTCCCCTCCCCTCATCTCACTCTTTGAATGCGTCCCTCGGAAAAAAAAAAAAAAAAAAAAAAAAAATCTCTTGTCAATCGTAAAGAAAGAAGAATTCTTTCTGTCCCGTCTACCCTTCCACTCCCCCCTGAAATAAGCACATTGCGTGAGCCCACCCCTTCCCCTCCCCTCCTTGTTCCTCCCTTTCCGCCGTGGGCGTTCATGTTCCAAGTTTCGCCGTCCGCCTCTAACTCCATCGTACAATGTTCGTGGAGCCGTGAAAATAAAATAAATACTTGTAAGTGTCGTTTTGCTGCGCCGCGTCTACCTGATATGGCCGTATTCTGAGGTGGGAGTACCACCTTTACCGTGACATGTATATATATTGTGAGAGGGAAAAAAACAAAAAGCAAAGCAAAGGAATTAAGAAAAAACAACTCTCAGCAAATAAAGAGTAATGCGAATGCTTCGCCTCTTGTATCTGCCTTTGGGGCAAATTCTATCTCTAGAATTCCCAGTCTTCTGCGTCCTCGACTGACTTGATAGCCCATCGGAACTTGTCTCGGAGCGTCTTGGAGAAGAATTTCTCAATAGGAACGTCAAACTTCTTCGAAAACACCACCGTCAGACGAGGGTCGATGTAGTTCTGTGGCTCATTGTTAGCACGCTCATATTTTTTTTTAGCAACAGTATCGTCAGGGGGGCTTACGATCTTTGAAGTGCTCAGAGCAACCTCCTTGTTGCCATCACGGTCTTCGGCCTGTGTTTCAAAGACCCGGATGCGCTCGTCAAGCTTGTCAATGGCGGCCATGAACTTCTCCACGCTTGGTCCTCTGCCCTCGGCCTCGACCTTGTTGGTTTTGTTCTCCTTTTTGAACTTGGTTTCAAGTTCCTTGACTGCCTGGAGACGCTCTTTAAGCTCCTTTTCAGGCAAAACTCGTTCCTTGTTAGCCTTGAGTTTCTCGTTATCCTTCTCAAATTTCTTGGTAATCTTGGTGCGCTGCTCTTCAATCAGGAACTGCTGGTGCTCCTTGATCCATTCATCATCGAGATCTTCATCCTTCTCAAAGAAAGCCGCGCCCTTCTTCTTCTTCTGAGTTGGATCAATGTCGAGGATCATCTTCTTGGTTCGCCATTTTTGGTACCTGAGGCCCTTGATCTGATGAAGAGTTAGCCTTTTTGTCTTTGTCTTTTCGCTGTTAAAAGATGGAATAAGAGAGTGAGACTTACCCGATCTCCAAGCTTTTGCATCTGCTGCTCGTGCCCTGCGCCAACAGTTCGCTTGTGATTGCAAAGAATGGCGACCTTACGGTTGCAGTCATTGTAAAGCTTCACCTTCTCCGCAATGGTGCCCCGAGAGCGTGGGTCTTTTCCGAGTTCCTTGAGCAGCTCGGACATGGTGTGGGACGCATTGTAGGTACGGAACACTTTGGCAGTCAGTCCAGGCATGTAGCTGTTGAGATGCTTGTTCAGTTGAGACGTCTGTCGTTTGTAGTTAGTAATCAGCACTGCCTAGTCTAGATGGGATACATTGCTCCTTACGTTGAGGCGGTCGAAGAGATCATCGCCGTCCGTCTTTGGCGCCTTCTTGAACAGTTTCAAATTCTTAAAGACTTGAGGATCAACACGCGCCGTTTCGTTGTACCTAATACTGTCCTTACCCAGAAAGTCAAATGTGACTTGATCTGGGGGCTGCAGGGAGATATGCTCGTACTTCAACGAGCAGCAGCCAACAGTGTCGGCTTCATTTTCCGTGTCTTTCTCATTTCCAGCTCTGAGCGCAAGTTTGTCGATCAGGTACATGGCTGTCGCCCGCTGACGATCTGCCATGACTTCACTCTTAAGGTCCTTGGTGTAGTCGCGGCGGATCTTGTCAATGTGTTTTTTGAGCTCACGAGCCTTTTCGAACTTCTTGTAGTCACTCTGTCCTTTCACATCACTGGCAGCTCCAAGCATGACGTACTTGTAAGCACCGTTGATGTTTTCCTGCCACATGGCAAGCCAGGTAGCCTTCTGGTCATGCTGGACGGCTTTCCACTTGTGTCCCGCTGGCGGAGCTGGCACCTTGGCACCTTTGCCAATATTGATGGTGATCTGTTCCGGCAAAACTCGAACTTTGACTTTACCAGTCTTGGGATGTTCACCTCGCCCACGGAACAAACTGGGAGGTTCCACTCGGAAGTTGCCAACCTTTTGCTTTCTTCCATCCCACGTACAGTAAAGGTACGGAGCCTCGAGTGCATCTTTCTCAGCCTTAGCAGCTGCTTTCTCCTCCTTGGTCATGCTCTTCTTGGCCTCATTTTTTGCTGCCCAGTATTCTTGCATCTTGGAGAAATCGCACTTGTCCAAGCTTTTGATGTCAACCTTGTTTCCCTGGGCATCTTTCGCGCCGTGCTTCTTGATATATTCGGAGAAGTCGGTAAAGAAGTTCTTGCGGAATATAGGATTGTCCAAGTGATGGGTAGATGCGGCAGTCATCATGGCAACCCAAAAGGTAGCGACCTCCTCTGCTTCCAGACCGAGTGTGACGGGTTTGCCATCGTAGTACATCTTTACGTGTTTCGGAAGGGGTTCATATTCTGGCGCGAACAGAACTCCGTTGTGTTCAAGGGTTTTCCACTTGATGCTGTCGTCCTCCTTCTTCGGCGCATTCCACCACTCGAATTCTTCCTCCTCCTCCTCCTCGCTAGGTTCCTTGGATTTGCCCTTTTTAATATCTTTGGTGTCCTTTGCTGAAGCGGCCTTCTTCCCCTTGGCAGAAGCGCTAGCCGGTTTCACCTTCTTGGAGATGGGAGCATCAGAATCGGACTCCTCTTTCTTCGGTGCAGTGGACTTTCTCTTGATGGCTGAGCCATTGGATTGCCGCTTTTTGGCCGCGAGAGGCAGGTCATCATCAGATTCGTTCTTCACGGCCTTCTTTGGTGCAGCCTTTGCCTTTGCCTCCTTAGCACGAATAGCCTTAGCCTCCTTCTCGGCCTTCTTCTCGATGTCAGCCTTCTTCTTAGCCAGCTTGACACCAAGAGGCTGCTCATCAGAGGAGGACTCGGGCAGCGCGGTCTCCTTGTAAGAAGGAGGCAGCTTCTTCACCCTGGCTTTGACCATGGGCTCATCGTCCGAATCGGATTCCTGGACCTTTTTGGATCGTGGTCGTTTTGCCTAAGCGCCAAGCCGTTAGCTGACTGTACCCATGACACCGTTTGCCATCGTCGTTGCGAAGGGCATCACCTACCAGAGGCTCGCCATCGCTTTCCGATCCATCTTTGTAATCGACTTGTGTTATTGAGACCCGTGATTTACGCTTCGCCCCGTTTGTAGCGGGCGAATCCAAGTCCATTTCGCCATTTTCGACAGGTCCGTTACGGATGGACAGTCCCGCCATCCCAGAGGGCTTCTGAGGCACAGACTTATCCAAGGCGATGTCTTGAGCGCGAGATATCTTGGAGGATGACACTAGAGTTGATGCTGCGATTAGCCAAGTGCCAATGCTTACTTGCGCGCGATTGGACATGGATCGATGCGTCTCCCGTAAGCGCCGGCGCAGTCGCAGTCGCGTGTGCTCGGGATATGCCTGAGTTGGGAAACTGGCGGAGGAAAAAAAAAAAAAAATCAAGAGAGAGTGTAGAGGAGACTTACAACGCCCGTTTGGCCTCGAGAGAGGCATGTCATCGTCTGAGCTGTCGATACCCATGGTTTGAAGCGAGGACCAGCTGGCTCTCGGCGGACGCAAGGCTCTGAATGGGGCGCGAGCAACGAAAGGAATGCTGCAGGTGCGATTGCAAAGTGCAAGGCCGAGGGAAACTCGGGGGAAAAGAGAAGAGAACAGATCTGCGAGATTCAGATAAGGCTGGCGAGAAGTTAACCTCGACAGCCCCGGGCGAGAGAAAGCCTGAGGAACGCAGAAAAGCTGGCGGAAAAGAGTGTAAGAAGGATCGCCTCGTGTTTTCGGCTCTGAAAAGCCTTATGCATCTAATCGGCTTCAATGCCTGCCCTGCAATGCGGGCTATAGCAATATTTAATGGACCCGCTTTTTATATCGCTGTAGCAGGGCTTGCCGCAGCGGTGGCTTAACACTTTTGCTAGCGATGCGCAGCCAAAGGCGTTAGGCGCACAAAACGAGGCTGCGCCGCCCGCACCTGGTGGGAGGTACAAGGTACTCCGAACCCGAGCTTTCCCGTCGATTTGCCGGCAAAGTGAGCAAAACTGCAATCACTCACCAACCCGAACTGCATCCCCACGAACACCCCGTCAATTGATCCACGTCACGATCAATTGGGTCTGCGTTGGCCAGAGGGCTTAGTTTGATTCTTCACACTTGCCAGAATGTTGTCAAGGGCTGCCCGACCGGCTCTGCGAGCTGCCGTTGCAGCTCCCCGGTGAGTTTTTCTTTCCTCCAGCTAGCATCTATAAGAAATTTGTTATAGCCGCGGGAGCCTCAAATGGCCCGCGATTTGAGTTTTGCGATCCATGGGTGCCCCGACGACCGCCAGCGCCAGAGTTGGCCAAGAGCATATGGAATTCTTTTTATAGAGAAGAGAGAGGAGGAATAAAAAAATACAATCGGCTTATATGGGACTAACAATGATTGCTTTAGAGCTGCTGCTGGCCCCAGCACTGCCGCCACCTATGCGACGCTCCGTGAGATCGAGACTCGTTTGAAGTCCATTCGAAACATCGAGAAGATCACCAACACCATGAAGGTCGTCGCTTCCACCAAGCTCACCCGTGCTACCCGCACCATGAACGACTCCCGCAAGTACGGCGAGGCTTCCAACGAGGTCTTCAAGTCCGCCGAGACCACCGCCGCCGAGGCTGAGGAGAAGAAGTCTCTCATCATTGTCTGCTCTTCCGACAAGGGTCTCTGCGGTGGTATTCACTCTGGTTTGAGCCGTACCATCCGCCGCCTGACCGCTGAGGAGCCTCCCTTCGACCTGGTCATCATTGGCGAGAAGTGCAAGGCTCAGCTGTCGCGAACCAACGCCAAGGGTATCCAGCTCAACTTCGCCGGTATTGGCAAGGACATTCCCACCTTTGCCGATGCCCAGGCCATCGCCGACCAGATCGTCCTGCTGCCCACTGAGTACACTGATGTCAAGATCTTGTACAACAAGTTCATCAACGCCACCAGCTACGAGCCTACCTTCATTGAGGCATTTTCCGAGGAGGCCATTTCCCAGTCCCGTATGTCGCGCTCCTAATGTTCCTACGCTTTTTTGATCACCAAATGATGCTAACAGTCTAAATAGCCAACATCTCCGCTTTCGAGGTTGAGGACGAGGCCCTTGCCAACCTGCGCGAGTACTCTCTTGCCAACTCCCTCTACTGGGCTCTGGCTGAGGGCCACGCCTGCGAGCAGTCTGCCCGACGAAACGCCATGGAGGTAAGTTTTTAATTACACCTTTTCTTGTTCTCCTAAGTTTTTCTTTTATGGTGCTGATTAAATCCCGCAGAACGCCTCCAAGAACGCTGGTGAGATGATTGGCAAGTACCAGATTCTGTACAACCGTACCCGACAGGCTGTCATTACTGGAGAGCTGGTCGAGATTATCACTGGTGCTATTGCCTCTGAAGAAATGTAAAAAAAGAAAAATGCAATTTTCATTTTTTTACTTCTTTTTTTGTCGGTAGAAAGAAAGCAAAGAGCTGGCACGCCGGAGAAAGAGAAAAGAAAAAAAACAACCACCTTTTTTCATCCTGTGTAATAACAAAGCTAGAGGTTACCCAGCGCGGTGTCCCCAGTCAGTGTATCAAACCCACAAATAAATTTTCTTAGTAGATACCAGCTCGAACGGAAATTTTTGAATCAAGATGAAAAAAATAAATGACCGATCATGTTGATAAGCTTGACACCATATTGAAGAGCTCGAGAGCTATGAACAATTAATAAGGACGACTTCCAATTGATTAATATATATACCTCGCCCTATAGACATGCAATACCTAGGTATGTAGTATGAGCCCATCCTCAAGCAAGACTTTTAAACCGTCTTCTACAAAATGCTACGGGACCTAAAACATCCAAACTCCACGTATATACTGCCCCAGAGGCCGATTTTATGATCCCATGTCGCTATCTCCACCCTCCGCATAACTCACGTTCCTCGCCCGCCGATGCTTCTGCATCATCGACGCATCCTCCGGCCCTTCCTCTGGACCCGGCAAACTGGGATGCTCCTGTTCGTAGGCGGCTCGAAGGGTGATAGCCTTGCGATCCCACTTCTCCGCCAGCTCGTTGTACTCTTGCATCGCTTGTAGGTAGAGCTTCTTCTGCTCAGCGGCCTGCTCTTCATATGGTTTCCTTTCGTCCGGCGTGGCCTCTTTCCACATACGAGATGTCATTATGCGGACCTCATTTGGTAGCGACCGTGTCTTGCCGGGTTTGCGACTTTCTTCGCACTTCTTTTTCGCAGCCTCAAAATGGGCCTTGCTGAACAAGATGTAGGCACTGCCGGCGACCTTGTTCGGGCGAAGTGGTCGCTCGCCAATCTTGGAGAGGACGTACTCCCATACCTCTATTTCGTATGCTTCTAAGCGCGCCTGCCGGGGATCCTTGGCCGCTTCCTTACGTTTATGCAGCAAAAGTGAGTCCCGCGGGAGAACGAGAGGAGTCGGGACCTCGATGGGTCCGATCAATGATTCCAAGACTTCGGATGCGGCACGCAGTCCTGACAGATATGCGCCATGAACAGTCGCCGGGTGCGTGCCGATGGTATGCTCACCAGCGAAAAATAGATTGCCTGTGGGTTGGGCCATGACGTTGTAGTCTTCTGGCTGCATATTGGGGGCAGCCGAAGAGTAGCTGCCTCGGGCAAACCGATCAGAACCCCATCTCGTAACTACCGTTTCTATGGGATAAGGAACGTCTTTACCGAAGACGCTCCTCAAAATCTCCGTGGCTTCGGCGACGAGACTGTCATTGCTCGTATGCTCTGTATCAAAGCCAGCGTCTCCAGCCATAAGTGCGATTAGGCAGGGTAGACCAGTTGTATTGGTGACGTTGAACCACTGGAAGAAGCGTCCCCGGTTTGTGCTATAATCATGCTGGGATGTGCTATGACGGTTGGACGCATCTCTGAGTACACCAAAGATATGTCTGTCTGAATCCCAAAATATCTTGTCGTAAAGCAAGACAACCTTGTTGAGGATTCCAAACCCTAGTCGGCCAACTGCATCTACCTTCTCTGAAGGTAGTGGAGGCTCGAAATTAATATTGCCTTGCTTGAGGACCCCAAGAGGTATGGTGCAGACGACAGCATCGGCTTCCACTTGTGTACCATCTTCGCTTTCAATGCTGGCTGGGCCGTCAAAACCCTTGCCGTTGTAGGTGATTTTCTGCACGGGGAACTTGGTTGTAATGTCGAGTGGCGACGGACATTGGAGCAGGCCACGAGCGACACTTTGATACCCGCCGACAACCATAGTGTGGTGGCCCTCCCATTCGTTGCCGGCATCAATGTCCCACAGGCCGAGGCTCAAATTATGCAGATTTGTAGCATTGCTATATTCTAAATTGGCAATGTGCCAATTTATTAATCGATGGTCTTGTGCGTTTAACTCAACAATGTTCTTGTACTGGGTAATGGCGTGGTCCAAGACTGATCCCAATGTTGACCCTTCCAGAGTTGTGGCAGGGGTTAAATCGAGGTTGCCCTTTTCTGCCGCCCCCGGTCTAATGTTCCATCCCATCAGCCTTGCCTTTTCCGATGCCTTGATGGTCGCAGGAACTCCAGGCTCGTTATGTACTCGGCCCGTCAGCTTGTCTGCAGAGACTGGAACCATGTTTACCGTCTCGGGTACGTTTTGCTGGGACACTGATGGAGCATCGGGAAGCGCGGCGGTGGCCTCTTCGGCTTGCATTATCGTCTTGGAGCCATCTCCGGGGCTATCCCGTCCGTCATCGATTAGGTCACGGTTGCCTTCAATCAGCTTGGATGACTGGGACTTGAACTTGAACTCGCTGACGCGATCTAAACAATCATTGTAGAGTTTTTCAACCAGGAGATCCCTGACTGGGTCTACCGGCTTGCCATTGCTGTCGTAAATTGTAGTCTCAGCAGTAAGGGAATGATATGGTATGCCCAATTGACCGCGGACAATCACATTCAAGGGATTACCGCGATCAAAGCCCGTGATAATCATGCCACCCATTTCGGCGGTGTGCCTCATTCCCTTGAACTCGGTTTCACTTTCGGCTGGTCTTGTTTTGAATTCGCGAGAATATACTCTGCCTCCAACACGACCTCTGCCTTCGAGAACAATCACCTTCGGTGGCTCTTCTCCTCTTGCGTAGAAGTGGCCAGCGTGCTGTTTAAAGAGGCCATCTAGCTGCCTGGCGCAGGATAAGCCCGAGATGCCTGCTCCAATGACAGCGATAGTTTTTCGCTTCTTTGTAGGTGGCTCATTCCTGGACTCAGTTTGGGGTTCAGGAAGCTGCACGCAGCCATAGTTTATGTATCCACGGCGAACCAGCCAGTCGTAACACACGTTCGCAGCATCGAACCAGCGCGCATTAGCACATCCGACCGCCTCGTGCCGTGTTACACTGACCGACGGCTGCTTCATCCATATGCGTAATATGCCGTTTCTGATATTCAGGTATGTCGTAACCTGAGAGTGGGATATGTGGTGCCGTAGGAAGTGATACTCTTCAGGATGTAGTGCGTACGGATTTAGCCGCGATGATTCGGCCGCAGCGATGCACTCGCTGGCATATTGGTAGGATGGAATGTCTGTGGGGACTGATGACTTCGGCCGAACATTGAAGGTCAAACGTTCGATATCATGGCGGTGCGATGAGGCCGAAAAACTTTGTGCAACCCCAGTGATCTGTGGGCGGCTAGGTATTTCAGTCTCGACGGGTGTTGTAGCCTTACTAGAGACAATTGAGGGAGATGATGAGGCGTCTGAGAGTTCTGTCAGGGAGGAATGCGAGGAAGAGAACGACTCAGCAATGGCGTCGTCTGTGGGTTCGGCTGGTAACGGGCTATCGTCGCCGTGCTGATGCCTCTCATCACTATACAAGGATTTGAAAACAATTAGAATAAATCACTGACAATTAGATATAACAAGAAGCAAGAGAAAAGAAGAAAAGAAATTTCCCACGATGTGAATTTTTTTTTTTCTTTTGCTTAGGGTGGTGGTGGTTGTCATGGACTCACTCCGTGTCGAGATGCATGCCAGAAGAGCCTTCTGGGTCGTGGCTTGATAGGCTGCTGCTGCTCAAATCCATTTCTTCCGTCCACACAACAATTTCGGGTGCGACCTCTGAAGACTCATCCGACGAGCCTTGCCCCGATACCTGGGGATAGCTTAGACTGCTGCTGGGCGACGCCGGTATCTGGCTCTGGCTCTGGCTCTGGCTCTGGCTCTTGGTGACAGGCTCTGGCGCTAGGCTTGATATTGACGAAGAGTCGACGTCTTGCGGGTGCGAGAAACTCGGCCCAATCGGCACATCCTTTTCTAGGCTGAGATGATTCTCGACACCAGTTGCCATGGCGGATGGTCTAACCAGGCACCTGCTCTGACAGCGATTAGGTAGGGTCGGTGTCGATATATGAGAGGCTACGGATGTCGGAATGGAGACGGGATCATCGACGACGACACTCGGCAGTATGACAGTCATACAGCATGACGCTGGGCAGACGCATCATATGACGAGGGAGTCTGCCATCAAAAACGTCTGTCTGGTCGGGTTGTCAGCCAGGGGACTCTACAGCTCTCACTCGCGGGTGTATATACCTATTTTGTAAGCGGAATAATAAGTCGTTTGGAGCTTCACTGGCTAAGGAGTGTATCTAAAGGAGTAGTGGCTACAAGGCTGCGATGCAAGTCCAAAATGCCACTGTCATTGATTATCGGACCATTGAAGGTTTTCAGGCGGGAATGAATCAAGTTCAACGGCGCAGCGGCCAGTATTTTACTCCAAGGAAGGGCCAATGAGCAGGAAATAATAGAGCCATCAGCTCATCGCGGCCCCTCAAGAGCGCCGAGTTCATCGCATAGGCAATGGTCACGTGAGGCAAACAATCCAATCGCGACGCTCTCTGGTGTGGGGCGCGCTCTACTTGAACTAAGTCCGCCAGTATCTCGCGAGTAACGAACTTCAAACCACTTTTGCATCAGCGACGAGGCAGCTCGATTAAGATCCAAAAGGGAAGAAAAGGAGAAGAAGAAAAACGCAGTCATGCCAATTCTTGACCAAGATGCTCTCATGCCCCGCGAAAATTAACCCCCGCCAACCAGTACGCCGTCAACTCCAAAACATCGTATGCGACTCTGATAACCTTGAGCCTATGGGCTGCTGGGCAGCGGCGTCTCCTTGCGCGCGAACGCTTCTTTCTCGATTGCCGCGTCCATCATGCGGTTCCCGCTAATTATAGAAGTCGCACAGATGACTATATTTCTCCGACCTGGAAAGAAAAAACCACATGTTAGCCGTGAGCTCTGATGGGCATAGACCGCGTCTTCGACTTCGCTTACCTTCTTCTTGCTTCGCGATAAATCTCAACGCGGCAATCTCTGTAAACGTGACTCCTCCGATGAAGACCACAAAGACTGTCTGCTTATGTCCGCTGCCGGATAAGAGGGCTCTCGCCTTGACGGCCTTGTCCTCGCCCTTCTGAAGCTCATAGAACGTCTGTCCTCGAACATGCTTGACAGCTTCGTCGAATCCTTGCCATCCTTGCGTTCCTGCCCCAGGGGCGCCGCCGCCGGCATTCGCTGGGACATTGCCCTTCGTTATAGACAACAGGTACTGCTTCTGAAGAATGCATTGTACAAGTCGGATCGAAAGAGGGGCATAGCCACTATACACGTATGCGATGTCGTTGGGATCGTCCTCCTGTACTTCATCGACAATCAGCCGTAGCTGCTTTCGTAAATACGTGTAGTTGGTTTTGGTCCCATCAGCGCCAGCATTTCCGGTCATCGGGATCATGCCGGCAAGTGGAGATGAGCGCGATAGGAATAGCTGTAGCTTCTCCAAGTTGTTGAGCGTGAGGAGGTGCTGATAGCCATACCCTTGAAGTATCAGACGCTTGAACTGCTCCAAATCCTTGGGCTTAATCCCCCCAGATATGCACGAGTATATGCAGAGCAGTCGAAGAGTTTCTCGTAGGGGAGCCTCTCTGGCTATCAGCTCTTCGATGCCGTCGAACTGCGACGATGGATCGGCGCCAGCAGCGAGATTCTGCTGGACCTCCAGAAGGCCCTTGAACAGATCTGTCCGCGTGTGCTTGATGATTTCCTCGGCGAGACCGGTGTGTATCCTCGCGCTCTGGTGTTCTTGTTGGTAGCCGGGTAGTTGGCTTACAAACTCTTTGAGCTCGGCAATCGTCTTGGTTTTATGCTTGCTCTCGTAATCAGTTTGGACCTTTTGCAGGCGCCTCGCGACCTTGTTGAGCAGCCCGCCCACAATGGCAAAGTTCGCGTTCCGCAGCTGCTCGTATAGTTTATCGCTAGAGTCGAGCTGAACCGTTCGTTTTCTGCTCTGTGAGGTGGCTGCGGAAGACTGCGCAGGCGCCCCCACAATGGTTGTGTCAACCTTGGCCTGGTTATTTTGAATCTCAAAAATCTCATCGATGAGCCCCTCATATGTCAGCTGTGTGAGCAACGGGGTGACAAAGTCGACTTCACGATCGATGATTATGACGCTCTCGTTGGTCGTGCTGGGGGTGAGCGCTGTCTTGACGTCGCTTCCGTCCTCGCCCGCCAGCCGCTCTTGACGCATACGAACGAGGAGATCGGCCACGCGCTTCGCATTGTCGCCTTTGCCAATGATTCTCGGAAACAAACCATGGTTCTGCTGCACCTCCATGAGCGCCTTGGCCATGAGGAAGTTTGGAGTGACATCCTTGGACAGGTAGAGGTCCTTGAAGGAATCCTCTAGCTCAAGCGATAGGACGTCATCTTCGAGCGGGAAGAAGAGCAGCGGCAGCTCGGATATGTTGACATCGCCGAGAACGCCAGCTTCCTCGAGCAACTGGTCGGACACAAGAGTACGCCGCGGCACCCAGAATATGTGAAAGTCATGAGTCGTCTGGCTTTCCCGCTGAATTCGTTTAATCTGAGCTGGAGGGGCACATTTGCGTCAGCTCACTCGGCCTCGATGAGGACTACGTCTGCCTGCTAAGCAATTCCGATTTCGATTTCACAAGTATGACGACAGACATTCGACGAGGCCAATAAGGAACTGGGCACCGCATCGTATCGCACAACACCTGATCTGATCTGATCTGATCTGCATCGCAAACCGCTTCTTACCTGCTATTGCCTCTGCGTGCCGGCCGCATTCCCCTCTGGCGACGAAGACGACATTGCGCTGGCTCGCATCCACGTTGTTGTTCTCGAGGATGAAGAACTTGTCGACGCCGTACTCCTGAAGCGTGGCAACCTTGACGATTGTACCGATGGGGCCGACTAGGCTGCGGTCAAAGACGAGGTTCTTCTTGCCGCGGACCTACAAAAGCGTCAAGCTGTGTGTTTAGCAGTCGGGAAGGTCTCCAGACAGAGACAGTGAGCCTTACTTACACCCTCGAGCAGGTAGAGCAGGTCCTTGCGCGCTTTGCCCCGGATCTGCTCGGTGCTGAATTCCGCGCGCGGAGCCATGATTGCTGGCCGTGCAAGCGGGGAGCTCGTGGGGTTTGGGGATGAGGCAGCTCGGGAGCTCTGGTCTAGCGGCAGGTTGCACGAGATGCGAGGTGTGGCTCAACTCGGCCCCTTGTCAGTGGGCGGTGAAGCGCTGGCGGGGAGCCCCGCAGCTTGCGGCTTTAGTGACTGGCACAGGGCATGGTGTCACTGTTTGGCACAAGTTAGCAGGTCACGTAGGTAATGGATCCATTCAATTATGATTATGAGTCTGGTGCAAAAGCAGAGGCCCAGCGACGACGTCATATGTTCCCTTTGGGCTCATGTCGGCAGATGGAGGCCCGTCATGCCATTGATGAGAATTTTTCCTTTGCTGTCTACCACAAAGGCGAAAGCAGACGGAGGAGGACACCGACGATAGCAGAGGTGCAGTTTGTATCTCGAAAAAGAGTAATCAATTCTATGAACTCTGATTATGCGAAAATGCATCTTCTAGGTTGGGAAAACAAGGTTTACATGAGCTTTCCTCGCCAGCCATTGCCCCAGTTGCGCCGTGCATGCGCCCGATGCCTTTGCCGTCGATTTTGCGCGAGGCAGCGATGTGAGAACAAAAACCACACCGCTCCGTGATAACTGCCGAAGAGGAGACAAAGAAAAAAGAAAAAGAAAAAGGAAAGGAAAAGATCGCTTAGCGTCGAGAATCAGCAGAAGAAAGCCTCAGATTGCCATAACAAATGCCTGGTTCCGTGCCACAATATAGTGATTGTAAAACGCCGATGAGCCATCGCGGCTGCTGAAACAATGCAAGATTCCACCAAAGGAAAATAAAAAAAGCAAAAATCCCTGCTATCAATAAAACCGAGGTCGTTACACGGTATTATCGTGATATAGGAATTCTATATCCCGGGGTCGCTGCTTGTTCCCGCGTACAAACTCTTCGTCGCCAGGTGGTCGCTCGTTCTTGTTGTTGCTCGTCAGCATGCTTTGTATGCTCATGCAGACGCTCTCGGCGCTTTGGACTGGGCTCCATCCTTGGTTTCCCAGGAGATCGAGACATATGATTCCGTTCGAATAGATGTGTGGGTGCATGGGAACTGGGCGGGCTGGTCTGTCTACAAAGGTAACCTCGGGGGGTTCTTGAAATGTCTGTTAGACGACGGGCTCCAAGGCGGGCGATGCGGGGAGCTGGCAGAACGAGATTACCTATAGGATATGACTCGGAGAAGACGAATTTCAGCTGGTAGACCTTGTCGTTGTATAGAGGGTTGTTGTCCAGGACGCGAATATCAAAGAGCCATTCTTTCAAGTCGTTGCCGTCCACAAGCTCGATGCCAGGAGGCAGGCCGTACTTATCAATCTGCCCATGGTCAGCGCTTAAATCTTTGATACGAGCCGCCTGGTACCAGCATGGGAGTGGGAGTGGGCGAGGGAGACGGCAAGATAGTAGTACCTTCTGACGCTCCTTGGCCACTCTTTTCGTTCGCATGCTCGTAGCCATTCTGTCTGCCGAAAGGAGGTCTGCGGAGAGGCGCAAGCGGAAATAGCAACAACGAGTCGGTGTTTGTTTGGGTGGTTGATCAAGGCATTCAGAGAGAGGTATGGAGGAATATGTACTAAAAGGCCAAGTCCCGTGCGGCAGCCTCGACTGTTTTAAATGCGTCGGAGGGGTCTGAGGCAGCTCGAGTGTGGCGCTGCAGATGGGACAGCGACACTGAGCCAACGCCCAAAAGTTAGTGCATGCAGCCTTTGTGGCGGACTGTTAGACTAAACCGCCGGCGTCTGCAGTGAATGATGCGAAACTCAGTTTATTAAATCGACTACATGTACCTACGCAGATACATGCACACACACAATTACACCTCGCACGCAGCCATTCAGTGCCCAAATGAATAGGAGGCCTGCTTACATGTACCAAGGTGCTATTGTCCTCGTCTATTGTCTATGCAGGACTCGAGGTCACCAGAGCATTACAGTAAGCGCTTGTTGACGTATGCATCTTGTGCAGAGTGCAGACTGGGAATATTACCGACTTGATATATGCAAGACTTTGCACTACCGTGTCCAATTAGAATCTGTATGGATGCTTTATGGAATTAGAAGTGAATTATCCTTTTATATATACAGCCGCTTTTACATATTTTCCTTCATTTCTAACAACGCCACGCATACCTTTTCAGTTTCAAACACAAAAGTCAAAAACCTACCTTCATAGTATACGACGTGGCTCAATTATCCAACCTGACGTACATGTACATAGGTAGGAACATGCACGTATACATTCAGCGTTTGCTCAAAACCGCAGACACAACACTACTACTACTACTCGTCTCTCATTCTCCTCGAAATCACTTTCCAGTCTCCAGATTCAGGTTCAAGCACAAGCGTCTGCACCGACGTCATCCAGTTCTTAACCACAACAACGCGATGCAAGTTAACAAAGACCAGCTCTTGATTCGGTGTCATGGCCGCCATAGGACGCCCGTATGTCTCCGTCCATTCAGGCAAGAGGAAGAAATGACGTCTCGCAACGCAAGTAGACGCGAACGTCTCCAGATTCAGGGTACACACCCATGAATTGTAATCCACAAAGATGAGCGTTGTGTCGAAGACGACGAGAACATCCTTGAGGACGTCGGTTAGGTGCTGTAGGCCGTTGTAGGGTGTAATGGTGATGAGTTCGTCCGAAGTAGTGAATTGGGACGAGTTCCAACAATTTATCTTGTTGCCTTCTAGAGGATATACAAGGTTCTCCACGTAGATGCCGTTGCCTAAGTAATGAAGAGTGTCTGTTGGCTGCGAAGGAACAGTATCTCCATCTCGTAGAATTTCTAGTCGTCTGCCTTTATCTGCTGATTCGATGTCGCTCCAAGGGAATAGATAGACAGAATCATCCTCGAAAACCATAAACTGTGAAGCATCCGATGGGCAATTATGCGCGGCTCTTTTTTTAGTCTTGTATTTCGGCACGTCTCTGTTCTTGAGAAACTTCCCCGAAGGCAATTCCAACGTGGTACTACTCATCGTCGTCATGATGAGCAGGCAATCCTGTGTAGGGCTGACAAGCAATTGCTCAATCATATGGCGGTCAAGGTCATAATGAGCTACAATAATTGCCTTCATCCATCGGTTTGGCGATTGATTTGACTCTAAAATCGTCACGAGGCCACGCCAATCGCACTTGATTATCAAGTCTTGGTTTTCTCGTTCAGCGACTGCAATCCTACTTATAACTCTTGGAACCGGAGCTCGGTGGAGGACGCTGATCACGGAGCCATCAATTGTTGAGAATACCCATATTTCCCCATGCTCATTTCCACATATAGCGGCCGTCCCATCTTCAGATAAGACCATGGCTGAGATCTCGCCTCGCGTTTCCGTTGGAGATGGTTGCTGCGAACTAGGTACCAAGGTATTGCTATTCTCATTGACGTGCTGAGAATTGCCAAATGTGTACAGCGAGCGAGAAAGATCCCAAATATGACATTCGGTGAGATGAATGCTCGCAAATCGGAGCCCATGATTCGCTGTAGAGATCTGGGAAATGACTTTGTGGGGATAATTGGTGCGATATATAATCTTGAGCTTAATCGATTCAACATCCGGGCAGAGCTCATATACATCTATAGTGTGCATATGGGCCGTGGTGTTTTGTGTGCCCACGATCAAGTATCTGCCGTCTGCAGACCAACTGAGGACATGCGCTGATACAAAAGGTAGCATTAGAATTCTTGACATTGTACCAGTGTCAAATGCTGCTAAAGATCCATTAACATGCGAAACGACGAGAATCTCGTGCTGGGGGTTGAACATTATGGCTCGGACAATGCTGTCTTCATGCGCACAGCATGTTCCGACAAAATCAGAGTCATCAACGTCGAACAAGTAGACATCTTTAGTATGAAATGACGCAGCCAGAATGTTGGGATAAATAGGAGAGAAAGCAACATGTTGAAGCCGGTTATCTTCCCACGGCCAAGATTCGGAGGCTGCGGAGGACGGGAACCACTTGCGAGATCTGGACTCGGAGGTTGAAAGGTTCCTTTACACATTGTCAATAAACCCAAATTTTGATGGCTTAAACGAGTAGGACCCAAGTTCTCACCTTGAAATCATGTCGCCATCCTCTAGAGCAATATGAAGCTCATCGTCTTGAAGATGAACCGCCTGCGGCGAAGAGCAAGCTATACGGTGAAGCTCAGAACCGGATTTTACGTTCCAAATCGATACTCCCCACCGTCCAGAAGAAACAAGATAGGTATCCTGATTAATAAATTCCAGCAGCGATGCTTTAGAATCCGGGTGTACAAGGCTAATGTGAGGCTGCATAGAGGCTGAATCATAGACATCAATCTCCCCATCGCGCAGACCAATGGCGAAATGCTTCTCTCCATAACCAACGGAATTAACCTCTTGGTCAGTTGGTATGCGCAGAAGACAATCGTCCCAAGTCGGATCCCTCGTCCCAGAAACGGCTATAGTCGAAGGGGGAAGAAGCGCACTCTGAGAAACCACCGAGGACGTGGGACATAGAGTGGGGATGAGATCGTGGATGATAGAAGGGTCGAGTAGCAGCTGATCACGAAATGTAAATACTACTCGAGATAGATCAGTTACCCAAGATTTAAGCATCTGGAATTTGTCTGGTATCAAATCGTGCATTTCTTCGTTGATGTAGAGGGCTAGATCCATGGATGTCCTTGGAATAACGACAACGAGAGATTCCGAAGCAAGGTACTCTATCCAGAAAAGGGCTTTGATATTAAGAAAGTCAACGACTGTATTGAAGAGCTCAAGGCTATTTTTATCAGCTTCAATGAGATGTTGAGAAAATGATGTCGATGCATATTTGAGAAAGAATGCGGTTGCGTTTTGTTGCACACTGTTAGCCCCTAGCTCTAATGTCCCAGGCAGATGTTGAAATTGAGCGTCCAGATATGAGATACAAAGATTGGCAAAACGGCTATGGCCCTGACAGCGTGGAATGGCTAATGAGGAATTGAGGCCTTCGCTGAGGAAAAACTCCCTCGCAGTTTCGTGTACAATCTGAACTCTGCTTCTATGATTAATAGTAACGAACTGGCTACACGTGAGCATAATGACCTGGTCCATCTTGTGTAGCGTCTGGCCAAGCTCGTACTGTATCGCGTGGCACAATTCATCCAACGTCATTGGCCTAACAGCTAGGACGACGAAGAATAGGATGCTCTTTGCGACTTTAGCCCTCCGTCGTTCGTTTTCGATGGTGTGAAGGATTCTTTCATACATTTTATATAAGTCATTGGGGACCTCGTTGAGAATCTCTTCGACATCTTCGTCTGTAAAGGCAGTTTCGAGCTCCTGCAATACGAGGCGAACCCACATGAAGGATCCTGACGCCTTTTCAACAAGTTTTGGCTCAAGCTGGGCGATATCATGAAGAGATAGTATTTCCAACCCGGCATGTATAACTGCTTGAATATCCGCAGCTGTTTTGAAATTGATCAGTATATCAAATTCCGCCTCAGGTATTAGCAGAGATGCAAACTATAGGAAGACACCGACCTGTATCCGTTATGGAGAGGGAATGGGTAAGAACACGATAACCTAGAGAACCAATGCCGCGTTCAATCTCAGGAGTATTTCTGCTGGTAACAAAGATTTGAATAGCGTCGGGAATCTGCGAGGCTAGTTGGAAGAAAGCTGATGCACCCGAGCATTCATCCAGACCATCGATCAGCCAATAATGAGGCGATTTAAACCGAACCTGGAATATACCATCGACAAATAGCTTCCGCCATATAGACTTTTCATCATGCAATTGCCAAGAAACGGAGTTGTCTTGTAGTTTGAATATCCGCCGTCGCACTGCTGGATCATTCAACGCCATTTGGTAAGCTATATGAAGCAAGAAAGGCCCCAGTCCATTACTACTTGTCTGGCCCTTCCGAAAGAAGTAGTATTCGCAATAAGCACCTTTGGCCTTTGTAAAGTCAACTGCATGGCCAAATATAATGGATTTTCCGGTTCCTGGGGACCCTGTCAGCCAGAGGATAGGAGGTGAGGCTGGCACTTCAGATTGAATTTCGAAATCCAGCCATTCCGCGAAGACAACATGCTCCGTAAACCAGGCACACGATCCCGGTAGTTTCGCATTTTGGCAATTAAATAAGTCGTCTTGATAAGAGTCGTCGGTGTTCAGATACTTTTCGAGTCTAGCTCTTGATGCTGTAGCGGAATAAGGCTCGTCTTTTCCAAGTTAGTGATAGACATAGATTGTGATATTTGAACGGGTATTGATTCAATTACCTTTGAGCTGAATCATCTCCACAGCTCTACTTAGAGCATTTCGCACTTTTCTATAATTCGGATCTTCAATGCTACCGAATTTACAAATGTGTCGATGGTCGGCATCCAGAGGAAGGACTTCTTCGTGACTATATCCAAGTGTAGCGGAGAACTTATCCACCAACACAATTGCGGGTCGTTCAGTTACTGGACGGGTTTCAAAGAATGACCATATATGCAAATCTGCAGCGTAAGGCTGAAATAAAGCATTAAGTTCAGTCAGATACGCCGAGTTTGCAGAGAGGTCGTCGAGATAGGGCTTAGAAACACCCATGACCTGGAGAATGTTTCTAGCAACCTTGGCTAGATTGGATCCGCGATGAGGAGTGCCCAGGAAGATGATCGAATGAAACCTTGACGCAAGTTCGTCGGTCGTGGGACTCTGCCTGGCCAGAACATATGCTGCCTTGGCGATGTTTCCACCCATACTGTGTCCGATGAGAACGAAGTTGGTCTTGCTTCGCCTTATCGATGGGTGATTCTTCATCTCTCCCAACAAATCTTGGCCGAAATCATGAATGGATAGGATACTAAGACTCCGGTCTCGCCAATTTGCATCGTATCCAAACGAATGAATGCGTGCCGTCTTGAAGCTTGGATCATTCGGCAGCCAGTCCTGTGGCCAGAAGCTCTCCGCGTCACGAGATCCTGACCATGTCTTTTTGGAATCTCCTCCCAGTCCATGGACGAAGATGACGTCTACTAGAGCAATCTCTCCTGGATCATACAATGTGTTTAGCCCCATGGGTCCCTTGGGCCTAGAAACGCTGACGGGGCGCTCATGTCTGCGTCTAAACTTGGTGAAGAGGTGAGCGCGGAACGAACCAAGGGAGGGTCCTTGGGGCTGGTCCGTGTCTGCTGGAGAGTCTTTGAGCCCTATCGTATTACGGTTAACGAGGGTTTGATCAGACAAGCTTTGACCAAGTGAAGTAGACGTCGCTGTTGGCTCTGGGTTCGCTTTCGATTGGAGCGTTGGGCCTAGCTCCGTAGCTGTAGACGTCACCGGTCTAAATGCTGGCGCCCTGGTATTTGAATCGCTCTCCATGACTGCTTGAGGTCGTCACTCGCCTTAATTTCGGATTACTTTTGCTATAAGAGAGAGAATTCGAATTTTGAAAACAATATTTACCAGCCTACAAGAATCCTACAAGCGAGTACGTATAAGCGGCCAAGGATGAAGAGCCAACAGCGGCTGGTATCACTGGTATCTCCACCCCGGCGGCTCTATGCAACACATGATGGGACAGACAATGATGTGGTTCGTCAAATCCACACCTGGTTACTTGAATGTTTATGAATTCCTTCTTCTTCTCTTTTTATGCAAGTAAAAATGTACTAGACGTAAAACAGAGACGTATTGATGTCGAGCACTATACTCGTACCTCCATGGATGGAGTACGCCTAATGCGTTTAAAGCACCAGACCTCATGGTACCAGGGACATGTAACACCTAAATCTCACCAAGGCGTCCTCAACTCAACAAGGTCATAATAATCATCAAGCAAATTAGCAGCTCAATTATTCACATGGATCAAACGGCAACACACGCATGTTCATACTTGCCGTTAACCGTCCAAGTCCGGAAAGAGATTCGATAAGCTCCGCCATCCGATCACGCACGCGACCCGCCCAGAGGCCGCTCGTTTTAGCGGTGCGAGTTACCACAAGCAGTGTCAAATGCCACACCAACCAACTGGCTTGTATCGACGGCCCTGTACTCCGTAATCAGCCTTGCAATAAGCCGTAGTGCGGTTGGAGCCCTTGAACGAATCGACAGCCGCTTCTTGGCATATCGGAAGGGCGACGGAGGCCGCCTACCCGCCGCCAGATTCTAGGGCTTTGCCGTGTCTCAAATCCAACTGAGAAGTGCATCTGCACCGGCGTGTTTGCTGGTTGGTTGCTTGGGCACGGGTTTGACCGAATGCCACCAGGACTGAGCCACAGCCCAGCCAGTGCGACATTGCGGTTCTTTGCTATCTGGTTCGTCTGAGGCACGCACGGTGACGTTTGCCGACAGCAAGGCGTTCCTGGTGAAAATTCAATTCGGACCAGACGAGAGGCCCGGCTCGCACAGCCACACTGCAGCCGTGCGACGAGAATGAGATTGATCCCTTGCTGCTGGCTAGAACTGCCGAGCTGTGCTTGTAAACAGGGTTCTTTTCTGGTGGTAAGAGTAATAGTCCCTGGGTAATAGTACACATCGTTTTGCGTGTGGGGGGCTCAGCCAAGAGCTCAGACAACTCAGAGTACCTTGGCGGTAGTACACAGAGAAGGACATATACACAACCGCCAGAGCATAACGTTCTTCTCGGTGCAGCTTGTTCCGTGTAGGCATTTACCAGACTGTATTACCTTTTATAACCTTGGACACTGAGAGCAATCAATTTCGAGTCTGTTAAAAGGGGCCTCATATATGGACTTGGATGAGTAACAGAGGGCTGGAAATAGAAACAGCAATTCGAGAGAGGTTTTGCATCAGGGGTGCCCCTCCTTTCCCTTCAGTTCTTACCCACTGTCGTTATGTAAGGATACCTGACCAGTACTTGTTGGCCGTTGACAGCACCCGTCCACACCCAGAGTCGCGATTCTGGCATGCCTTATCCACATGCAAATAGCCTTACTTGCTAGCAGCAGGCCATGGATCGTCCGCCCACCCTTTTCTGTCTCCTGGTCTAATACCTATGTATCTCCACTATGCAATACTAGCACGAGTACCTGTGCGAGTACATACATGTCTTAGTGCCCCTATGGCTGACAGCCGGTCTGGTGAGGGGCTAGCATGGGAACTTAGCAGGTATTTTAGACGGTCGTATTTAATCTCAGCCGTCGCATGTAGCTCCTTCAGCTCGTCTCTTGCTCTGCTGTCCTGTGGCTGTCGCTTCCTCCGCCGCTGTTTCTCGCCTCCCTTCTCCTCGGCTACCTCCTGGCCAGTTTTAAGTTGCGTCCTTGTTGTGTCTGCGCTTGTCAGTTGGAGCTGTGCTCGAATCGCAAACTTGGCTTGAATACCGCTTCTCGCGTCCCAGAGATACCCCGCCAGACCTCAAGATGAGTTGTAAGTCGCATTTCTTTACACCGCTGCCTGTGGAAAGGGACAATGGCGTCTGCGAGGCCAGCAGATGTATATTGAATTTCCACTGCGTTCTGCTTCATCTCTTGAGCAAACTCTGTTACGTACTGGTTGCTAACGAGTTCCACCTCTGAATCTAGTCGCTGGCATGCTAAACCGCCTCCATGGCCAACCCGAGAGCTATGAGAAAAAGTACGATACATACCTAAGAGATTGTCGACATAGAACCCAACGTTAACGGCTCGATGTTATAACACAGATCAAAGTACAAGTTCGGACGCACCCTTGGTGCCGGCACTTATGGTGTCGTTCGTGAGGCGGAAGGCCCTACCGGCAAGGTGGCTGTGAAAATCATCTTGAAGAAGAACGTCAAGGGCAACGAGCAGATGGTCTACGATGAGCTTTCCATGCTGCAGCGACTAAAACATCCTCACATCGTCAAATTTGTCGATTGGTTCGAGTCCAGAGTGTGTTGACCCTATATACTTCGCTGGAGAGTTACAAACCTGCTAACCGCAGCCGCGCCCATAGGACAAGTTCTACATTGTCACTCAGTTGGCCACAGGAGGAGAGCTCTTCGATCGTATCTGCGACAGGGGCAAGTTCACCGAGAAGGACGCCTCTCAAACAATCAAGCAAGTCCTCAACGCTGTTGACTACCTGCATAAGAATGATGTCGTTCACAGAGGTGCGAAATGTTCCTAAGCGTTAACAGAAGATGAAGCTAACAAGAAGCGTGTAGATCTTAAGCCAGAAAACCTCATCTATGTTACTCCTGATGATGACTCTGACCTCGTGTTGGCCGATTTCGGTATTGCCAAGACTCTGGACAGCAAGGACGAGACACTTAAGACCATGGCTGGCTCCTTTGGTTACGCGGCTCCCGAAGTGATGGCCAAGCAAGGCCACGGAAAACCAGTGGATATGTGGTCTATGGGTGTCATCACCTATACTCTGCTCTGCGGCTACTCTCCTTTCCGAAGTGAGAATCTGCAGGATCTTCTTGAAGAGTGCACCAGGGGAAGTGTCATCTTCCACGAGAGATACTGGAAGGATGTTAGCTCTGATGCAAAGGACTTCATCAACTGTCTCCTTGTCCCAGAACCTAACAAGAGATGGACTAGCGAGGTACTATGCCAATCCCCCATTCCTCCGCGCAAGACACGACAGATAGGCTAACAAAAACCACAGCAAGCTTTGGGTCATATCTGGCTCAGTGGCGAGAACGCCACCGACCACAACTTGCTGCCAGAAATCGAGGCCTTCCGAAGAAGATCCCGCCTCCGCCGTGCCATCGAAATCGTCAAGCTCCAAAACCGAATCAACAAGCTCAAGGAGCACGAAGACGACCCCGAGAACTCTGAGATGGGAGACGCTCAAGGGGGTGAGGAAAAGAAGGATGGCGCACGATTGCATGCTCTCGGTCTCTTTGCTCTTAAGGATGTTAAGCAGAAGCAGGAGACGTTGCAGATGGAGGAAGAGATGGGAAAGGAGGCGAAACGGCGTAGCTTTACCGAGAACTAAAAGTCTCGGAAGAGGAGGATTGCTTTTAGCTACTTTTTGGGCATATACTTTTGGTCTTTTCCTTATCATTTTTGGTTAACCAAATATTATTTCCTGCTTGTTTTTTTTTTCCCCGCATCAGCAATAAGTTATCGCGCCGTATCACTGATGCGTATTTTCTCGGGGGATTTGATACTTTTTATAACACAAAAATATCAGTCAATATACTTAGCAAATGCAAATTACGTTGAGGCAATAGAACTTTCTTTCTGGTAGACTTCAGGCAGAGGCTGTTTCTTCAAGCAATTCTTTGTCCTTTTTATTCTATCCTGTCCATTCCGGAATCTATGTGGTTTCCCCTTGAGTCCCGTCATAGCAAGCACACGTAGCTCACCTCCAATATCTATCGATGCCCTTCGCCTCAGCTCCAAAAGTACCAGTAGTAAACATCAAAACCGATAGCCCGAGTGAAACAAGACCGAGTCCAATCAAACAATACAAATGCAGAGTCCAATCAATAAATGACAACAGAACACCAATATTTTACTTTTTTGCTTTTATTTTTACTTTTGCTTTTTTCCCATTCTTCATTTTGCCTTAGGCAATATCGGCCAAAGCATTCTCCCGAAGGGCTTCATACCGTCGGAAGTCGAACCGTTGCCTTTTCCAGCCGTTGGCCCTCAGCCGCTCGATCCGCGTACGTAGCTCTAGAGCACGCATTTCCTCGCTAAGAAGTTGCGTAGGTTTGGGATTCTCTGCAGCGGCAATGTCACGCTCCAACCATTCCAGGTGAGAGGCGATTTGCCGCTGCAGGCCAGAGAGCACAGTGCAGTAGTGGTGAACGGAGCGGGCGTGGAGGAAGCTGTCTGCAGCGGTGGGGATATCAAAGTAGTTATCATCGTCGTCTGGGACGGTGCTAAACTCAGAGTTTGTAGGGGAAGGGAGCGGAAACTGTGGCCTTCCGGAGCCGAGCCGGAGGGGCTGCGGGAAGAGAGCCGGAGGTTCGGGAGTGGGCTGACGGACGCCCCAATCGTCGTCGAAACCAAGGGTAGGAGAGTCCGGACGGACCATGGGTTCATAGCTGGATTCGTATGAATCCTCATATGATGCCTCATGCGATGGCTCGTAAGAGGGTACATCGCAGAAGGCTACACGCTTCTTTGGCTTGGGCCGGCTGTTGGGGTTCTTCAAGCAGCTATCCAGGGAGCTGATTGATAGTGAGGGAGAGGAGATTCGCGTTGAGACTGTGGAAACTGATGCGTCTGAGCCAAAAGGAGTGTGTAGGCTAGGCATGGGAGAGAGAGAACGGGATGAGGGACGTCGCTTGGCAGCGTCGTCCTCTTTGATGAGATCAGCAGCAACGCGATAATGGTCGCGGGCTTGGAGGAGGAGCTTCGTCCTGTAAGGGGAGTTGTGTTGCAAGGAGCGAACTTGCATCTCGAGAGCAGAGGCGGCATAGAAGCGAATGTAGATGAGACGTGCTGTCTCTGGCTTGTGCTGTGATAGAGAGTGTTAGTGAAAACTGTAACAAAGCTTTTTGATTCGGTGGAGTCTCTTACCGAGTCTTTCATGTTGTCAAGAATCTCGTTACATCGCATAGAACATTGTCGATATTTTCGATTGACAAAGTCTCTTTTAACCTCAGCCAGAGCCTTCTTCCATTGCGCATGCGTTGTGGGGACAGGTCTAGGTAGTATGAGAGGCTCGGGAGTGACGCATTGTCGTGGTATTTGCCTATACTCCATCTCATGTGTTCTTGGTCTGTACGGTGTTGGTTCCCATGATGTGTGGTTGGGCTTGTCGTCTGGGAAAGAGAATGTGATTTTTGAGGCTGGAATGAGCGTGCTCATGCGAAGGGGGATGAGGCCCGGCATTGTGAAGAAGATTTCGATTGCTGATGAAGATGATTCCGGCGTTGAAAACGAAGGTTTGCCGCGTTGGTGTATCAAAAGATCGGAAGTAGTACGTGAAAGTACAATGTCGTAGTAGTGTATTCAAGACAGGAGAAGTGATGAGTGGCCAGAGCGTGTATATTCGTATGCAAATAAGATATGTAACGAATAGTTTGAAGAGAGGAGAAAGAGTGTAATAGTGTTTTAAGGAGAGTAGTATTATTCACGTAAAAGGAAACTACTCGAATGGATGCGAGCCGCAGTGTGAGAGAATTAAGTATACTCGTAATGCTAATGAGAGGCAGGAAAGGGAAGAAATGAGTGGTAGAATGCAAGACAGTAAGGATAGAAAGTTGGTAGAAGCACGATTTCAAAAACCGGCCCGCCAAGGGAGGGAGAGACTGCAGGTAGGGCTTTTAAGAAGGATTGGTTTGCACAACGAGTGTGGAAATGGCGATAACTATCGAGTACGTGAAGGAGGGGAAAGAAAAAGAAAAAAGAGAGAGGGAAAAAAAGCTCGGGCGTGTCTGAGACTGGCAGATGCAACACAGACACTTGCCGGCATCCCGGGGGTCTCAGAGGGGTTCAGAGTCCCGCCACCACGGGAAAGACTTTTTTCTTTCTTTTTCCTGCTTTTCCTCCGTTGTCTCTTGGCTTCTCTTTCTCCCAATTGGTTCAGCATCTATTGCCCCCCGCAACAAATCGTGTTATGCCTCTTCTTGCGGTGCTGTTGTGCGGCGTGCCTGTTGTGAACGATGATGCCTTGATCTCTCTGCTCCCACAACACCACGACAATAGAGACCCGGGAGCCTGGTGAAAACCCCATGCGGGCTCCAGGTCGTACTGCTAAAGTTGGCCACCCGGCCTGTCCCCTGGCCAAATCCCCCCTATGCCCCCTGCACGACAAAATCTGATCCCGGACAGCTGCGGTAGCCGTACCGGTTGGCCGTTCTGGCAGGCTACTGGACGCCACGCTAACGGCCCTTCCCCCTGATCCCGCTTCCCCGGGCCCTTGCCTGTGAGAAATTGTGGTTCTCGCGGGAATGAGCTGCTGCGGTGAAATTATGGACGACCGGGGATCTGCTGGAGTCCGTGACCTGTCGTATATTGCCTGTAAATGGATACCAAGTACTAGGTATGAAGTAGGTAATAACCGCACTGGTGATTGCAATTACTCCCTTGTAGGCAGCACCCGAGAAGGACTCAGTTCCTCAGACATAACCGTCCCGTGACAAATGTAGCATGTACCTATTACCTGGTATGCCAGGAAACTGGCACTCACTTTGCAGGTGCAGGTACGAGGGATCCATGCACCAAACCAAGGCAGGTACGGCCGTTACGCTTATCCCCAACGGAGCTGCAGGTGATGAGACAAAGCCCCCATTGAAAGAAGCAGGCAAGGGCTACCGTGTGTCTCTCTCTTTTGGAATGCGCGGGTATGCACGAAATGGTTTTCCGGTGTGAAACCTTTTTTTTTTTTTTTCGTTCAGTTTCCACCTTGCGCAAAACGCGTTCTTGCTTCATCAAACGTATAATCCAACCTCTCAACGCAAAGGCCCAAGAACCAACATACACTCCAACTCCCACCGTTTCGATCGACATCCAACTACTCATGTGCGGACCGAAGTACGGAGTCTTATTGCTCACCCAGAAAAAGGAAAAAATGGAAGAAAAAAGAAATGAAAGAACAACCGGAAGCCGGAACCGTTAACCGCGCCCAACAGTCATCGGCCACGACTATCCCTGCAGCACAAAAGCCGCAGACTAAGACAAGATGACCGACAAATACTACACTTTGCTTTTTCGTCTCTTTTTACCGGCATATGCAGCTTGTATGGCTTCCGAGGGTCATGACCCGACCCCATCAGTCGGCCGCTCGCCCAGTCACAGCTTCGTTTCGTCCGCCTCTCTCATACGATGCTGGCGCGTTGCGGCGGCTGCAGTCCGTGCTTGTTACTTCGCGCGTTTGGTGAGTGCGGCGTTGTGCCTCGTATTCAGCTCATCTCAGGTTCGAACACCCGACGAAGGGGGCTCCAAACGAGTGCTTGGTACTTTTGTATACTTCCTGTGCTCCATATCATCGTATACAAGCAGTACCGCCTATCGTAATTCTCGGCTTCTGCGTAACGCAACGTTCCACCAACAATGTGTTCATATTAATTACCGGGACGGTAGATGAGGTATCACATGTACGTGCAAATTCGGCTCTCTATCTAGATCAATGCTGGGACTGTTAGTATTGGCAACTCATCTTGATGAATCAAATCTGCGGAGAACCCCAAGATTTTTGCTCCGTATAAGATTAAAAATCGAGAAAAACGTGGCGTCCAAGCGGAATCGGCCCAGGTCTTCCATGGGACAGGCATTAGGATTATATCCGTTTGGAAGTTTGTTTAATTAAATCCGTTTATCTCCCGTTGCCTAGGTATCCCGTGATGCGAGAAAGGCAAGCCCCTGAAACTACTGCACAATCCATCACACTGGTAGTCCTGGGTAGTCCTGGTTGTCTTGATAGCTTTTTGGTCCCGGTATTAGTTCTTTGGATGGAATATTATGCACAAGTTGCTGAGCCAATACTCTATCACCTCGGATGCTGCCAGATACTCTACGTGGAATGAGCCATGGCAGCACTACCGCTCCTATATTGCCACTGCTTTTCCTATCAGCCAACTGCAGATCGAGAATCTACCATGTTGGATTTACCCCATTCAATCTCCATCACGAGTCAAGCTCGCACAGACAGTTGTAAGCCTAACTGCAAACTAGACCGTGGAGATTAAGCAAATTAAATAGCTATCATAGTGCCTGGTCGTCGTTGTCATGCTTTATATTCGTCATATCACCGTCTATCTTTTGCTTAAAGCGTTATCATGAATGTAACCTCCACTCGGTGAGCCAACATTGCGTTGTGACAGGTGTTATGACAAGTATAACACCAAAATGAAAAATGTCAACTTGGCTGGGTCCGATCCTGCGGCCGACTTATTGTATGACCTCCATCACAGCCAGGCCCCCGCCGCGGCCATTCTTTTCACTATAACGCCGTACGGGTATGTTACTCAAACTGCAGCATTGCATGCCATTTCATTCATTCGTTTTCGTCAAAATCTTCTATGAAGCCGGGGCTTCGGTGGTAGCATCCGTTGCTGGGACTTCCTCTACCTTGGGAGCTTCCTCTACCTTGGGAGCCTCCACCGGCTTGGGCGTCTCACCCTTGACGCCGCCCACCACCTTGAGGCCTTCAGCTTGTATCGTAATGCTCTCCAGCTCTCGCTTGCGTTGTATCCGGTATTTCAGATCATCCGCCATTCGCGATGTGTCTATCAGCACTCCATCCTTCTCGGGGTGTCCATCCTTGAGGCCCATCTCCTTGATCTTGACCTTGCCTTGAGCCAGCTCGTCTTCACCGATGAAGATGGCAAAAGGCACGCCGTTGGCTTCGGCAGCCTTGAATTGAGCCTGCATCTTGGGCTTCGCCTTATATAGGAATTCCGCCTGTAGATGTCCCATTAGTCTAATCAAGTCTGAGGGTATCGAATGAGAAAGTCTCTTACCTTGATGCCAGCCTGCCACAACTTTGCGCAGATCTCCAAGCGCTCCTTGACCAGTCCCTTTCCACCCAATGCCATGACATAGACGTCGACTTCGTTGCCGCGCACCTGGTCGGCTGACTTGTCTGCTGCCATCCGAGCCTTGGTGATGGAGAAGATACGGTCGACGCCGAATGAGATACCGACACATGGAATCTGAGTCTTTCCAGAGAACATTCCGACCAGGTTATCGTATCGGCCACCAGCGGCCACACTTCCAACGCCGATGGTGGGGTCATCGGACCGGTCATCGTCATCTCCTTTGCCCTTGGACTTCTTCTTGGAGGACTTTGCGGCATCCTCTGAACCAGGGGTTGCCTCAGGAGCAGAACCTTCAGTGACAACCTCGTAGATGAGGCCGGTATAGTAATCCAGGCCGCGAGCCAGGCCAAGGTCAAATGAAACCTTGTCCAGCGCGCCAAAGGCCTCGAGATACTCAAAAAGGAGAGTAACATCCGCAACACCTTGCTTCATAGACTCGTTTGCCGAAAGCTTCTCGTCGTTGCGCAGCTTCTCAAGCAGCTCGTGACGTCCCCTCAGGACAACCCATTCTCCAATGCGGTCTGCGACATCCTCTGCCAGGCCCTTCTCCTCGGTCATCTCTTTTCGGACGTCCGCCCAAGGCAGTTTGTCAAGCTTGTCAACTGCCGAAGAAATGGTTCTGATCTTGTCCTCCGGGACACCGCAGACCTGGAAGATACCATCGAGAATTTTACGGTGGTTGAGCTTGATGGTGTATGCGCCGTTCCATCCCAGACCCTCAAAGACTTCAGTGATGATGCGAATGACCTCTGCGTCGGGCAACATGGAATCGTAGGTACCAGCAATGTCGAAATCGCACTGGTAAAACTCTCGCATCCTACCCTTGGTCATGGCAGGCTGGTCTCGGCGGTAGACCTTTGCGATGTGGTAGCGCTTAATGTTCTGAATGTCCTTGTTCATCGCCAGGAAACGGGCGAATGGGACCGTCAGGTCATATCTCAGCGAGCAAATCTCACCACCTTGGTCGGCAAGGTCGTAGATAAGCTTGCTATCCTCGCCATATTTGCCAGACAGAATCTCCTTCAGCTCGAAAACGGGTGTGTCGATGGTAACTCCGCCGTGGCGCTTGAAGACTTCGGTGATGGTGCTAAAGATCTTGTCTCGGATGACCATGTCCTTGCCATTCCCGTGGGGTGAGTAAGCTTGGAGTTTTCTTCTGCCGCGGTGAAGAGTCACAACTTACAATCTTTGGTGCCCTTGGCCGTTTTCAGCTCGAACTTTGTCTTGGGAGCCATCTCGACAGCTGGTGCCTGTGAATGATAGAGAGAGACAGTAAAGGAGAGAGGGGTCGCAGATCTTGGTCTTTTCAATTGCGACAATGGCCGGTATGGTCGAAGAGACCTAAATGCAGCCAAAACAATCTTCATCCGAGGGGTAGAGGGGAAAATTTAGGCCTGGAGTTGTGGCAGGAGTCATCAGCGCTGTTTAGATGGTGGCTCGACAGGCGGGGCAGAACTGCGGAATTTTGTTATCGATAAGGAATACAGGAAACTCGGGATTCTGGAATTGAGGACGCGGGCGCTGGGATTGTGTGATGCTGCCAACAACACAAAGCACAATGCAGTTGCTCTTTCATTGAGATTCTCATGATACTGTGTAAGTGCTTTATTAGCCGTGTATTAGAAAATATCATTAGTTCGGAACGCAAAGAGCCAGAAATCTAAAGGAATAGACTGCTCCGCCTTTTTGCATGCACAGAATAGGTACGTGTACGGAGTATGTAAGTCATATTAGCAGCTCGGCGGAACTAGGCCCTTTCGAGAGCACTTTAAAGATGTGAACCTCTTCAGGGTAGGAAGAACGAGCAGAAGCATCGAGGGAAATATGCTTAATGCTCCGTCATTCCTCTTCATCTTTTTCTCCTATAATTAACAGCTGGTATCTGATGCATCGGGTAAACTCTCCGGGCTTTGCAACTCTGAAAGCGGCCCCGAAGCCCCTCGCTTAATTCAGGGACCAGAGTTATTTCGAAAGCAGGAGGATGAAGGGGACCACTACTATGCTGCGTGACTCATAGCGCAAGTGTCATCCTTTTTACAGAATATTACATGAATGCAGAGCTGCATGTCTCGATTCCCTCAGCCTGTTGTTACTTAGTAAGTCGGGTACCGTTACCTGGATTGTAAGCGAAGCGAGCCGTCATGTGGCGGCTTAAAGACGGCTTTTCGGGGTCAAGGAGCAGCCCGACTGAAGGGCCAGAATCAACGATGTCATTTTCCCCGACAGGATGGTGTGCCTGCCTGAGTCTCGGTATCCCTTGTGCAGTACAACGTGGCCAGTTAGGTACGTGCAATTTCCATTACCGCCTACTTGAAAGGGCAAGTGAAAGTCTTGCTTGACGCTTTGACGCTGTAACCGAGCGTTTGCAGATCGATCAAGACGACGCCACTTGAGGTCTCAATGGAATGAAGTCTACTTGTCTACCAAACACTGTGCAGAGACCCAAGGGATACAAATGACGCATATGAACACAAACTTACCGACTTTTGCACTCTGTGAAACACCAAGTAATATTCATCAGTACTGCTGCTGGGCGTGATTCCACGTCATCAACGCAGAGAAATTTCAGGTGATGCCTGCAGGAAAAGCTGCTGCCTTCATGGCGCGACTTGGCTAGCCAAGCTGCCAACATTCCTGTGGTGTTGCGATGCCGTGTATATGCGCCACAGTGGTACGCGTACTATGGGCGGTCGATTATTGGTGAGAGTTTCATATAAAGATTGAGATTTATAGATACGAGTATACAGATGTTGTGGTTCAAGATTCTTCTTTAAACATGGGTAATCGAGGCCGGCTGAGAACGAGCTAGGCTGACAATATTGGGAAATTAAGGATGGCATCTCATGTTAGCAAATCTGGAGCCTAGCCGTACAGTAGCGTTGCTGAGCTGCGCCGCCTGCTAAAAAATCAAAGCAAAGGTACCCCATATCCTAACATTACAGTACATATGTACCTTTGTTCATATTGAAGATTGCTAGATAGAGTGCTTATCTGGGGGACAACACACATAGTACAGGTACCCAGCTGTACGAGAACGTGCATGTACGCATCACACCCACCACCGGCGGTTAAACCGAGCATCACATCAACAGACATGCGTTGAACCAGATCCCCAAAATCAGCCGATCGCCTTCTGCTAGGCATCTACCTCCCTAGACAGGGATGACAGCGAGTACACGTAACAAAACGAACCTAAAATACACACCACATGGGCTGCCTCATTTTAGCTTTGGAGAAGCTGCTTGCGGCAAACACAGTATCCACTGCGATTCGTCCGTATTGATCGCTTCTTTCTTGAATCCGTCAAGCCCGCCCATCCATCTCGAATTAATCTTCCGGGGCCCAGAAAAGCTCCAAGGGTCCGAAGCGCGGTGAAGTTCCGCTAGTCGTATTCATCGGTCTGAGGCAGTAGTCAGCTCAGGGCCTGTGCATGTACATGCGCTGTTACTTGTACTTGGCATCATCACCTGTGTCTCTGATCTGTGTCTCTGATCCTGCCAGCTTCAAAATCCATGTAATACCCTCCGTCTGCCGCGTCTCTTTCATCCGTTTCGGCTCCAAAGCCCTCGCCGCTTCGTGATGGAAAAGGCCGACATTGAGAAGGCAAGCAGTCCTGTAGCTGTAGAGGCCGAGAAGCACGTCTCTATCGATGATGCCGCCACCGCCGAACCAGCGCAGGGGAAAGCAAAGACTCGCCCGCAGCGAATAGCCTCCTTTAAGGACTATGTGGTATGTTTTAAGAAATGCGCAACACGACGGCGCCCTTTGAGCTGCTAATTAATACTTATTTTTCATCTCCGCAGCGAGTTTTCCAATACGCAACAAAATGGGACTTTGTCGCCTATGTTGCCGGCGTCTTTGCCTCCATTGGCGCTGGCGTCACGCTGCCTCTGATGAACGTAGTCTTTGGTATGATTTCCTTGATGCTTCATGTTAACATGTTTTGTAGCATTCCATATAGGCTGTCATTGGCACGAGGCTCACAGTTTTGCTACAGGTAATTTCGTCGGAAGTATAAGCGACTTTACCAGTGCTTCCGGCCAAAACCAGGATGCCTTCCGTAAAAGGGCAGATAAACTCTCGTCAGTACCTGATTTTGATGCTTAATATTTACTTTTCTAAACAAGATTATTACTAGCCTATACATGTTTGCCCTGTTCCTTGGTCGACTAGGGCTCAACTACATCAACAAGGTGCGACTTGCAATCTATGATTTACGACCATCTCGCGAGATTACTAAATGGTGTTGCATCTCAATAGTTTGCTTTTCGAATGATTGGAATACGGATATCCTCAGCCATCCGAGTACATTACTTGACGGCACTATTAGGCCAAACCATACATGTTCTCGATTCGATGCCCCCTGGCTATGCTACCACAACAATCACATCCACCAGCAATGTGCTCCAACTTGGCATTTCGGAGAAGCTCGGCGTCTTTTTTGAGTACAACGCAACCATTGTTGCTGCCATCATCATTGCATTTACTCGCAACTGGGCTCTCACGCTCGTTACATCCTCGGCGATTCTCTTCATTGCCCTCTCCGTGTCAGTACTATTGCCTAGCATCGTCAAAGGTCATGGGCGCGTAACCATCGTAAGTGATACTCCAATCCATTGATATAATACTATGCTGTCGAGAGTATATTAACCCCCTTAATTAGGCTGAAGGAAAGTCATCTGCCGTCGCAAGCGAAACGTTTGCTAGCATTCGCATGATTGCAGCGTGCGGCGCCGAGAGTCGAATGGTAAAGAAATACGGAATATCTGTTGAGGAAGCCAAAATGCACGCTCAGCGCACATCTCCATTCATGGCCTTGCAGTTTGGACTCATTGTAAGACTTTCCAGCCTTCCAAGGTCAAAAACGAAGAGCTTCGGTAACAATTTTACAGTTCTTCAGTGTCTTCTCCGCTTTTGCGCTTGCTTTCTGGTATGGAACCAGGTCCGTGGCCGAGGGCCACATTGATAATGTTGGGACGATTGTTATGTGAGTTCATTTCCCTCTGTCATACGTATGATTGCACGACGCTAAATAGAGAAAGCGTTTTGATGTCTGTCATGATGGTCGTCTTCTCCCTGGAACGAACCACCACCCCCCTTCTGGCTGTCAGTAAAGCTACGGTTGCCGCTGCCCAGTTCTTCACCGTCATAGACGCCCCCCAACCGGATAAAGGCCATCTCATGGACCCCGCAGTTTCTGCCACGGAAGACATTGTGTTTGACAAAGTCACATTCGCTTATCCAAGCCGTCCCCATGTCAAAATCCTAGACGAGTTGGATCTCCGCATCGAGTCGGGCAAAATCAATGCCATTGTTGGCCCATCAGGCTCTGGAAAGAGTACTGTTGTAGGACTGATCGAAAGGTGGTATACGCTTAAGGAACAATACGTCATTGAAGAAGCCGTGGAACAGAAAAAGAAGAAGAAGAAGAAGAAGCCGAGCGAGGAGGAAGAGGAGGAGATCAGTGCGCAAGAACCAGAAGAAACAGGCCCGCCCGTGAAACTCGGTGGCACGCTCACAACATGTGGTCATGCTTTAGACGACATCAACTTGAAGTGGTGGAGATCACAGATCGGATTAGTTCAGCAGGAGCCCTTTCTCTTTAACGATACAATCTTCAAAAACGTGTCAAACGGCCTAATCGGGACGCAGTGGGAGAATGAGTCGGAAGAGAAGAAAAGAGAATTGGTCAAGGAAGCATGTGTCGAAGCATTTGCTGATGAATTCATCGACAAGCTTCCACAGGTCGGTCGAACATCTTCCTCTAGGTTCAAATTCTTTCTAACTTTGTGATATTTTATAGGGCTATGACACTGCGGTTGGCGATAGTGGCGCGAAGCTGTCCGGCGGTCAGCGTCAACGCATTGCCATTGCGCGGTCTATCGTTCGAAAGCCAAAGATCCTTATCCTCGACGAAGCTACAAGCGCGATCGATGTTCGTGGAGAGCGTATAGTCCAGGCTGCCCTCGACCGTGTGGCTAAAAATCGAACAACAATCACGATAGCTCATCGCCTGTCCACGATCAAGAAAGCTGACCGAATCATCGTTATAAAGAAAGGAAAAGTCGTGGAAGAGGGCACGCACGAGAGCCTCATTGCCTTGGATGGCGGTGTCTATTCCGGCCTCGTCCAAGCTCAAGCACTCTCGTTGGGAGGATCACCCCAGTCCGACGACAGCGATGAAAAGGAAGACCTCTCTGAAGATATAGTCCGCGAAAAGAGCCATGCCATTTCTGAAGCCGAAGCTCAGACTAGCAGCAGCACCGAGAAGCAGCGGAACATCTTCAACAGCTTCGGCCGCCTGTTTTACGAGACCAAAAGCCACTGGTACTTGATGTTTCTGACGGTGTTTTTCGCCGCCTGCGCTGGAGCAGCGGTTCCACTGCAGGCCTGGCTGTTTGCAAAACTCGTCGTGGTGTTTCAATTTACCGGACAGGAACTACTGCACGAGAGCCGGTTTTGGTCTCTGATGTGGACGATCTTGGCGATCGGTGTTGGCTGCGCTTACTTTGGAGCAATCTTCGCTTCCACCAGGATGGCGTCAATTATTCGAGCCAAGTATCAGCAGCAGTATTTTGAAGCCATCCTTTACCAAAAGACGTCGTTTTTCGATGATGAGGATCATTCCCACGGCACCATGACGGCTCGTGCTGCGGGAGATCCCCAGAGACTCGAGGAGCTGATGGGAGCTAACATGGCCAGCGTCTACATTGCCATTTTCAATCTCACCGGATCCATCGCTATTGCCTTTTCCTTCGGATGGAAGCTGGCCCTAGTTGGTGCTGCCGTGGTTATGCCTATTCTTCTAGCCTCGTCATATTGGCGCTTCAAGTATGAAATCCAGTTTGAAAAGATGAACAACGACGTCTTTGCGGAAAGCTCCAAGTTCGCCTCCGAGTCTATTGGCGCCTTTAGAACAGTCACATCCTTGACCTTGGAAGCCCCCATCTCCCAGCGTTTCGAAACACTGTGCAATGGCCATGTTAAATCAGCATTCAAAAAGGCTCGTTGGGTCAGTTTCCTCTTTGGATTTGCCGATAGCTGCACATTGGCTTGTCAGTCTCTCATCTTCTACTACGGAAGCCGTCTTTTGGTTAGTGGCGAGTACAAGATTGAGAATTACCTCGTGTGCTTCATGGCCATTATGAACGCCTCCGAGTCGGCGGGCCAGAGTTTCGGCTTTGGACCAAACGCAGCGCAGGTCACGGCGGCGTCGAACAGGATCCTGAACACGAGAGAGACCATGATCCAAGGCAAGACTTCTGGAGCAAAGAGTCTGCCCGAATCGGAGGGAGGAATGAAAATTGAGTTGGAGGATTTGCATTTCAAGTACCCGACGCGAGACATCCCAGTCTTCCGCGGACTGAACTTGACCATTGAAAAGGGTCAGTTTGCGGCTCTTGTGGGAGCATCCGGATGTGGCAAGACGAGCATCATTTCCCTCCTAGAACGGTCAGTCGAGTGAAAGCCCTTGAACAATAATGTCTCTTTATTGGAACTAATGTTTTGGTGTATTATATAGGTTCTATGATCTCGACAAAGGCCGCATCTTGTGCAACGGCCAGGACATCAACGAGGTCAACATCTTCGACTACCGCAAACATCTCTCACTTGTAGCTCAAGAACCAACTCTCTTCCAAGGTCAGTTCTATCCATTCATCTCATAAAAAAAGAACCTCAAGCCAACTCTATCCCATCACAGGCACTCTCAGAGACAACATCATCCTCGGCGTCGACGAAGCCACCGTCACCGACGAACAAATCCACCAAGCCTGCCGCGACGCCTCCATCCACGAATTCATCGTCTCCCTCCCAGAAGGCTACAACACAAACATCGGCTCCCGCGGCGTCTCCCTCTCCGGAGGCCAGAAGCAGCGCGTCGCGATTGCCCGCGCGCTCATTCGAAACCCGGAAATCCTGCTCCTCGACGAGGCCACCAGCTCGCTCGATTCCGAGAGCGAGAAGCTCGTCCAGGCGGCGTTTGAGCGCGCCGGAAAGGGCCGCACAATGGTTGTCGTTGCGCATCGGCTGGCCACGGTGCAGAATGCCGATGTCATTTTTGTCCTGGGAGAGGGCAAGCTGCTTGAGCAGGGAAGCCATCTGGAGCTGTTAAAGAAGAAGGGCGTTTATTGGCAAATGGTTAGTTCCTATCCTTTTTTATCTTCTCACCTGCTGTCTCTCCTCATCGGTGGGCAATTTGCTAACGGTCGTGATGAAATAGTGTCAAAGCCAGGCCTTGGACAGGTAACTTGTGTAAGAGTATAGCGGCGATTGAGAGAGCATACACTATATACAACATATAATGGACATCTGAGTTTAAACGAACTATTCGGTTTTGGTTTTTTTATTTTATTTTATTGGAGCATTTGTTTTGCAAAAAAAAGTCTAATACGCACCTCTTGTTCAGATATGGATACAAATCTCTTCTTCAAATCAATGCACCCTACCCTTCGGGCAAAGGTGCTATTTCTTTCTCGCTCTCTCTATATTCCTCGCTGGTGATGTCTTCATGTTTAAAAAGATCAAAAACTGTTAAATCACTAAATGTCTCTAGCACTTTACTTCCACACTTCGTCCAACTCCTTGAGAATATAATTGGAATGTGTCATGACAAAATCATGTGTGCCAGGAAGAACTTTCCAAACCACATTGTCCCTTCCGCCGATGAGCGGAAGAGCCTCACGCTCGTAATCGTTCACATCGATGAGTTCATCATTCTGGGCCAAAAGAACCATGGTTGTGCCGGGCTTCCGGCGCGCAAGAAGCCTCCAGCTATCATGCTGGTGCGTCAAGGGCGCATGTCTAATGGATGACATGAACGAGGGGATGAAGCCGGAGTGATTGAGAACCATCCATCGGACATACATCAATACGTGTTGTTCCAGGGGAATGGCGCCTTCGCTCTGTTCGGTGGTGCCGGTGGCCTCTGCAAGCGCGACTTCAGCCACTGATGCAGTTGATGAGGCTTCCTTAGGCTTCCTGGCTGCCGCAATAGGTTGCTGCAGACGAGACCGCGTCAAGTAGGCGAGAAGTCCCTCCGGTACGAAGCCCGACCTAAAGATGAAGAGAGACATGGCGCCGAAATCTTCAGGGTTAATGAGACCGGCGGGAGCGAGCAGAATAAGCGACGAAACGAGGTGAGGGAACGCAGTGGCAAAGTGCACAGCGATGCCTCCTCCAAGGGAGTATCCAATAAGACGGAAAGCATTGTTACCGGTCCAGGGAAGAGGGCTAGATGCCAGCACGAGAAGAATCTGGGTAGTATAGAGACGCTCATCGTGGGGGAGGTCACCAACACCGTCTGAGAAGCCTCGACCAAAGAGATCCTATAGCAGCCATTAGTCTGGTTATCTGGCACTCCTCATTTGGAGGCGTGGGGGGCGATTTCGTCTTACGAAAAGCATCACACGGCATCCTCGATCGACAAGTCCGTGAGCAATGCGGGAGAGAGTTATGCACGGGGTGCTGATACCATGGACAAGCAAGACCTTTTCGCCATTCTCGGGGCCGAATTCGTAGACGCGGATGGATCCATACTGAAAGAAAGCCAGCAGATTTAGCTTCAACTCTTGGCTTTACATGCTTGGCTGTTTCTCTGTTCTTCTTCACACGTCTCATTTCGCCTCATTTTGCCTCATCTCATCTGGTCTCATCTGATCTCATCCTACTTTATCTGCCCCAAACTCTTGTCCAAACGATGCATAGAGAACCACTTACCGGTGTATCAACATCTCTCGCCCCCGGAAAGGCATCCGGCTGATAAACCAGCTCCTCAATCTCGTTCTTCGGCCGTCCCGGAATCGCCGTCTTAAGCGGGTTCGGGAGCGCCTTTCCCCATCGCGGCCACAGCGCCGACCTGGCACACAGGAGCAGCGTCGCGGCAACGGCCGTCGTCGTGACTGCAACGGCGGTTTGGGACAGCGGCGACCAGCGGAGGAAGCTGGATGCGGAATCCATGGCCCTGCCTGGCTGTCGCGATCACATGCACGGGTGGCCACAGATGCCCTGCTGCCCGTAGATGTTTTGAGGCCTTTTGTGCTGTGATGTGCTGTGTTTCTGCTATGCTGTTGATGGCCGTGGTCAGACGAGTGACTCTGGACGTTGTGTGTTGATTTCCAAGTGATGTGTAGGTATGTAGATAAGAGAGATGGGATGGGTGACAAGACGAGGATATACTACGAGATTCTAAATACAGGTACTGGGTACCTAGTACCTAGGCGGCTGAGCTGGGGGGAGAGAAAAGGGGAAAGCGGTCAATCAAAAGTTTCTTACCCAGCAAAAAGACGGAGAAAAAGTTAAAAGCACAAGACACGCCAGTATTATAAGAACGACTGGGTGAATAAACGATAGCTCATGAATGAGGGAAAAGCACATGCAAGAATCCCAGATGACCAATCCTGGCTCAGCCTCGCTGCTCCTGTCAGATGTCTGATTGCCCAAGTGTTCGTTTCAAGTATAGCGGGCCATGGACGCCGGCTTTTCTTAGCTTAGGCGTGGTGGGGGGCTGTTCCAATAATGGTTCAAATTGTGCAGTAGGCACCTGAAGCGGTGGTGTTTGGCCTATAAGCACATGCAAATTGACTTTGGCAAAGGCTAAGGGATCCTTGCAGGAGTGTAAGTCGTGATTTAGGCCTACACGTGGCTCTTAGCGACTGATTGGCTGGTATCCAATCAATCCAACACTCGCCGGCCATCTGCTTGATGTAAAGAGGGAAAAAGCAAAAAAATAAAAGAAGCCGTATATATCCATCCATCCATCTAATATGCAATCTACAGGTACCTAACAATGCATGCTGTCCGTTGTACGCCAGTATCTCCCACGCCCGGGTATCATAAACGACGACAAGTGAAGAAAAACCACTGTCCAAAAGAAAAGAAGAAATAAACCGACTACCCCAATCCAACCGCCCACGCTGCATTCCCAAGCTGTTTAATCAGCTGGCAGAGATTCTCCACAAGAGGCGGCAAGGCGTCCTGCGGCCTTCGAAAGTTGGCCTGCAAAATCTCCTGTGCAATATCCATACACGCACGAGGATCGTAAACCGATGCATCGCCTGGCGCAGCGCCAGAGCTTGTTCCCATAGGCCCTTGAATCAGAGGCCTTCCCTGCCCAAAGCTCAAAAACTGCTGAATCGAACTGGCATCGCCGCTGTCGTCTAGATACATGGGTTCGTATCCATACTGTGGTGGCATGTCCTGCTGCTGGCTGGCTCGGAACACAACGCCGTACGTCCACAAAGCAAGTGCGGCATGGTGTACTGCTATGGCGTAGAAATCCTTCAGGGACCCCAGAGGAAATAGCTTGGCATATCGAAATATCTGACCCGCGCACCAGACTGCATACCAGGACTCGGGACTGGCCGTCCATTGCTGCAGAATGGGGTACATACGGCGGGCCTCTTCCTCTCCTTGCTTGCCTGAAAATATCTGCAGATCATCCAAAGACACATGCAAGTGCATCATGAGAAGATACATGACAACATTTTCTTGAGGAGAAATGTCCGGCAATTTGTTCGCGACACACTGAAACGACTGCAGATCTCTCATGAGATCTGCACGTCTCGAGCTGAGCATCGAGTTAGACGCTCCTTTGGAGTAGCTACGAAACTGGTGCACTACGCTCATTTGAGAGTACTCCAGAACCATTGACCAAAAGCCGTGAAGGAAGATGGAGACAGAGAGTTGCATGTCAATGCGTGTGCTGTTGTCGGCAAATTGGCGTGCGTCCCCGTACATGTCGGCGATTGACGGCATTCTTGAATTTGGACCAACTGATCTTGACAGATAGATGGCCTTCCACTCAGACGCTGTTTTCGCGGACCACAGGTCTTTCTGTTCCGGTAGAGGTAGCGTCAACTCGGCATACGACATGCACGGATTTGTCAACGCCGTCATAGATATTTGAGCTTCCCGGATGTAACAGTGGAATACAAGCCTTCCCCCCTTTCATGTTAGTAGTAGATCAACATCATCTCCATCACAAACTGACCTCTTCCATTGCTCCGCAGCCGCCCATTTCATCCACTTTTGTTCTAGTATTTCACCCTCATCGGAGGGCTCGACTGTGATGACAGGGTACATGCATCGCTGGAACAATCGGCGATATCGCATCATCTAGCAACACTTAGTAATCGTGCGAAAGACAAAGTCGGAGTGTGTAATTTCTCATACCGTTACCGGAATCACTAGATGGCATTCGGCAATCTCCATTTTTCTACGGTTACCACTCCACAAGCCAATATCTTGCCCGAGAATGAGAGATTGGACAAGACTAAGGTTTTGGATGGCCGTGTTGTTGTCTTCGAACTGTCACATGGGTTAGATGCTGGCATGTATTTTTGGTGCACATCCGATTGCCAGTTGAGGGTCAATGTATCTTACCCGAGCAGGTATTGTAATTCCTAGCAGATTTTGGTGTAAGCTCACGATGCCTCTTCAACAAGAATAATAACTCTGCCAATGAAGAAAAAAGGTAACAGGGGATATAGGAATTTCACTTACGAACTGCTTCTTGAACAGCAAATCCAAACTTTCTCAAGGTTGGAGCTGGCATCAAGACAGCACCGGCAGCCACTGCATTCCCAATCCATTCAGGCCATACCGCATTCAGCTTGAGAGTAGGATAGTGTATCCATGTCGACACTTGACGGATATGAGCAGCCAAAAAGGCTTGAACCATTGTATCCATAACGTCGACTGTTGGAAAAGAAGCGGCTACCCGGCCGGCCATGGAAGCATCTCGACACGTCTTCAATACAATGGCCAGGATCTGGTCGCGGCTGGGAAGATTCAGCCTTTGCTCGACCACTCGCTCCAGTTGTTTCTTAGTCTCCTGAAACTGAGCATTGGAAATATCCTTGGCGGATATAGGAAGATTGCCTTGCTCGGTGTACGCATTGTCCTTGGCGGTCGGATCCCACTTCCACGGTAGTTCCCCCCAGACGTTGGCAAGATTCTGTCGCATTTGAGACATTTCCATTGAGTTTTGGGTGTTGTGGCTTGCTAATGTAGGCGTTATTAGGGAACCGTCGTCTAGATCCAGGTTCCAATGCTCTAGGAGGCCAAAGTCCATATCTGTCAGATCCATATCCATGTCGTCGCAAAAATCCAACACGGCTGGACCTTGAGATTCGGATGACCGTGACAAATCCACTGGTTGGGAGTAGAGGACATCGCGCAGGAAGTCGAAAAATGGAGTGTTATTCAGCTCCATAGGACCTGAACCAGCCTTCAAAGGATCATTCGGTTGAGCTAGGATGTTAGAAGTACTACCTAAAAAGGGGGCTCGTTGTCAGTCTTGGCGCCCCCAAATGAAAAGCAGCATAAACGTATAATCTAGGGTTCATTTTCCGAAGATTAATCACGAGACTTACCTGGGTCTGTCCCCATATCCGGCGTCGTCAGCTGGCTGTCGTCTTGCCTTGACGAGGTAGACTGTGACAGAGGGCTGCTCTTACTAATTGTGTTGTCGCGGATGAGATTTGTAGAGGCATTTTGAAGAGTAGAGTTAGGGTCCGTGGATCCTACAGAAGAAACGCCGGTTGGATGAGCCTCCACGGCATCCTGCCCACCTGCTGGAAGATGGACAAGATGCATAGACGTGCCTGGGCTGGTCTCATAGGAAGAACATGATAGGTTACGGCTGACACAACGCCTGCACGGCTTTGCCTCGTCGCATTTCACGCGCGCAAGGGCGCAGGGAGGGCAGGCCTGGGTTACACGGCTGGAGTTTGGCGACGAAACCATCCGTTGACGCTTCTTGGGCGAGTCGTTCTCATGATTAGTGACATGGCGTCTCAGCAAATCCTTCCGCGCGAAGGACTTTTTACAGATTTCGCACGCAAAGCGCCGCCCCAGAGTGTGAGTCTGGACATGTCTAACAAGGTGCTCTGGCCGTGAATAAGCGCGTCCACAGTCACGACAAGCATAGGGATTGCTATTCTGGTGGCTCTGGTGCGACGCCGATCCTGAGGATTCGGCAGTGACACCAGGTGTTACACCAGCAGCGGCAGCGGCAGTAGCAATGCCGGGAGCTGTCGTTGACGACGGCACTGCTGGCATGGCGATGTGACTCGGAACCATACTGGCAGGATTCGACGGCGCAGAGCCTACCGTACTTGTAGGGACAGCATCGGAGTCGACAACAGGCTGCTGTACCAGCGGGAAGGGCGGAAGAGGCGCAGAAACGGGCACAGACAGAGGTACAGACAAAGGCGCAAGGACAGAGTCAGGCGCGGGCAGTGGCCGAGAATCGCTGCTCGGACCCATGGGGGGATCGAGGATGTGTGATAGAGATGGTCCGGCCATGGCGTGCTGGCTACGGAGCGGCGGAGGCCCCGAGTCCACCCGGTAATCTGGTTGGCAGGGTTTAATACCACATCAAGGCCTTTCGAGAACAGGATTGGAGGGCAGCCTCGCGAATAGGGTTGGCAATTAGGAGAAGGCGCCGCCTCAAGCTGAAGTTGGAACAAGCTGAAAGATGAACCCCCCGGACTAGAGGGGCCGGAGCAAAGGCTGGACCAGTGCCGGTAAGGCTGAGGAGCTGGAATGCTAAGGAGTATTGTCAAGCACAAGCCGATCAGAGCTACCGAGAGAGTAATAGTAGATGGCGCTACGTGGTGCTTAGACGCCTTGACCGAGACGTCGCGTGTAGGTTCGGCGCGAGCTGATGTGCGCGAGGAAGCTTGGCATCACTGCTAAGGGGATCTAGTCGTCGTGTTAGTGTTGGTGCTAGGAACCAAGGAACCTGCGTGTGCTGGTATGATCAACTCGAGGTTGTCGACGTTGTCGAGGTTGAGTACGCGTACGTACCGGGTTTCAGAGGCTGCTAGCAGATGCTAGTTGGTACTAGTACCGCCACAGCGGGCGGGCAGCACGGACAAGTGCCGGTACCAATACCTCGTACCAGCACCAATGGCAGGGCATTGCCGAGCCGTGCCTTGCGAGTGAGGAGGGTCAGCGGTGGAATATCGGGAGATTTCGTTGAGTCGAGGGGTTTCCCGACGAGCTTTGAAGCCAGGGCTGAAGACGGAGCTGGAGGACATATTTCGGGGCTTGTTGCAGGGCCGTTTCTGCGAAGGTGACCGAGCATGTGTGGGGGCCGATCTGGGGTGCTGCTGCTAGGGTGCTGGGCTGCTGGGCTGCTGGGCTGCTGGAGCCCTCAGAGGCTGCCTGTGGACTCATTACATGCTGTGCTTGAGTAATGCTGTGCTGTGCTCCGTACGTGATTGCGGCAAATGCGCGTCCCGGGCCTTGCGCGGAATTGCGAGCGTGGCAGATGGAGATGGTCGACGGCAGTAGTTTGGTCACCGAAACTCGAGCCCGTCGTTGATTGGCGCTTGGGACACCGATTTCTTCAGCTGGGGGCCGTTTAGGCGTACTATGGATGTGCTGCAAAACTCTGTCAGTGGCCCTAGCCAAAGCTTAACACGAATCTCGGCACGCGAGGTCTAGGCGGATGGAAAAGCTGGGGACAAGCTTCCAAGTTTCTTTTTGGCTCAGCCAAGCAAATGGCTTTGACACAAATTGCCACCAGCGGACCGCTCGATGACTTGCAGCCCATTGCGACGGACTGGAGTGAAAATTTTCTACTAATCTCTATCTATTTGGCTTGGAGCGCCTCGACTTGGCGCAAGGCGGCCGGAGATATCCGGTAGTGCTTCTGGTATGTGTCAGCGGAGGTGCTCGGGAGTTGACGACTGTCAACCCTCAAACATCTGATGATATCAACTGGATTAGTTTACATGTCCGGAGTACGTTCAATGCCTGGGCCACATGTCCATGCAAGGCATTCGTCCAATCAAACACCCAAGCTACGCTCACAGAGATGGAACCTGTAACTCAGGCACCCAACACGGTGGTATTCCGAGCAACTCAAGGCAGTGCTGAGACTATCGGCTACTATTAGTGATATGGTGCTTGAACCAACATCGAAAGCAGTGGCGCCGTCCCACTCTTGGAATAGCAATCTGCATAAAGAATGCGGGTGCAGGGATGCTGAAACCGAACTTGATGCCGCCCCTGGCTGCTTTGCCTCCCCAGAGCCTCGCGTCGTTCCCTGTGGCTGGCTGCCACGAGTTCTCTTACATGGAGTCCACGTACTTGGACGTGTAAGCAATCTCCAGATTGGGACTCCTTTCTACGGGCATTATCCCCTTGGAGAAAATGCATAGGTACTACTAGTAGCCTTACCAGGACGGGCTCGTACATCTTACTAGGTCCTGGTCCTCCACATATTACGAGTACATTCTTTGAATCAGTATAACCCACTACGCCAACGGGGCTCTTTTCCTTCTTCCCCTCCCCGGCACTATTGGATGCTAAGACTGGCGCCACGGAGCCTCGCGAGATGCAATTTTCCTTGTCTCTTTTCCCTAACCGTGCCGTCGGTGGCGTTTGTGGATTCTCATTGGCATATCAAACCTGGCTTAACTGTCATAGGGCAAAGATGTCTCAGTCCGTTCGACAACATCACATCGTCTATGCCTATATCTGCTGTGGACCCTAGCCCTCCCTTTTGAGATACTCCGCGGAGCCCCTGAGAAGTCCCCCGTTTCGTTGAGCCTATACATGTACGGTACTTGGTCCTTGTACATATGTCGCGAGTAATATTCGATGCCACCCATCCAGAACCCGGCAGTAGTATTATCCAGGGTGCTCACGGGACTTCTCTGACCAGATCCCCGGACCAGCCTCGCGGGCAATTCCTCAAAGATGCCAAGGCCTTGACACCGCGTCAAATCTCTCTTCTAATCTACAAGCCCTCGGGAACTGTCGAGGGAGCCAGTTGTCACCATTTTTTGTGCCCTCAGTCATGGTCGTCCAAGACGATGTCATTGCCCCGGCGCTAGATCCGCAGGCCGAGGAATCTTTCAAGGAAAAAAACCGAAAGAGAACTCTCGGCAATCTGCGCCTTGTTCATCCAGAGACGAATGCCGTGATTCTGGTTCCCACGCCGTCCTCCGACCCCAACGATCCGTTAAACTGGTAGGTTGATATCCGCTACAGCTGTTCTGTTCTTCAGCTCATCAGTCTGTCCGCCTCAGGTCACCATGGCGCAAGTACTACGTCGCCGGGGTTCTTTGCCTAACAATGGCCGTATCCAATTTTCTTGCTGCCGGGCCGGCTATCGCGGTGCCCGCAACGGCCGCCGATTTCTTCCCAGATTCATTGGCTAACGGCACGTTTGTTACGTCCGCCATTCCAAAGACGGCCTACTTCTTCACCACCACGTCCCTGCTCATAGGACTGGGTAATATCATATGGGTGCCTGTGGCCAACAAATGGGGCCGCCGGCCGGTGTATGTCGTGAGCTACATGATTTACTTTGCCACGGCGGTATGGCTCATCTTTGAAAAATCATATGGCAGGTTCCTGGCAGGCAGGATTCTGATGGGATTCGGTGCCGGTGCGGCGGAGACGCTTGCTCCCATCACCATTGCCGACATCTTCTTTCTCCACGAAAGAGGCAGGATCATGTCTGCGTACACCTGCTTCTTGTCTGTGGGTGCGTCGGGAGGATTGGTGATATCCGGTCTCATCACAATCCACCATACCTGGCGAACCATCTATCAGGTTGGCTCGGCCTTAGTTGGCTTTGTTCTTCTTGCTCTGCTCTTCACTGTTCCCGAGACCAGCTACTCTCGGATCGACGATTACAGCTCGCCTCCTGTAGAGGTGCCCAGTGATCTATCAACATCGAACACGACCCAGGGAGAGCTATCTTCCTCAAAGAAGATGGGCTATTTCGAATCACTATTGGTGTTCAAGGCTGCAGGTACCAAGGAGAACCTCTTCAAGATGATGATTCGCCCCTTTGGCCTCATAGTCCTTCCGCCAGTGCTATGGTCGGCTCTCGCCCTAGCCGTTACTATTGGGTTTCTCGTGGCTGTTTCGTCTAATTCAGCCTCAGCCTTTAATGCAACATATGGCTTTGCATCCTACCAGGTTGGACTCTGCTATATTGCTGGCGTAATTGGCTCTTTACTGGGACTGCCTGCGGGTGGGCATCTTGGGGATAAGGTTGCAGACATTCTAACAAAAAGAAACGGCGGTATTCGCGAACCTGAGATGCGACTACCGGCAGTTATGATATCTGCAATCACAACCCCCCTTGCTCTGATCCTCTATGGCGTCGGTATCCAGTACAAGCTTCATTGGATATGTCCGACCATAGGACTAGGTCTCCGTAAGAACTATCCCTTCCTACTTCATGCTTCCTACAAAGTACCAGACGCTGACTCATGAAATGCAGTCAATTTCTCCATCACACAGGCCAACACGATTTGCATCGTCTATGTCATTGATTCATACCGGCCCGTCGCAGGTGAAATAACTCTGGCAGTGACAGGATTCAAAGGTGAGTTGATCGATTGAATGCACACTCGGCGTCTCTGTTACTAACAAAAGAACAGCCTTGTTTGCTTTCTTCCTCTCCTTTGAAACAAACCCTTGGATCAATCTATCCGGCTACCAGGACGCGTTTGGAGCCATGGCGGGAATTGCGGGGGGAGTTCTCATTATGTGGATCCCGTTGTATTTCTGGGGAAAGAAAATTAGACATTACTCATGGAAATGGAGAGTCATCTCTTTTATACACTGGGATAATGATCGCGAAGTGGGAGAATAAATGTCTTGGTTCTGGATTTCATGTACATTATGTACGGGCTATTGTCCCTTTTGATTAAGGAGTCGACTAAGCGAGATACCCATTTTGCACCAGCTGGCAGGCAATCATCGTCGTATGGGCCGGCTTTGATTGAGAAAGGCTAAAACACGCAAGCGCTATGTCATTCTCATGCTAGCACTACCATAAGAGCGCAACGAAATACAATATCATAAAATGAGGGCTCCCTGACGCTCTTCAGGCGACTTATACGAGTCGCCGCCACACATTGACTTACAACTGTGAAACTCGCTCCAACCAGCATCGCACGAGCAGTGTCAGGTGCACGGGCTTAGCGACTGACTAAGCGCCGGCGCCACCCTCTCGATAAGCTTCAGCCCGCTGCGCCGATAAGTGATCGCGTGTCTCAAACCTCAACTCAAAGGGGTTTCGACTTTGTTGTGATTCCATGCCCCGTCGTTGTGCTTGATTTTGCTGCCTCGCCGCGGCTGCCTCTTCCATAGAAGGTTTGTGGCCTGACCATGACTTGAGCCCTCTCGGGAGGCGTGGTACCGTGTGCATCATCGCTCAAAGTGTCTCGCGCTTGAGGGGGGGCCTGAGGTCAATATCAGCCATCAGCTCCCGCCCGCACCGCGGCTTATCCCTCGTTCTCAGGGCATTTCCGGCGTCGCCGGTTGTCTTCATTTACCCATTTGCTTCTGTTTGAAAGCGCTGTTCGTCTAAAATCATATTCTAGCATGGCCAGCCAGCAGGGTGGACCGAGCGCCCGAGCGCCCCATGATCATGATGCAAGGGAGGCGAGTGCCAGTGCGGATGCGATACTCGACGCACCATATTCGAGCGACGAAGAACCAGATACCCATGGCTTCTCCTGTCGCTGGAGAACACCCGAATTTTACGACCAAGAATGTTGCCGATACTTTGACTGTCCCTCCCATCTCGTTGAGAGGCGGCTTTCTGTCGATGACACCGGCGAACCCAGCCTTCCGAGAGAGAGCGCCGCTGAAGCGACAGAAGCTCGCCAAGATAGCGTCTCCCCGAGGACTTCGATAGACGACCATCCAGTATCTGACCAGGAGGGCACGACGGTCCAGCCACAGCAGAGAGACGAAACTCTGATCTCTGATACTTCAGCACCACTATCGGGCCTATCGTCTGGGCTAGCCGCTGAGAGAGAGCAGGAGAGCGCGACAAGGACTCCATCAGCAGCGAATACCGCTGCTCTCCCTGCTAGGACATCATCCTTACCGATTCGCACCCGCGTTCCTTCTAGAAGCATCGACTTGCGATCTGGCGATCCTTTGGGTAGCGATATCTGGGGCGAATCTTCCGATCAGGGCAGTCGAGCATATACCGCCAGCGCATCGGCAACGGATTTGTCAGGCAGCAGCTCGCCCAGAATGTCTGCACGGGATCAGCTGTCTGCTGTGTATGGCGCTGATTCGAATGAGGGCAGCAGCCTACTCCAAACACTATTCGGTCCGCCTCCGCCTGAGCGCGAACGAGAGCGCGAGCGCACAGGGTCGGTTGTTCTCCCCAGATGGCAACCAGATGCCGAGGTGACCTACTGCCCTATTTGCCGCACTCAGTTTAGTATCTTTGTGCGCAAGCATCATTGCAGGTATGCTTGCCAGCCATGGAATAGGCGGGAGATGTAGAGAAAACGTGACTAACAGGCAAGCAGAAAATGTGGGAGAGTCGTTTGCAACTCTTGCTCCCCTCATCGAATCATCATTCCGCACCAATTCATAGTCCGAGCGCCTGGCTCTGAGGTACCACTACCTCCAGCACTGCTTTACGGCTCAGGCGCAGGCTATGTTGATCTGAATGGACTCTCCGGGGGCGAGCGAGTGCGTCTCTGCAACCCTTGCGTCCCTGACCCCAATACCGCGCCTCCGCAAAGTCCGACTTCTCCGGCGTTGTCACCGCGCGAGGCACGGCGCAGGTCCCGGACCAGCCTGGGCAGCGGGTATCCCGCTCCGCCTCCTGTGAATCGATACGGAGGAGTTTTTTCGACTGGGCAGAGCAATGACCCTTACCAGTTCTACACCTCTAGGACAAGGAGCATCACCATGGTAAGTGCAAGAGATGTCTTGTGATTCACTGTGGAAAAAGAAGGCTTCTCTAACATGATTTTCTTCTGTAGGATCCATCTGGACAAAGGGCAGGGGGTCCTTCTTCGTCGTCTTCGTCCTCACGTAGGCGCAGCAGCGCCAACTACGAAGTGGCATCCATTAGTCGGCTGATGGCTGCCGGGCCATCTCCTTTTAGCATGCCGAATCAACATCATATCCATCGACGCCGTTTGACTGGGGAGTCTGGGTCATCATCCCGCCAGCGTGCTTTACCCCCACCTCCACAGATTGCAGAAGAAGACGAGTGCCCCATCTGTCACTTGGAGCTGCCATCTCGGGAACTGCCCAACTTTGAGGCCCTTCGAGAGTCGCATATTACTAGCTGTATCCAATCGCACAGCACCTATGGTAGTCCTCGTGGGGCACCGGATGGCACTGCACCACTCCCCCCTCCCAGGCGCACTGGCATGTATACATATGCCGCCACTGAAAAGGATTGTATTGATGACGCAGAATGCACTATTTGCTTAGAGGAGTTTACCGTGGGTATTCCCATGGCGCGGCTTGAGTGCCTTTGTCGGTTCCACCGATCTTGTATTTCTGCCTGGTTTGTCAATCACCCAGGAAGATGTCCCGTGCATCAACACGACGGATTCGGGTATTAGATGGAAGATTGGCGGCGGACGGCCGATTGTTTTGTTGTTTTACGGATCCGTTCCTTTGCATATTGGAGTATTTGGCACACTTGGGATCAGATTTGAAAGATTTTGTAGCTTGTTTGCCCAGGCATATATCGGAATCCCCTCCTTTTGATGATATCACTTATTTCGTACAGCGTAACCGACTCCAGGCCCAACAGCGCCGCTGGCAATTGACAGTCCCGGACTAGCTGGAACGAATCTAACGAGTTTAAGAAATGTATGGTAGCGTTTGAAATTAATATACAGAACTCTCTTCTTTCCTTTTTTATTGCAGTGCAAGATTTATCGTCTTATACAACAAGGAGAGAGAGAGATCTTAGTTAATTATGTACCTGCCAGCAGTTCGCACATCAATCCCTTGCATATATTAAATGTATGAGCATGTAGGCAATTTGTGAATCGTGAACCCAGTGTAATCTTCATGTCACATGCGGGAATGATTGCGCATTGGCACCTGAGATTGTCGAGATGCTATTCGTCCAAACGTCAGGCCCTCTCCGAACTCTATGCCAATGGCTATCACGAAACGAGGATTCTAATTGCTCGTACAGCCGCACCAGCTCTTTTGGTGTGTGTAGGACATACATATACCCCGCAATCGCAAGCAGGGCATCTTCCATGTCCGGGGCAGGATTTCTGACTGTCTGAGTCTACACGGGCTGTTTAAGGTGACGTGTTGCTCCGTCCTACCAGCCCTCGTGTTTGTATATTACCTGTACCACCGCTATCTTGTTGAAGAAAGGCGCGGCTTGCCTTTTCCCACATACGAGTACATCCAGATCGTTAATCTAAATTGCTCGTGTTCGCCTATCTCCAAAGTATGGGGCAGCTGAAGAGGATCCGGGATTCTTCTTTTCCCTTCCATTGAAGAAGAGATTTCTAGCCATGACTTCATTCCGTGTAGATCTCTGGGCGAGATGACGGTGATCTTCAAGCGTCGTGAGCCCGACCGATCGGGGCATGAGACGCTAGGGACGAAGGTGGTTTAGTGATGAGGAGCGGATGTCGCATCCCTGTTTGCTTGTTTGATGTAGCCTGGAACTTGGGTTGCATGGAGTTTTGGATGACTGTTTACGTGAGCTAATTGATGGCTGCTACTATAGATATAAGTTTGATAGAAGTGGCGTGCTCACATGTATGAGGAGAAGCATTTGATTTGCCTGATGTCTCTCAGTTACGTAGAGCTAAAGCACATGTATCCAAGCCGATTCAAGGCCAGCTAAGGAGGGTTGCCCTCGCCCGCTGTCAAGAAATTTGAATCCTATCCATTAGTACTACGAAGCTTATCAGGTAAATGGGCACAGCGTAAAAGGGTCTATTGCATTGTGTCATCTGGAGAGCATATATGTTGCACCCGATTATTACTCACTACTACCGGTACACTGTAATGGTTGGACTGTGCTGCTTACACGTATGGTGTCTCAACCAATTCACCCATCATCGTTCAACCGCTACTACTAGATACATGTCGCACTCTTACATCGAGACCTCGGCTAGACTAAGTATTTTACTACTTGATTGAAGAGATGACTGTGGATGGCGGCCAAGGAGGTTCTCCACAAACAAGACTTTAGCAGTTCTAGTGCTGTAAGGCCGCGGATAATTCGATCCGAAATGAGATTGATTTCACCCTTTTTCTCCCTCTCGCTCCACAAGACGGACGATTGCGGCCGGGCTTCAAAAATGCCACCATCTGCAAGCAGCCATGACAGGCGAGATGCTTGCTGCAACGGTGGCACCAATCTTAAGTATCCAGGTCCGTATTTGCCATATTTTACTTTTGCTGCCTGAGATGACGGCCAAATTACACGCAACTTGGCATCAATGCCGTCTCCTTTTCTTCAACCCCCCGTTGCTGCTGGAGCGCTGCACTGCACTCGTTCTGCCATCTGACCACGACTGTTCCATCACGCAGCCATACCCAACGGTGGATTGGGAGAGTCTCGATTGCTGATAAGCGCTTGCAGTCTTCATGTTGCAGAGACACACATGCATGCAGAGCGGCAGAGTATCGCGAAATAGTCGAGGCCTCCTGTTGCCGAATTTCCACTGGTAGCGGCCAAGATAGCGCTTAACCACCGCTGGATGGGGCCACCACAGGCTCTAGAGCATCCCGCAGCACGACACCCCTCCAAAGCTAGGCGCTACTGCAGCGGCCCCCTTAGCAGGCGCCAATCGCACTGGCTGGGAGTGATCATTCCCTGCCCTACCCAGCCCGCGCTAGCACCAACAATTACGTCGTCGCCACGCTTTCAGCAGGGCAGGGGAGGGCCAGCGAAGCTGCAGTGGGGTCCAGCAGCCAAGCTCAGCACCTAGCTCCACTGTAGCTCCTGTCTGGCAGTCCTGTAGCACCCCGGCCGCGCTGAGCTTAGACACAGAGTACATGTGCGCTCGCCGCGGTCCGTACACAGGCACAAGTACCACTCGGCGCACACACCTGTGCTTTTTGATGATAATCGTCTCTGCGCCACGGACAATCGACCTGTCGTCAGCTCCACCCACTGCACCACTTCTCTCGACTGTCTTTTTCTTTCTCTCGTTTCCAGCTTTCGCGTCTTGCCGAGCCACACGTGCATTAGCCTGTGGCTTTGTCCAGAAATCAAAAGGTGGTGATCCTCTGCCACCAACTAACTGTCCTCTTTTCCCCTTTGGCCATTGCTTCGGTTTCCGACGTCTCCCAGCCTTGTTCTTTCTTGCCTTTGATAGCCTGATCAGTTCAAGCGGGCCTTTGACTCAATCGTGCTGACCGTAAAATAAAAAATCGATAGAGAGCCGTTTCTTTTTTTCCCTTTTCTGCTCCCCCTTTCATCATTCGTTGGCCCGGCTCGGTTGGTTTGGACACATATCTGGCCACTGCCCCTCCATCAGCGACTTCTGAATGACGTTATCGCAAAGCAACCAGATCAATTGAACGGCCTAGTTGGTGCACACGAGCAAGAGCTGCAACAGCGCTCATAGCTGGCCATCATGTCGGCCCATGAGGCGCGCGAACTCAAGCTGCAGGGGGCCATCGAGGCTGCTCAAGACCCCCGGAGTGTGGTATCGGCTGAGGATGCTGAAAAACTCATGGTCGACCAGGCTCGAAATGCTGGTGCTCCCGCCTTCAACTTCGACCCTAATGCTTCTATAGAGCAAAAGCGTTCTCAGGTCGCTGCCGTACGATGCATCTTTCTCTCTTAAATCATACAAACATTGTACAAATGCTAACGACGCATCCTCGTCCAGGCTATCCCTCCCGAGCTTCAGCATATTAGACGGAACAAGGCGACGGTCATCGCAACTGATGTCGACGACGGTACTGGCCCGGATGAAGAACTCCCAGAACCGACAAAGGAAGGTGTCCTCGAAGCCGGCAAAGATGAACCAGCCAAGCCTCTAGCCAATGGGGAGGCTGCCGAGGTCCCATACTCGCGAACGGGCTGGGCTCCCCAGATTGGCTGGCCTGTTGACAGCGCGCTTGAGGCGGAGAGCCTACTCGATCACACTACATGGGTTGAGAGCCAGCTGCCGGATCATCTGTTTGGAGGTAGGTTTCACCAACCCAACAGAACCAACATTGTCGTCTTACAAGGATAAACAGATTGGTACCACAACACCGGCGTCATCATTTTTGCCTGCATTGCCTCATGGCTTGTAGCGGTTTTCGGCGGCGGCCTCGGCTGGGTAATCATGGTCATGGCAATTTGCGGCACCTACTACAGGACTTCTTTGAGACGAGTGCGCCGGAACTTTCGTGATGACATTACCCGAGAGATGGCCCTTAAGAGGCTTGAGGCTGATCATGAATCTCTCGAGTGGATCAATTCCTTCATGGTCAAGTTTTGGCCCATCTACCAGCCCGTCCTCGCCCAGACCATTGTCAACACTGTCGACCAGGTGCTGAGCTCTGCAACTCCGGCCTTCCTGGACAGCCTCAAGCTCAAGACTTTTACGTTGGGCACCAAGCCCCCCCGCATGGAGCATGTAAAGACGTACCCCAACGTGGGAGACGACATTGTTAGAATGGACTGGAAATTCAGCTTCACGCCCAATGACACTGCCGACATGACGAAAAAGCAGATCAAGAATAAGATCAACCCCAAGGTTGTACTGGAAATCCGAGTCGGAAAAGCCATGATCAGTAAAGGCCTTGACGTCATTGTCGAGGACATGGCCTTCTCGGGTATCATGCGACTCAACATCAAACTGCAGATTCCTTTCCCCCACGTCGAGAAGATTGAGATGTGTTTCTTGGAGAAGCCGACTATTGACTACGTTTGCAAGCCCCTCGGTGGTGAGAACTTTGGCTTTGATATCAATTTCATTCCGGGTCTGGAAAAGTTCATCCTGGAGCAGATCCACGGTAACCTAGCGCCCATGATGTATGCTCCTCATGTCTTCCCTATCGAAGTCGCCAAGATGCTTGCGGGATCACCCGTCGACCAGGCCATCGGTGTGCTCGTTGTGACACTCCACGGAGCACACAACCTCAAGAATACCGACAACTTTTCGGGCACCATTGATCCTTATGCCGTTCTTACTCTGAACCGCCGCCAAGAGCTTGCGCGAACCAAAACCATCGATGACAATCCCAACCCAAGATGGAATGAAACCCATTATATCATTGTTACTTCTTTCAACGACACTCTAGACATTCAGGTTTTTGATAAAAATGAGATCCGCAAGTCCAAGGAACTGGGCGTGGCTTCTTTCCCCCTAGAGAGGATCGAGGACCTGCACGTTTACGAAAATGAACGCATCCCGGTTCTCGCAGCCGGCAAATCCCGCGGTATCGTTTCCTGCGACTTCCGTTTCTTCCCAGTCCTTGAAGGCCAGAAAGACGAAAACGGTAAACTTGAGCCTCCTCCGGTCTCCAACCAGGGTATTCTGCGCTTCACTGTCGAGCAGGCCAAAGACTTGGACGGCACCAAAAGTCTTGTCGGTCTTCTCAATCCCTATGCTGTCATGTTCCTCAATGGTAAAGTCATCCACCAGACAAAGAAGCTTAAGCGAGTCAACAACCCCATCTGGGATAACGGTTCCAAGGAAATTCTCATCACGGATCGCAAGAGGGCCAAGCTTGGCGTCACTATCAAAGATGACCGGGACCTTGCCGCTGACCCGACCCTCGGAAAGTATCAGATCAAGCTCGATGACCTACTGGAATGCATGGAACAAGGCAAAGAATGGTATCACCTTTCAGGCGCTCAAACTGGCCGCGTCAAGATGACGGCGCAGTGGAAGCCAGTGGCCATTTCGGGCGTGGCCGGCACCGGCGGCTACATCACTCCAATCGGCGTCATGCGGCTCCATTTCAAGAAGGCAAATGATCTCCGTAACTTTGAAGCTTTTGGCAAATCGGATCCATATGTCCGAGTCCTCCTTTCTGGTATTGACAAGGCGCGAACGGTAACTTTCAAGAATGATCTGAATCCTGAATGGGATGAAGTTCTCTACATTCCAGTTCATTCCGCTCGGGACAGGCTCACGCTTGAGGTTATGGACGAGGAGAAGGTTGGCAGGGATCGCTCCCTCGGACTGTGTGAAGTTTCTGCAGCAGATTATATTCAGCAAGATGAAGTTGGCGAGTATCTCGTGAATGATACAAAGCGCGTTCTCCAGAGTGAGCTTCGCATTCACGGCAAGGGTATTGGCAAGGGTACACTAACTTATACCGTTGCATTTTATCCCTGTCTCAACATCGCCGATCCTGAAGAGGAAGAGGAGGAGGCGGCGGAGGAAGCCAAGGAAGCCAAAGCTGCCGAAGAGAATGGCGAGGAACCCAAAGCCTCTCTTGACAGACCACTCAGCTCCGCCTCTAAATCCACATCCAAAGTATCTCTCGACGTGTCTAGGAAATCGGCCGACGTGTCCAGGAAATCAGTGGATACGGCTAAGCTGAGCGCTGCCACAGGAGAGGATGGCCGGCCTATATCACCGGCATCGATGAGGTCATCAATGTCGGTAGAGAAGAAGGGGCCGCCCAAGATCCGGCTCAGCCCCGAAGAGTTGCTCAGATATGAGAGTGGCATTCTCATCTTTAGACTGCTGGAATCCGAGATGCCCGAAAGGGATAGTCAATTGGAAATCTTCGTTGACGACATGGCCTACCCTTCCTATACATCTACAATAGTTCCATCAAGGTCGCACAAGTTTGATGAGATTGGCGATTGCGTCATCAGAGAGCTCGACTTTTCTCGCTTGACCATTAAGGCGCGAAAGAAGGGCGATGATGCCGAAGATACTCTGGCGTACTTGTCTGGCAACACGTTGGAGACGTTGAAGCAATGTCTGGTAAGTCAAAGCAATGCGTTGTACCTTTTGCCCACGCAAATTGATTTTTCATCCCTATTCCCCCATTTATCATCATCTTAGCCCTGAGTACTACGTCATGCGAGGACACATATTCTAACATCACATGTAGAACAATCCCACCACATTGAAGCTCAAGAGCGATGATGGCAAGTCCAGCTGGGTCAAGGTTAGCCTCAAGTATATCCCTCTCAAGATGGATCTGGATCCAAGCGAGAGCATCAACAACATGGGCAATCTCCGTGTCGATGTCTTGAGCGGCACAGACTTGCCATCGGCAGACAGGAACGGAAAGAGCGACCCTTACTGCAAGTTTGAGTTGAATGATTTGGAAGTCTACAAGACCAAGGTACAGAAGAAGACGTTGTCGCCAGTATGGAACGAGTTCTTTGAGGTCTCTGTGCCGTCGAGGACGTCTGCCAACTTCGTTTGTAACGTCTACGATTACGACTTTGCCGACAAGCCCGACTTCCTAGGTGCCACCGTCATTAGACTGGACACTCTCCAGCCTTTCAAGGCAATGGAACAAAGCTACCCCCTGGACGGCAAGTCAGGAAGCATCAAGCTCCGAATGGTTTTCCGACCTGATTACATCACTCGAGCCAGGCAAGGAACGTCAACATTCCAGGGCACCTTTGGTGGTACCTCTCGCATCGTTACTGGAGTAGCTGGCGTGCCGTTCAAGGGAGGCGCCGCGGTGGCTGGAGTTGTAGGCCACGGTGTGGGCAGAGGTGCCTCGTTCTTGAAGCGCGGTATTCTGGGTAAAAAGGATCGAGATGATCCCAACGGTTCGTTGTCGGAGCTCACAGAGGTGCCAACCGTGCCAAGCATCATTACCAACGGCGGTGATTTCCCCATCAGCACCAGCAACTCCAACCCCAGCACCAGGCCGACAACCAGTGCCGTGGACAGTTCCCGGGATTTCCCCCCTCATCTGACGCCCGAGGGCTCTGGCCATAACAGAACCAGGAGCTTCGGCAGCTCTTCAGTGCACAGCGCCATGGGCATTGGAGCTCCGTCCGGAACAGCGACGTTTACTGTCGTTGGTGCTTCCGGATATTCTCTGTCGACGGACTTGTACATCCTCATCACCCAGATCTCACCCAGGGAAAAGATTGTTGGCAAAACGAAGCACTACAAGTCGCCTACAGGTCAGTGGAGCTTTGACGAGACATTCCGCTTCAGCTGCACTCCCGACGCACAGTTCAAGATTGAAGCCAGAGGCGAGCACTTGTTTGGCAGCGATGATGGTCTAGGAGAGCATTTCTACTTTGTTGACGAGACAGGCGCCGCAGCTCCAAAGGAACTCACCGTTGGCACTGGCATAGTGACAGTCAAGAGCTCCTTCCAGCCTGCAGAGGAGAAGTACCCTGACAGTCCCAAGTCTTTTTCGCGACGCGGCTTCTTGAGCAAGCGTGAGGCGCGGAGTCGGGACCCAACGCCAAATCCCTGAGCGATTTGATAACGAAAACTTTTCTTTTTTTTGGTCATTCCAGCTCCTCCCAAGACTCGCCAGGGTCTCCATGTGGGAGCGAGTATTGTATTTGCATGAAGAACTGCTACTGACGTAATGTTACGGCCGCATCGTCGCTCCCTATATCGGCTCTAATTGTTTGTTTGCTTCTTCTCGTTTGCACTTGACTCTTTTTCTTTATGAAATTGCAGCTCTGTATTATTTGTTATAGCCTATCTGCCTGGAGTCTGAGGTGATGGATGGGAGGAAAAGGTACGGGGTGTGTTCAATTTGTATATATATATATATAGGCAGAGTGGGACCGGCGAGGTCAAATGGGACAGCGATTTTATTTTAATTATATTTTCTTGGATAACTTCAATAGTTGCGTCTCTAAGATTTTTGTGTCTCTTTTTTTTTTCATCTTGTTTTGCAGCATCCAACGCCATTCGTATATATCCCTGGTGTAAGTCATCAGGCAACAAGGCAGCAAGAAGTGGCCGCTAGCAACTTAGTCAGCGCGCCCGAGTTGTGGCCAATCAGAAGCTCGTGTTGCTCGAAAGACAGCAGTGACGCGCGATACGGAAGCTGCCTGACCTGGTAGGCTCTAGAGATACTCAGAACGAGGGGCGTCTTTTGGCCTTTCAATTCTCAACCACGAACCGCCAAACACCACAATCGCCAGCTCGACAACCGCAGGCTGCACCCACTTGGAATTCTGCCTCGACCCGCAAGGATCCTCGAATTTGCTCGCAGCGGAACTGGGGGCATTGATTTGATCTGATCTGATCTGATTTGCTCTGGACTTGTGGCCTGGAGGGGTCTTTTCTAAGCATCACACATCACACATCACCACCGCCATCGTCTTCACTTCGCAGACACAGCACCATGGATTCTCTTGTGGCCAAGTACAGCCGGCCGGCATTTGCGCAGAACGAGCCTCTCGAGGATGACGAGCTTAGCAATGAGCTGATGAACCCGGCGGCTCACTTGTCGCTCAACTTTGCCATGCCGCCTATTGCCCAGGTACGTTTTGGTTACTGCTCGTCATAGCTTCGGCGATGGCTTTTATATACAGAAACGAAGAGCAGAAGTTGATCTTGTGCTACTCCAGCCCTCTGCTTGGCTTCGCGCTGCCACAGACGACCGCTCCAACCCCGACTGCCCCATCAAGATTGCCCACGGAACGACGACGCTTGCCTTCCGCTTCCAGGGTGGCATCATCGTGGCCACTGATTCGCGAGCCACGGCCGGCAACTGGATTGCCTCACAGACGGTCAAGAAGGTGATTGAGATCAACAGCGTGCTGCTGGGAACCATGGCCGGTGGCGCCGCAGACTGCCAGTACTGGCTGGCCTGGCTGGGCATGCAGTGCCGCCTCCACGAGCTTCGCCACAAGCGCCGCATCAGCGTCGCCGCCGCCAGCAAGATCCTGGCCAACCTCATCTACAGCTACAAGGGCATGGGCCTCAGCATGGGCACCATGTGCGCCGGCGTGACCAAGGAGGAGGGCCCGGCCCTGTACTACGTCGACAGCGATGGCACGCGACTCTCGGGCAACCTATTCTGCGTGGGCAGTGGACAGACTTTTGCCTACGGAGTGTTGGATTCAGAGTACAAGTACGATCTGACGGACGAGGAGGCCCTGGAGCTGGGCAAGAGGAGTATCCTGGCGGCGACGCACCGTGATGCGTACTCTGGTGGATACATCAACCTGTACCACGTCAAGGAGCAGGGCTGGGTCAAGCACGGCTTCCTCGACACGAATCCGATCTTCTGGGAGACGAAGCTGGAAAAGGGCGAGTTTTCAAACGTCACGAGCGCGCTGGCATAGAAATGGAGAGAGATGGGGGGGGGGGGGGGGTTTAATTTAAAGTATGAGAATAAGAATTGAAATGGGACTCGATGACTCCTTGTATTGCCGTGATGGGAGAAGATGAAGAGAGCAGTAGATGAATACGAAACAAATGATTTTTCTGTCCTCGACTCAGCAAAGAAAGAAGATGGTAACCGTGATGGGATGTGTAGAGAGTCAATTCTAGTTGTAGTACTAGTCTAATAATGCATGACCATCGTATAACTCATATCGTACAGGATATTACTGAACAAAGTGAAAGACACATACAGGCTATATATATCCAACTCCAGCACCTCAACACCAAGGAGGTATCATATTCATCAAACAAATAAACCATTCATCACCTTACATAGCGTCACCGATTTTCACTCCTCCTCCCTCACCCATCCGCCGGCCCCCAGTATCCCGCCACCAACATCCGGATCCATGGGCCACTTTGCAATCGGCCGCACGGACAGCTCGGTGCTGTATCCCGCCTCGAACATCTCCATGCCGGCCCAGGCAATCATGGCGGCGTTGTCGGTGCACAGCTCCAGCGGCGGGGCGACGATGCGCATGTCCGGGAAGCCCCTTGCGGCGAGCGTCGTGCGCAGGACGTGCATGAGGAAGCGGTTGCTCGCGACGCCGCCGGCCACGACGAGGGTTCTGATTGGTTCTGAGGGGGGCTGGAGGGAGGGCGAGTCTTGGAGGGCGAGGATGAGGCGGCTGGTGAGGTGCTGGAAGGCGGCGCGGAGGGTGTGGCGGGCGAGGGCGCGACGTTCTTCGAGGGGCATCGGGTCGGAAGTGGAGGGAGATGAGTCGTCATGATCACTGGAGCTGTTGCGGTTGCTTGCGGCAGCAGCAGCAATGTTATGGACGTGCGAATGGATACTCGAAAACGAATACGCAAGCTTCCTCGAGTTCCGAAACGGCAGCGGCACAGTCCACCCATAGCCAGACGGAACCTCGCGAATCTCCTCCTGCCTCGACGCCGGCGGCGCGAAGAACGCGGCGTAGTCGCCGGGGGTGTCGGCGCCTGGTGGGAAAGCAAAGGCCTCGAGCAGGCGGCCGTACATGACGTCCGGGCTGGACTCGAGGAGGGCGGGCGGGAGGATGACGCGGGCGGTCTGGTCGAGGAGGTTGCCGATGGCGATGTCGGCGGTTGTGGCGAGGATGCGGTGGGTTGTGAGGGCGGTGGAGAGGATGAGCTGGGTGTGGCCGCCGGAGACGAGAAGGGAGAGGAAGGGGAAGGCCGGCGATGGCGATGGTGATGTTCGTCGTCGTCCTCCTCCTCCTCCTTGTTCGTCCTCCAGGGCGTCAACCAGGCGCGGCGTCAAGGCATGCGCTTGCATGTGATGTACGCCCACCAGCGGAACGTCCCACGCCAGCGCCAGCCCCTTTGCAACGTTCAATCCCACAGCCAGATTCGTCATGATGCCCGGCCCCCGCGTCGCACACACAAAGTCGGGCACCCTGACCTTGCTCTTCCTCCTCCTCGCCATCCTCTTCTTCTTCACGTCCTCTGCCTCAACGACACTACTCGCTTCTTCTTCTTCTTCTTCTTCTTCTTCTTCTACCGCGCTCTCTCTCAAACTCGCCAACGCCCTCTGCACCAGCGGTCCCAAGGCAGTGTTGTGCCCTTCCACCGTCACCATCGGATGGATCCCCTTGAACGCCCGGTTGTCCGACGAAACCCGCTCGTTGAAGAGCAGCCTCGTCTTCCCTCCCGCCGATTTTTCGAGTACCGCCACCGCCGTGTCATCGCACGACGTCTCAATCGCCAGAGTCACCAGGGAGCGCTGCTTCGTCCTGCTGTTCTTGGCTGCGAAGACGGAGCGACTAAGAGTTGAGATGCCGTGTAAAGTGAGCCGGTGTTGAAAGGCCGTGGGATGGCATCTTGGTGGGAGCATTTCCTTCTCTCTCTCCTTCTTCTCTCTCTCTCTCTCTTGTTCGGTTTTCCACGAATATTTACTTAAAAACAGGTTATTTACTGAGAATTGATAAAGGGGAGACCTTGGAGTTTGTTTTATAGCTGGTATGTCTAGTAGACGTTGGATTTCGGATCCGTCCCGGCTGAACGTCTTTTTTTTTTCCCACCACGGAGCCCGGAGTTGTGGGGCTCCGTTCTCTACAATATCCAAGGATGTCTAATACCACTCCATTCGCATGATCAAGCTAATGCTCAACACAAGATTTTCATGTTTTAGTCGTAATTTATTTTTACTTTAACTGTATAGATCTGATAAACAAAAGGCTCTTCAAAAGTGAGCAACGCCATTCTAATGCACTTTTTAAACTCGACGGGCAAATATGCCAATACCCAACCCATTTTCATCACATATTCCCCATTAGTATACCTAAATGAAAAGAAAAGAAAGAAAGAAAGAAAGAAAGAAAGAAAGAAAGAAAGAAAGGAAAAACATTGAATCATGTGCACATTTCCGTAGTGTCGTTGTTACAGCCCCTTCTTCACACCCGCTTCATTCCCAGTTTACCCATTGGCACTTGCAACCTCCAGTGCCTCCATCGAATCCTCCAAACTTGGCATTTCCGCTGCCCCGGTGGTTGATCCATGTCCCTCCAGCATCCATCTTGTTGACTAATAGATCTGGAGCGCTAATGTTCAGCTTTTGGCGGTCATCCATCGGCCACTCCCACACAACTTTGTGGTTGGGATCGCCGCCGTGGGTGTCAAGAGTCACAGTCACCGGATACGGCATTGTGCCTGGCTTGACTAGTTCAGGTGAGTTATCAATGCCCTCACTGCCATCTGCCGCCAACAAGGACCCTGTGCTGTTCAGCTTCCGTGTCCAAATTTGCACAAGCATGCGAGTCTCGGCCCAGGTAACGAGATGGTTGGCCTCGGTTTCACTACAGCCACCGTCCTCATCTACCGGCACGTTTCCTTGGCCCGAGTCTTTGAGAACAGTGACAGACTTGAGGAAAATGGTCCGTTGGAAGTATGTGTAGAACCCATAATGCTCAGTCGGCAAGCCGCGATCAAACAGTCGGACTGGCTGCTGAACCGGGTTGGGGAGCATCACGGCAGGCGCAGGGGTGCCGTCACTCTGCAAATCCGGCGGGAGAATAATGTCCGAAATATTGACGTTCGAAGCAGTAGCTCGTCGGCTCAGAGATGGCGACTTGACCGTGTCATTCACCGACTCGAGGACGCTGATAAAAAAGGGTGTCGGCTCTCCTGCTTTTTGACTGGACTGGATATTATCTGTTGTCTCGCCCAAGAACCACATCTCTTGGAAAGTTGGCGGGCTCGGGTCTGGATTGAATCCGTCTATGGAAGAGTTGCTGTTGCTCGTGTCCCTTTGAGAAATGGCCGCTGGTGGAGCGCCGTTAGGAATGTTCCACGCCTTCTCTGTACTGTTGTCCCACTGAATTTGGAAGATGAGAGTTGGCTGGTTTGGCTTGAAAGGAGACACAGACGCCTGGGAATCTTTCGGTAGAGAACAGCTCCAGAGAGTCGACGGCTCCGTGCAGTCACTCTTGGCGATGGTGTTATTCGGTCCAACAAACGTCAACACACCAGTTGGCATGGCAGGATAGTCCGTGAGATTGACCCATATCGACGAGGGTATCGGAGTGGAGGGCGTCGAGGGGGATGTCGAAGAGGGCGGGTCTTGTCCAGAGGTTTCGGTTTTGTTGCCTGATCCATGATGTCTGCTAAGGACGATACCCAATACAACAGCCAGAATAATGATGAGAAGTAGAAGAATGCAAATGATGAATAGCCAAATTCTTCTCTTCTTGCGACCCTCGGGTCCAGTGCGGCCAAAACAACCCTTCTTTGACACCGGACCTCGACCTCTCCAGAGGCCACCGGCTCGTCTTGCTACCATTTCTTCCTTCTCATGTCGCCGTCGTTTTCTCTCAATCTTGTGTTCCTTACCCGATAGTTCGTCGGCATGTGACTGTGACAGAGATGTTCCAACAGGGCGAGCAGGCAGAGGCTCCGTATATCCATGTTCCAGAACCGGAGAGCCGGCCCTTGCCCAGTTGCCACTCCCAGGATGAGTTTCATTTATTGTCACATATGCTCTCTCTGGACTTGCTGGCATGTCTTCGTGGCCCCTTTGCTCTTCTAGCATGATCTCAATCGGCTGTACAGCGCGAGCGTCACTACCACCGCGGCGTTGATCAACAGGAGAGCGCTGCCGAGACAACACTGACGACACAAAGTTGCTTGCCGCACGTACATGTCGTGGAGCAGTCCGTGAGCCTCTCTCTACATTAGGTGATTTCGAAGAGGTTGGTGATACGGAGAAACGGCTCTGTTGCTCTAAGGCGTCGTGTGAATGGGCCATAGTGGAAGCTTGTATCTCTCGACTGTGTTCCAATCGCTGAAGTCCTGCAGACCGGGATGCATTGTTCGAGGCATCTTCAACACTACGCGATGAAATGGAGACATCTCCTGTTCGAATCGAGGATGATGCCTTGCGGGTAGTGTTGTACGCTTCCCGTGTAGATCTTTGGGTTTGTTCGATACGATGCGCGTCTTGTGAGGAGAGTATGCTAGTACGGGAGAGCGATGTGGCAGCCACATTAGCCTCTTGTCCAACTGCTCGTGAATTTGTTTCTTGATCAACTGCTCGTGAATCAGTCTCCCAACCAGCTACTCGTGAAGTTGCTGGTATTTCTCTTGTTGATGCTGCGGATATGATTGGTTCTGCTGCAACTGCTGCTGTTGTTGCTGCTGCAATAGGTGCTGCAATTGGTAGCTTTTTTGGTGACTTGGTTGACGCTGTGGTTGATGCCGTGTTTGACGTCGCGTTTGATGTCGTGTCTGATGCTGTGGCCGATGTTTCGGTTGCTATTGCGGCTTTTCTTGTCGTTGTTGATATTTTCGACGTAGCCAGAGCTGACACTTCTCTTGGAGAGAGCTGTGTATGCAAATGATGGTCCGGTGGGAAGACTGCTTGATATTTGATGTCCTTCCCAGCCTGTTTCTCCGATGACGGCGGAGGCGGATTGTGGGCTGCCAGATTGGTTATTCCCAGGCCATGCACCATATCATGAGTATCTGACCCATCGTGCTTCAAAGGACCCCGTGCTGATTCTGTTACAGTCGCAATCTCGGAGACATCTCCACGGGGTGATGGCGTCCGCCGTCGAGGAGTAGGAATCCTTATAGTGGGGGTCGAATTCGCCGCGACACGATCAACAACAAACTTCTGCTTCTGTTCCCCGGTATTTATCTCAATATGAAACACGATAGGTTGTACAGCTTGTTGAACCACTCCCTCCCTCGGTGGTGGAGTCTGGCGAGGTGCCGGCACTCTAAGAATCGGAGCCTGGGTTTCGTCCCATTGAGGCCTGGGTGGAGGGGTGAGATCGCGCTTCAATTCAGGTTTCGACTGAGAGTCAGCCGATGAGGTCTTATTCTCTCTCAATTCGATAGAAGTAGAGGTGTAGTTGTATCTATGGACTTCTTCGGAGGTTGAGGTTTTCATGGAAGTCGCCTCACGGCTCTCGGAGAAGGTTTGCTGGTGGCTACCCGACTGAGATGTAAGTGTTGAGCTCTCGCCCACGACGCCGGACTTATCGAACGGCTTCATGTCTTCATCCGTTGCCAGTGTAATCAAGATATCAGAGTTTTCTATTCCACCGCTATGCAACTCATTGTCCAGGCCTTTTCCTTTGACGTTTCTCGAGATAACGGCTCCAGAAAAAGATTCGGATTGACTGTGCTCCTTTTCCAACATTGACAGTCCCAAGATAGCACGGCTTCCTTCAATGGGGTTAACTGTAGCGTTCGTTCGTTGCTCTTGGTTTTCAACAGGTGAGAAGGTTTGCTTCGCTTCGACTCCTGACGTGGGGGTTTTCCAGGACTGTGGGCTCGCAATATATTTTGGAGTCAACATTAAACCCTGGTCCCCTTTATTATCTGCCGATCTGGCCATCTGATATCCTCTTTCATTTAGAGGTGACATCTGGGTTCTCCGGCTCGCAAAAGAGGTTCTCTCGTATGGTGTGACCACATGGTATTCCCAATAACCAGGTCCACTCTGGGGAGTGAGCGCAGACTTCAAAGGCGTGACACCATCCTCTTCGAACAGTGTGCAAGGAGTCCCAGACTCGTCTTCCTCCTCCGCGTTCTTTCGGCGTTCCATACCCATGATGCGCTGATGTGCCGCTGTCATCCTCTTGTAATTGGCTGGAACAGCAGGAACAGGGGGAACCTCGGTATCTCGTAGTCCAAGGCCCATGACTGGCGCCATAGATGCTTGCGAGTATATGCTTGAAGGATATCTAATGGTGCTAAACGAGCTTGCGGTTTCAGGCGTGTCTGGAGACCAGACCGACTTGAGCTGATGAGAGTCGGCGGGCCCATTTGTTCGGTCATTGGCAGTTTGAAATGTAAAGGGGTATGGATTTTTCATGCCGCCACTTGGGGTATCGATATTGTTGACTGTTGCCGTGAGAGGATCGATTCCTCGGCTTGTCACCTCATCCGAGGGTAGAGTGATTCCAATGACTATTGGTCTGTCTTCTGGAGAAAGCTGTTCCGCTGGAGAGCGAGTGACTTGAAGCGGAGAATCAGCCACACGATCCGCATCATCTTTCTTCAGCCAATTCCAGTTTCCAACAGACTGTGGGTTCGGAGATCCCTCTAGAGCTCTTAGAGCAGCCGCATCAACAAACTTTGGGGCTCGCCTTGCGGGCGACTTTGTCTGGCCGGCTATGTGATTTTGACGTCTCAGCTTTGTCATGTCCGTGATGAGCTTGATTCCAAGTTTTGCATTTCGTTGCTTTGGGGGCTTCCTTGATATTGGGCGGTTGACCTTGGCGGCTGATCGCCTCATGGATAGCTTTATGCTTGGGTTTTTTGCAGGCTTTGTGAGGATATAGGCGGGAGTAGGTGGCGGAGCCAACAGGCCGGGTTGGATCGCGGAGTCGATCGGCGTGACATCTTCGTCAGAGCTGACTGATGCGCTGTCGCTTTCCACGGGAGATGGACTGCGAGTATTCGCAGAGGAACTGCTCGCGCTCATATTTAAAAATGGGCTGTTGAAAAGAAGCTTCTTGTCGGAGTTATCAGCGGACGGGGTTTCGTCGACGTCTATCAGCGTAACAACATCGTCGTCTTCCCAGTCTTCCCAGTCGTCCGTCCGGCGGCTTTTTGAAGAAGTGTAAGAAATGTGACGAGGTATAGCAGACCGACTAGTCCGCGTAGAGAGCCTGCTGCCATTCACAGGCTCCGCAAGTTTGCCGTAGTTGGACATGTTAGATGATGTAAAGCGAAAGCATTCGGAGCGAGCGCGTGATCGTGACGTAGTCGTGTATCTCGTAATTACTCGTGATACGCTGAAAAAGAGTAGGATATAGAGAGAATCAAAGCATAACCATCACGAGCACCAGGCCAGGTGACGGGGAAAGAAATATCGCCAATGTATCGGTGACAAGGAAACAGAATATACAAAGAACACAAAGAGGTGGTGTGAAGCGAGAGCAAACTGAACGCAACGCCAATCCCAATAATGAACAATCAACAATCAGCAATCGACAATAGATGACAATCCGATCCGTAAGAGTAGAAAATAGAAACTGAAGCAAGAAAGTGAAGGCCAGATGATTGATAAAGAGGAACAATCAGCAGACAATAGCAGCACAAGGGCAGATGGCCAGCAACAACCTCCCCACTTTGGATCCTCGGCCCGGCCCCAAATCTGGCCATTCCATCGCCTTCTTCATCTTCCCGGTCTCTTGTTGACCTGGCAAATGCTCCCTTGTGGCGCGTTTCCGCATGCTCTTTTGTCGGAGCCTTGAGCTCGATGGCGATTCTGGCTGGCGGATTGGCTGGTGGAGGTGCAGCTTGCAGGTATGAAATAGACGCCGTGCGAGCGGGTATGCGCGATGTGATTGGCTGCGAGCATCTGCGCTACAGCCCAGGGCCAGCTGATTGGCCGCTTGTCGCCTGTCGGGCGGCTAAAGCTTGGCCACTGCGCAACACCCGCTGTGGGACTCTCAGGGGTCTGGCGGGCTGCTAATCTGGATGAGCAATGGGCAAAACACCACCATCTCGAACTTCCACTACCCTGGAATTGCCTGGTTATGTAGGGAATATGCACGACAATGGTGTGATCGGTGCGACACTAGAGTAGGATGGATTCGGAATGAGGATTACCGTGCATCATAAGCCCATGTATTAATCTAGCAGGCGCTTGAAACATGCGATTTTCTGGCTCTGAGCTCAAAGCAGCTGCTTCATATCCCAACTAGAAGTTGCCGGCCACTATACAGCTAACCCACATTTTCATGGCGACAGAAGCAAATAGCTCAGTTACAACGCTACCAGGTGTAGAGGAATGCAAACCTAGTTGGTGCTAATGATAGAAACAACGGACAATGGTCAACTCGTGCTACCACATGAGCACACCCCGACGCAAGACATGGCAGAAATGGCAAGTCAAGACGAAATGACACACACACACTCACACATACTTGTACACACGTTTGATACACGTCTCAGCCACCCTGCGTTGATCGACTCCCCGCATATCATACAATGCCCAGGAACAGGAGCTACTTGTCTTATGCGTGATTCACTATCCGCAGAGCTAAAAACGCAGCTGGTATCAAGTATTGAATTAAATTGATCAGGCGTTTATACGGCCCTCTGCGATACCAAGATAGAGGTAGTAACTTGCCTCTTGCTCGCGTATACTACTCAACACTCTAGGCATCGTATAGGTAGCTAGGCGAGGATGAACATGTAGACGATGGATTCCATCGCCTCTAAAGAAAACCAACAAGTGACGTCTTCCACTGTTGGCTCTGGTTGTAATATGCATTTAGCAAAAGGCGGGGCAAATGGTTGACGCCATACGCAGACGTGACGAATGCTGAACTCTGTTCGAGATGCATGATTTAGCGTACACTATCAAGAAGTTTAAGCATGTCCATCTGCCTGTGGCTTCGTATCGCTCTAGTCTCCAGAATCAAGGGCGGCAGCGGAGTGCCGTGGCGCAAGTTAATATTGGCAACATGAAGTCAATGGTAATACCTGTGCGAGTAAGCTGACGGCCTACCTATCTGCCTTGTGGCTAGGGCCGGTGTTGGAGCATTGCGGCTGAGAGCGTTTATGGACCTTATTTTGGCACCTTGGCTTGGTAGATGATGAAGATCTTTTTCTTGTCTGGAAAATACGAGAAAAGCTTCATCTTCTCAGCTTCACATCTACCGACCAAGCAAATCCATGCCATGAGCATTAGCTGGCTGTTTTTACTTTCCACTGCCGGGTAACGAGGGTTTCCGTCAAACCTTGCCCGACGTGGAGGATTAGTAATACGAGGCCATCCATGTCCTGTCAAAACTAACGAGATCATTGATGCTTGCTTGACATCAAATTTAACGCCATACGGCTAACCCGCAACGGGCCATGCCAGCAACCACGACTCGGTCTCCTCCGAACAGGCTCAGTCAATCGAGACCCACGAATGAACGCCTTGACCCTGAGCTAAGTTGCTAAACACGCTACAAGACGGTGGGAATGGCCTGCTGGAGGATGCGGATGGGAGGGTCCGGCGCTGTTGAATGCCTGCACCGGCACGGAGCAAGACCGACCGCATACGAGACTTCACTAAACTATTGGGTCTGTACGAACCAAGTACGAAGTACGAGTACTCCGCCTTAATATTGGACGCAGGAGAAAATCTCGCAATCGAATTCCATGATTGGGCGCGCCCCTGAGCGACGCAGGGAAGAAGCTGAGGATGGATGGGCGCCTGGCAAAATGCTGCCCGAGTGCATCGGCCAGTGGCAATCGCAAGGAGCATGGGTTCATCAATCTTAAAATTTCCTCATCCCCGGTAGCGGCTAATAATCCTCCTTATCGCGCAATGCCAGGCACCAAAAAGCACGGGTACGGCAATACGGGTACAGGTGCAGGTACGAGCACGAGCTTCGAGTCTTGTGTGCTTGTTGCACGGCGATATGAGTGGGTTCTCGATAACATTGATGCTGCAGTCGTGATTTTGGTTCCCGTAACCGTCGCACCTGAGCCGGATTTTGTGGCCGCTTGCAGTTGTGCGTCCTAACGCGATAACGAAACTACTACGGACGTACAGTACTACAGCAGAAAAAAAAAAAAAAAAAAAAAAAAAAAAAAGAACAGACAAATTTCTTAAGCCTGAATCAAAAAGAAAAAGAAAGCAAGCAAACCACCAACACAATGACAAAAGACCAAAGAAAATAAGTAAAAGGCGCAATCGGGATCATGCATGATATTGCCTTGTTCGGTTAATTAGACTGTTAATTACTGGTGCTCTCACAACTGCCACCGTGCCATCGCCAACGCAGATACGAGAAGTTCTAACCAAGGCGTGCGGCCCCCTATTACAGCAAAAAAGCACCTCGATTCGCTAGAACGCCTTCTGGCACCGTGCCATAAGCAAACTAAGCCACCGCCCAGTTCAGCACGAAGGGGGGCCGTGCGTGGGAGAAGAAGTAGAAAAATCCAACCGTATTGGAGCGCTTTACTGCGGCGCAAGCGATGATGTACCTACTTAGAGACTTGGCTTTTGACACTCCTAAAATTATCGTCGTCGTTTTCAGCATTCAACTGTTCCATGTTAGCTCTTGGCACTTGGAGTACTTGGCGCCGCTACTACAGTACCTTGATTTCCCTGGCGTCGAAATTCTCCCCGTTGTCGCGCTGCTGCAAGAAGGCTGCAGCAGTACTTGTACTTGTTGGGTACTGTGTGGCAGCCCTGCCTTGTACGGGTACTATACTCGCCACGCCCGCTTTGGCGCTGTGAATCGTACCGCCATGTATCCGGTACGCACTTGGCCTTATCAAGCATCGTCAGCACCACAGCAGCGCAAGTAACCCCGTCCTGCTGCTACCGCGCAGACCCGCTTCGCGTTGTACCCCGTCGTTTTCGGCCAGGCGCCAGGCTGGCGTCTTTTGCGGCACTTGCGCAGCCAGGGGCACGGCGAGGTACTTTGCGCTCAGCCGCCCCTGGGTACCCGTACAAAGCCAAGCCTGAACCGACCTGGCCCTACGGACCCTGTATCCAGACCTGCCAATAAACCGCCTCTTTTTTCCTCGACCCCCATTCGACTATCCCATCCCATATCTCATACCGACATCTGGCCAGAACGCGAATTTGCTCAGCTAGCGCTTGTGTCGCCGTCTGCGACAGTTGGTCCCGGTGTGGGTTCGATCTCTGCTTTGGGGGCTTCTCTCACGATCTCCTCTGTCCTGTCAGAAGTCAGAAACAGCGCCCCTCCCTTTCTGGAGCCAGTTTGTGTCGTCTGCCTCTCGTTCTGCTCTGCATTGAGCTGCTTGCATTTCTCTCTCTCTCTCTCTCTAGCTCTAGTGCGGCTCCGTATCAGGAAGCCCACGCAGCCCGCTTCTGCTGCCACGCCGACTCCGTATTTCGACACCTGTCGACTCTCGAGCTTCTCCCACCGTCCACAACACAGCTATTCACCCTGGCTTCCCAAAGGCACCCGGCCGGCTCCTCGAGCTCCTTCAACGACCGGCCTGTGCCGTCACATCACCGACGGCGCTCTTCGGCTGGCAGCCACACCCTAAGCGAAGTGCGCTCTGGCAATCTGCTGTCCATCCATCCTCGCACAGCCAACCAGGCCCAGCTGTCCCCTATCGTCGGTACGTCTCCCATCGCCGGCTCCCTTGCAGGCTTCCCGCATCGCCTGCCCTGCGTCATCTTGTGTCGCGCAAACTTGGAGTTGCTCGCTGGCTAATCTCTGTGTTCCCTTGGTTCTTTGTCACAGGCACTCCCGCCGACCCAATGTCTCTGTCTCGAAGCCCATCGCCTGTCCCGGGTGGGGGGTGGTCCAGTCCTGGCTTGAATATCAACAGCGGCCGCTCAAGTCCTGCCAATGCCGCTGGCAGCTCTTGGGAATCCGCCAAGATGAGGAAGCAAGGTGCCAACGGCTACCCGTCCTTCTCGACGCAGAACCAGGGCTTCTTTACCCGACACATGCGCCGCATATCCAGCAGCCTGCCACGATTCAACTCCGGCCCGGGCAACACCTATGCTGAGAGGGAAAAGTATGAACGAGAAGGATACAGCCAGAACGCCTCCGGCGGAAGGATACGATCCTTCATTGCCCGCATTGGCAGAAGGCTCAAGTGGAGGATTCTTCTTCCGCTAATCATATTCTGCACCATTGTGGTGTACTATGGCACTCGTGAGCACAACCATTGCGTCCCCTACAACTGGATGTGGTTCTTTTGGCTAACAGAGGGATAGATGAGGCTCCCGGCTTCGTTCACTGGTGGCGACGAATTACTCTGGGCGGTGGCGGCGAGAAATTCGTTATAATACTGGCTGCCAACGTTGGCGGAGGTGTCATGGAGTGGAAGGGTGCTCGAGAGTGGGCCATTGAACGAGACAGCGTACGCAACAAGCGGAAATATGCCACTCGATGGGGCTACGATTTGGAAATTGTCGACATGAAGACCAAGAAGCGGTATGCGCACGAGTGGCGAGAAAGCTGGGAAAAGGTCGACTTCATTCGGACTGCGATGCGCAAATACCCCAACGCTGAATGGTGAGCAAGCAAAAAAAATATCCCACATGAGGCATACCCTTGTCGTCCCTTTCACAATTTGACTAACACACCCAGGTTCTGGTGGCTGGATCTCAACACCTATGTAATGGAGCCATCATACTCTCTTCAGCATCATCTGTTCAATCACCTCGACCGTCATGTGTACCGCGATATCAACGTCTTCAACCCTCTCAACATCACCCACCCCCCCACAGAAGAGTACTTGGACGCGGAGGCGCGAAGCCCTGTGGGTGATGGCAATATCAACTCTGTGAACCTCATGCTCACTCAGGACTGCTCCGGATTCAACCTGGGCTCCTTCTTTATTCGACGCAGCGCTTGGACCGAACAACTTTTGGATATCTGGTGGGACCCCGTCCTCTATGAACAGAAGCACATGGAATGGGAGCATAAGGAGCAGGATGCTCTCGAACAATTGTACCAGACCCAGCCCTGGATTCGACAACACATTGGCTTCCTGCCGCAGCGCATGATCAACAGCTTCCCCACGGCTGCTTGCGCAGAAGAATCCGGATTGAACAACACCAGGATACACTACAACGAAAAAGATCGCGACTTTGTAGTCAATATGGCTGGCTGCGAATGGGGCCGCGATTGCTGGGGTGAGATGTATCACTACCGGGAATTTAGCTACTGGCTCAACCGAAACCCTTGGGAGCTCTTCAAGGAGGAGATTGTGGCCCTCATCTGGTTCAAACTCACTGGCCAGCGAGTCAAGCTATAATCTGGCCTTCATCTTGCACTTGCAACGGGGTCGACAATTCGGCCTGCCCTTTTCACATCTTGTGCCGGCACAACCCCTCTTTTCAACCATGAGCTAGACAACAAACACATTTGCCGTCGGCTTCATTTCACTAGCACAGAGCATTCTGAGAAATCATCTGTTTTTTTTTAATCTTGTTTTTTTTTTGCTTGTTGCATAGATGTTGGTCTTAATATTTCTTGATTGTATCAACGCATCAATATGCCCACCTTTTTCCTGCACGGCTGGACGAATATAATTGACAATGATTGGAGAGGGGCTACCATCTGACGAGGCGACGAATCACAATATTCATCTCTATTGAACGGCCCGGCATCTTGCGATTCTCCCATTTAGCAGGAGGATTTGGATGGTTGATGGCAGCACCGCGGCCGGGAAATCGAGATGTCAAAAGGAGAGAAGGGGGCGAGAAGAAGTTCGCTTCCCATGTCAAACACATACAGGGTTTGGGGTACACACACGGGGTGGATATTTTAAAAGGAAAGAAGAAATTAGGGAAAGGCAAGGCTCATGATCCATAGGGCGCCATTGCGTGGCTGTCTCCTGGCGTTGGGCACTCATAACATTTGGTGATTTTTCTTCTTTCTTTTTTTCAGAGAGAAAAGAAGGGAGAAGGAGAGAAAAAAAATCTTAAGGCGACATCTATCAGAGTCACCCCCTATTTTTATGATTGGGTACATATTCCAAAGAGATAATTTATAGAGATGTTTTTTTGGTATTTTTAAAAATTTGGGTTTAGTTTCTTTTTTTTAAACTTGGTCTATCACATGGTGATGAAAGCTAGAAAATGTAAAAAAAAGACTGCTGGTTGTCGATCTTGGTCAATGGCGGTCTCAACTCGGATATTGATCAAGTATGCCGTGCATGAGCGATTGCTGATCTCAGCGGGTGATTTGCCGGAGATGGGGGGAGATGAATCATCGTCCAGGTGATATACTCCGTATACCCATGCGAGAGGACATGGCCCACTAAGGCTGTCGAGGGGAGTCGTGGAGTAGATAAGCGATGGAGACAAGGGGGGTGCTCAATTGGCGATGAGGTTATCAGGAGATGGCAAGTAGTAACATGATCTGCAGTGGGAAACGGGCCGGACTAGAATGGATTTTAGGGATGAGCGGGCTGATTGAATGGATATGGCACGATTTAGTTCGTTTGGGAGGTTATATGTGTGTGTGTCTGTGTGTAGGGGAGACTGAGAGAGGATTTAAAAGGGCCGAAGAAGGTGTTTGATGGTGGGCGGGGGAGTTGGTCATGATGACTGAGGGCTTCTCGTGTTATATATTGACGTTGCATCGCAATTTTTAGTGAGTGTGGAATTGCACATTCGGTGAGAATGGTGACTTTTGCATAACACGGCAGAGTGAAGGCCGGTAGCAGGTCGGCTGTTGTCGGGTTTCTGTATGGCAAATAGACACAAATAACGTCTTGGTGAATGATTCTGAGTCTGGGGGTTTTCAGGGTGTTGTTTTGAGGTGCTGGGTGTGCAATGCGAGAGACAATACCACCATGCAGCTTTCTGCTCTTTGGCAGGAGTTTCGCTGTTTTGGGGGATGGTGATGCCATGTTGCCCATCTTCCGTCTGATTGATGTAGCCAAACCATATACTGAACAGAGAGACACTGAGTTCCTATTGCCAACACGGTGGTAAAAATGAGAATACAAGTACCTATATAGAGGAGCATCAGTATATCCGCAACTATGCACGAGTATGACTGTAAAGCAATCATGAAAGAGTTTGTTACAGCCTTGATTCTTTGGCGTTTATTCTTTTGCTCTGATAGGCTGCTTTAAAATAGTCGATACACATATCCCATCATATGAGCGGTGTGTTAAAGAGAGCTTGTTTTAGCAATTACAAAGCCGCGCGCGCTTCACTTGGAAGCAGTAGGCAGTAAGCACGCGCTTTCCGGAACCTTTGTTTGTGGGCATCGTCAATGCTTAGATACCTGAGGCACCATATGGCAGTGAATAAAGCCCTTCCAACTTTGTTCCTAATATTCATGCAAAAATTCACTTGATTGCTTCACGCGGTAAAACTAACCACGAATCGCTGAAATGCCACAGATACGTGCAGCTGCTCGCAAATACGAGTACTTCTAGCGGAACGAAGCTGGACTACTAATATGACCAAGACCAAGTGCGCCTTCAACCGTCCATGCCTTAATAATCCAATATCTGGCCCTTGACTAGCTAGCGGCACAGGGCCTGTGGACTGCGCTGATCAGGGGCAGCCGCGCCAATGCCAGGCACCGCAAGCCGCGAGAAATCCCCGGCCACAGCCCTTCATTGGCCACCAGGCGCAGATACCATCGTCTCACAATTACACCAAGACTCCCGCTCTCCCTCTGGCGCCTACCGAAGCCGTTGATTGCACCTGGACTACGCACAAGTAGAACCAGTAGTATCATGGCTATTGACCGCAGAAAGGATCAATTCTTGCGGCCCTGGCCAATCTGCCGCGGGGCCTGTGCTGCGGCTGAGATTGGGGGTCCAGAATGTCTCTCGCTCATTAGACGAGGACCCTGTCTGTGAGACGGGAAGAAGAAAAACCAGAGACATTGTGGTCTGTATTTAGATGACCACATGCCCCCCCCCCAGTGACCTTGGCCACGGCCTTTGTTTGCTTGCCGTTGACACGCAGGACTGCCCCCTTCCGCCCTCACCTTCATCTCACTTCCTCAGTCCCACTCACTGAACTCTCAGCCCAGGCCGTTCAATCCTTCCGGCAGCTGGTGTTCCTGACTGAGTAACAAACAGCCCTTTGTTGAACAAACCACATTCAATCACGCTTCAATCTGTCCATCAATAGATTCTAATTGACCTTGACTTATTAGTCAATGCTGGCCTCTGCCCGGCTTCCCCCCCCCCTCTCTCTTTCATCCAAGCACATAGCAACATCTTTCATTTACATAATTATACCAACCCTTCTGTTATACCATATACACTTCTTTTTACGCACTCTCTCCCGGACCCAGGTGGATATCGGGATATTTTTCGTTCTCTTTCTTGACCAATCCGCACACTGCTAGGCGTGCCTTCGATCTTGTTGCATCTTGTGGCTGGCTCACATTGCAACCGACGACATTCGTTTTGCATACTTCAATTTTGAGATACCCTGAAACTGTTATAGTCGGAACATCGCCATGTACGCTTCTAGAGGTCTCGCCCTGTCTCTAGCCTCACTCTTTGCCGGTAGAGTTGCTCACGCGCAATATTCTCCATACACCTTGGACATTACTTATGACTCAACCAACTTCTTTTCTCAGTTCGACTTCTTCACCGACTCGGATCCGACGCATGGGTTCGTCGAATACGTTGATGCTCAAACTGCAAACTCTTTAGGCCTGGCCGGGATTACTGCTGGAGCCGTCTTCATGGGTGTCGATGACGCTACAAAAAACCCACCAAAAGGCCGCAAGTCGGTTCGAGTAACCTCGCATCAATCCTTCACTCACGGTCTTTTCATTGCCGATATTGCTCATATGCCGGGCAGCATCTGTGGAGCCTGGCCTGCTATGTGGATGGTTGGCCCTAATTGGCCGTTCTCGGGGGAAATCGACATCATCGAGGGTGTAAATACCCAGACGACCAACTCTATTACCCTTCATACAGGCCCCGGCCTCACGGTTAGCAACACTGGATCTAACCCGTCTACTCAACTGCTCAACAGCGACTGCGGCCCCAATAGCAGCAACTCGGGATGTGGCCAATCAACCGCGGACAATCAGAACTACGGCGATGGTTTCAATGCTATTCGAGGAGGAGTCTACGCTACTGAGTGGACATCTGACCACATTGCCGTTTGGTTCTTCCCTCGAACCAATATTCCCATCGACATAAGCATTGGTATGCCCAACCCGGACGGCTGGGGTCTTCCCTTGGCCAAGTTTACTGGCGCCAACGGCTGCAGCCTTGATGATTACTTCAAGAACAACCAGATCATCTTCGACACTACCTTTTGTGGCGATTGGGCCGGCCAGGCTTGGGCATCGAACAGCGAGTGCTCCGCCTTGGCTAACTCGTGCGAGAACTACGTTTCTAACAATCCTTCAGCCTTTACTGAGGCTTTTTGGCTTGTAAACTCTCTCAGCGTATACAACCAGGCTCCCAATGTTACAACAGGAGTAAATGCTTCGCTGCAGACTTCTCTCAAGAGATTTACGGCCTAAGCATGAAGAGAAAAGAAGGAGGATGATATATGATAGAGAGAGGAAGAGGTGAAGAGTTATATGGAGGAGGAGATACCCTTGGATTTGAGCAGAGGCATGGGCAGGACAACTATTTACTTTGCTCTTTCTGTTATCTTCTTGCTCTATTGGAGATTCAAGTTTATTTAAAGCTGTACATTACATTTTCACCAGCTCGCCATAGATATAGACTGGAGCAATTCACGTACATAAAGGGCAGACGTCTGTTAACGCTGATGTGGCTTTTCCAAACAATTGATCAAACCATGTCGTATACTTGTGACTGTAAACTTGCATTGGACAACTAATAACCATTGACGTAGTAGACAGTAATAGGCAGCATGAACTAACACGCGTCTCGAATCCTATAACAAAACAAATGCGTAAGCTCACCTAGCCCTGCATGTGTACAATTATAATCAAAACTGGCCGACGCCTGCCACCTCGGCATTGCGAAAATCTCCGACCCCAAAGGGAGTCGGGAACGGTGCAAATAGGCTACCCGCTGAGGCAACTTGGCCATTTCCAAGAGGGTTCGCAAAACGGCGTCGGTCTTCGGGTCGTCGGCAAAGCTGTCTCTGGTCCAATCAAAACCCCCACGCACCTAAATCGTGGCCTTTTTTTTTTTTTCTTCTTCTGTCTCCTTGGCAATGAATCGCACAGCTGGCGATGCTTGATCAGGACTAGGAAAATCGGCGTGGAATGATCGCCGGGGTTTGTTTTCTAGGTTGTGTGCATTACGTGTTTAGACTGAATGGAGAAAGCGGTATCCTGGTAGCTTCGATTAATCTGTATGGGGTAGCATCGCAGAGGATATCCATTAGTATTTAAATACTGAACATGTACCGCCTCTCTGGACACCGAGGCTGAATTCTACTTTAAAAGAATCACCATCGCGAAATACCAAGACTCTTATTGTCTCCTATCTGTCGGGAATAACCTGAATTGGTTCTGTGCTGTACCTCATAGTCGCCTCACTTAATCCCTCGTATCATCCATACAACTGTCAAGATGAGTCTCATCGCAGGCCTGGATCTCTCCAAGAACTATTCGCTCTTTACGGTATGAAGCCCTTAAAAAGGCATCCCGTATCATGTCCAATGGCAACTGACCCAATCCCACATCAGGTTCCCGCGGCGTTTCTGCTATGCATGCTCCCCGGTGCCTTTGCCTATTCCCTGGCAGGCAAGTCTTTTGACCCTGCCAATCCGCGGCAATTTAGGGCAACTATTCTCGCCGACGAAAAGCTGGAGAAAATCGTGAGTTCCCATTTCATTTCGTTTCATCTCATCGCCAAACCCGACAAGAAAGGAGTTGATGCTGACCATTCGTCTTCCATATAGCAACAACAGCGCATCATCCGTGCCCAGAGCGCCCAGGAAAACGGCTTTGAGACTATTGGCTTGTATGCATCCGGTGTGCTGGCAGCAAACTACGCTGGCGTCGATGTGCGGATGCTCAACCTGTTGACGTTTGGTTATCTCGCCTCCCGTGTTGCATACATCTTTGCATATATCGTCTTGTGCCAGAACCGAAAGCTGGCGCCAGTGAGATCGCTTTGCTGGGCAGCAGGATCGGCCATCTTGGTGTCTCTGTGGGTCATGGCTGGGCAGAATGTGAATCTGAAGCTTTGAGTTGGTTTTTGGTTTTCTTTCCCTTGGAGTTTCTAAATGAAGTCAATAAAGAATGGATATTTGGTCTTGCTTTGACAGTGTAGCTGTGTGACGCTTACCTTGAGAAGGTCGAACTGGTATGAATTGCTTAGAAGGGCTTTTCCATTGCGGGAAAGCCTGATTTCGTTAATATGAGCACCAAAGTCAGCTCCCGTAGAGATTCCTCCTTTATCGACACTCTTCTGAGCCAGTCTCTAGGCTGACCGAAGAAACAGCCTTGTTACTTCGTTATTAGGGCATGCAGAGTGCAAAGCTCCAGGAATGGTATGCTGGCATGCGTGAAGAGATCATGTAGGCGACAAAGAGCATGGTCTCGACTTTGGATGCCGCATCGATATATTCCGTTTGCTCACTGTAGTCCTTGTGCAGTCCTAGTGTGAATGTTTCAGCAAAAGAAGGACAGATGGGGAGAGAAGAGAGAGACCAAGGCCACTCAGGGAGGCGAAAAGGCTCACCGCCCTCAAATCTGTGAATCACAGCTTGAACACAGCTGAATTCGGTAGCAGAGCTGCAAGTAGGTATGAATCATTTGCAACTTATTTCTCTGCAGTTGTACTTTTTCGAGATGGAAATTGCTCAAGCTCAGCATAAAAGAGGCGCGACTTGTCCTCCTCTAACGTGACATTGCAAGAATAATCTACCAGTACAGGTACTATAGTAACACAGACATCAATTGAGGTGCTACGCACTATAATACCTTGATGGCTTGAGGGGGAAGGACCAACTGAGCACTTGCCACAACAGCAACCATACAAAAAGGAAAAAGTCAGACAACAAACCATCGAAACTTACACATCGGCGAAAGACAAAAAAAAAGATTTATAAACAAACACCCAACACAGCATACATAACAACTTCGTGAACAAACGAATCACCTACAATGTTCTCCCTCAAATCCATCCTATCCATCTCCCTCCTCACCAGCTCCGCCACCGCCGCCTTTCTTCCCGCCACGAGCACATCCACCTCCGTCCTCAACAACACCACGAGCACAGCTACCGCACAACCCACCATCACCGCCGCCACCGTCCACTGCGATATCACGTACTGCGTCAACGGCACCTCGTACTGCCACTTCTGGGCCGGCATCAGCACGTGGAAAATGTCGGGCCCGTCTCCGGGAGAAGTCGTGACGACCATGGGAGTTTGCAAGATTGGCAGAGCAAGGATGATGGCGGTTAGGGAGTGAGATGCGATTTTGTTGCTCGAGGGAGCTTTCGAATGAGATGATCTGGGGCTTGAGAGTGAGACGCCAAGGGGAAGCAGTGATCGCATTGCCTGCAGAGAATGAACTCGCCTTGAGAGAAAGAGGGAACTGATGCTAGCATGAAGCTTTAGAGTTTTGTTGAAAGGGCAGATTTAGCGTGTGACTGCAACGGTTCAAGACGAATGCTGAGAAAGCCAGCTTCTTCCGCTTGACAAATATTATTAACAAAGTGCGCTAATAATAAATATATCCAAGTATGCTGGCCTACCCTTTGGTAGAACCAAACTAATGCAACTAATATTCCGCTTTACTGAGTTCTACTGTCACGTATGTACTAAACCAACTCTCTACGTCTACCTGCTACATACCTGGTGCCATAGAGCACGCCGCATTGCGCAGTTAATGAGCATCTTGCCACCCTAAATCCAGTCGTCTCTTCACCTATCAGAACCAGACGCCACCTCCAAACCCCCAAAGCTCCCGTTCCTTACCAGTCTCGGGGCTTCCGGGGCTTCAGTGTCCGCCGTTGGCACCGCAGAGTAGCCAGGCTTGGTGCTCCCAGAAAAGTCTCTGCCAGGGGTCTCATCGTTATCGTCATCATCATCTTGGTCCGCATCGCCATGTTCTTCGTCAGCCAAAGTCTCCGGAGGAGCAGACACGTCGTCCTTGACTTTGAGTACGAAAAAAGCGGCCACCAGTGCAAAGAGACCTCCAAGTGCTAAAACGATGGCGATGCTATGGTCGCCTGGAGTTCCCCTCGGCTTCTGCCATATCTTGAAAATCAAGCTCGAGCCTACATTAGCAATGATTTGAGGAGCAGAAACAGACATGTTGTGAATGCCCATAATCACGCCCGCTTGATCCACCTCCTCTTCCTTTGATGCCTCCGCCATTTCCAACGGAGACGTATGCCCAGTGGCGGGAGTCAATGGCGGAGGAGCGTCACGGTTGTCTCTTCGGGGACGCCTGGAGCGGGCGAGGGCATCGCGCCGACTGATTTCAGCGCTGATGATGGCGAACGGGGCCCACAGAGTGATAGCCCAGGTGATTCCAGCGGCTCCAATCAAGGCTGTTGCTGCGTTGATAGACCTTACAAATACAGTGCAAACCATGACAATGGCGAAGAGGATGAGGGACCCGAACCAAGCTCGTCTAAGGGTGAAGCCGGGTATTCTGAGGTGATCCAAGAACGACTTTTTGGGGCCAGATTCCGAATTATCTAGTACAGGATGGCTATCATAAGTTGGAGCAACAAAAAATGGGAGGAACACATTAACCAGCAGGCTAACAATGGAGTTGATGAGGAGAGCAAACGAGCCCATCCGAGTTGCTTGCTCGTACAGCTTGTCAATCTCTTCAGGGGTCATGTGGGGGTTCTTTTCAAGGAAAGGCTGGACGTAGATCTCGCCAATGTACGAAGATGTGTAGAACAAGAGAGGGAAGAAGCCAACCCAGCCAAAGAACTGGACCTGGCAAACCCGTTTGATCTGAGGCGGCAGTCGTTTGATGGATTTGAATAGGGTAAAGAAGAAGAGAAAAATGCTGTGCTTCTTGCGTGGAGGACCGTCCAATCGAGGATCCCGCTCCTTGATCAGGGCAGCGCTCAAAATGACCGTAGATCCCAGCGAAATACTGGCGATTGCGCAAAGAATCTTGAACTGGGTGTTGCCCAGGAACCAGAGAGGCGTCGTCAAATTAACGTATCCCGCAATGTAGCCGATGATGTTTCCTATGCCTGTCATGCGGCTGGCCATGGAATTCGCAGCCTCCTGTTGATGGGCAGGCCCACAATCAACAATGAAAGCTCGGAGGGCAGCTTGAACCGTGTTGATGGCAAAGTCTAGCAGATAGACTCCAATCACCGCTGTCACAATAATGGTAGTCTTGACGCCATGCGATTCCGGATTAGCCCCAAAGATGCTCAACACTCCGCTGACAATCTCCTTTGTCCAGGCTAAGAAGAGCAACCCTAATATGGTGGCAGCGGCCCCGCCAAGCATGAACGGCTTTCGTTTACCCCATGAGAGGCGGCAGTTATCACTGAGCATGCCAACATAAGGTTGCACCAAGGTACCGGTCAGTGGCCCCGCGATCCAGACCAGAGCCATAAGAGACTTGCTCAGACCTAGGGACAGCAGATATGGCGAGCCATTAGAGAGCTCGACGGACCACGCGATTTGGAGACCTCCAATACCGATAGTCAATATGGTCAGGTACCACAAGCTCTTGGTGGTTTGGCTGTCATCCGCATGGCTATCGCTTCGTCCGACCGATCTGGCACCAAATGCATCGTAGTCGGCTGGTGGTAGCAGCGGCGAGTGTTCATCGTTTACGAGTTCCTGCTCGCGCACTGGCTGCTCGTCGAGAGAGCGGTTGCGGGGGGTGGCGCCTGGAGTCGATGGCGTGCTGGCGCCTGGGGTAGAATGTTGTTGCTGGCGAGGAACAGGCTGTTCGCCGTGGTCGGACCCGTGGGGGGATGATGCCGTCATGACCGCTGTCAGTGGAGTATAGACGCGTGGAAGCGGATTTGGGAGACAGATGCGGCTGCGCCGTCAACGTCGATCAGCGGAGCAGCATGCGATGTTTCAAGAGAGAGTGGGTTATGGAGACGATAAGGCGACGATGTAGTGATGATATGGTGATGACGGCTACGGGCAGTAGCTTCACGAGAGGGCCATGACCAGTCAAGGAGAGGAGAGGAGCCGGTACTGAAGGCCTTTCAGCTGGGTACCAGGTCGGAGAAGCTCGACCAAATCAGGCACCTTGCTCAAACGAGATAAATCATGTGGCGAAGCTGAGGATCTTGGACAGAAGGACCACGCGACCGCACAGATGGTGCCGTTTACCGTTGAGAGACAATCGATCGGGGAAGTGGATCCGCCTCACAGATGCAGATGCGAGTAGTGAGACACACAGCCTGGAGAGAAGAAACAGCCTTTGTAATGCTGAGATGACGGTAGATTCAAGCTGCATCAATCACGAGCCCAGGGAGCAGGTCGGGGGGCATCGTGATGCGTCATGTGGGCGTTGGCCAATCAGATTCAGCGGGTGCGACGCAGGCGCTGATGTTCAGGCACAGAGAGCTGAAGGGGCAGTGACATCACTGAAGCGGTGCCCGAACTAGCCAATCAGAGCGATGGTAGAATGGCTCTACTAACCTGAATCTTCTATAGTGACTGCCTGCGATATTGCACTCTGCCTTGGCACTTTGCAGGTTGGAGTTGGAATAAACTGATCATTTTATATCTTCTAGTGTAGTCTATGTGATACAACTGCATACTCAATTCACGGTAAGTAGAGGTAGGTAGATGATAAGCTACTATAATGTATCAAATGTTCAAGCTGTAAAAACATGCCACTAACGATCACCTTGCTCCAAAGCATCCATAGTTGTCTCAATACCTGCATGAGCGCTTCCTTGGTCAGATTTTATTTTACTTTTCCTCTTGAATATTCGACCCCATTTGCTGGAAAACGCTGCAGCCAAGGCGTGCATAGTAGTCATTAGCCTGGCGAAGGCCGATTTGAATCTTGTGGGCGGCTCTGTATTGAACACAGGACGTGTGATAGACGTAGAAGGATTGTAAGGGTATACCTCTTGTAAACTAGATTCCATTGCTGGTGGAGGGGAGGTGACAGCTTGGCGCCATTCTTGATACGTGTAGCTATCGGGAATGCTGAGGCCAAGAATCTCTCCAGACTCTTTCTCTAATAATGCGGCGGGGAATCTAAATATCGGTAGAATCTCCTCCCTGAAATTTGGAAGAAGCGATACTTGATATGATCCCTCCGAGTGCTTGACTTCAGGGCGATAGCCTGGGAAATGAACAGAAATGGTATCATCGCTTTCTCGGCGATAGAGCTGGTTATAATTCCATTCGATCTCATCGTAATGCAGCGCTGTGCAAGCTCTGTGGAAGTTTGGGTCCTCTCCAATGTATCTGATGTAGAATCTTGTGTCTGTGGCCGTAATCTCAATCTTAACAGCCCGCTGCGCCGCCATGACAAGTCGTTGCTCTTAGTAGATATATATGCTACCTAGGTACCTAGGTAGGTAGATAAAATTCATCAGTCATGGTTCTACACCGAACTTGCAAGTATCCGAGGGACTTACAATAGATTTATGCCAGTACCTATATCAGTAAACATCAATTACATTACTACTAAGTAGGTAGATGATATGTGAGACTAAGCTTCAAAGCCTGGGCTTCAAGATCTGAAGAGCTATAGGAATTCTCGACTTTTATATTAAAAATAAAACCTGGACGCCCTGTATACATGGAGGTGCTCGTTTGGGATGGTGGGCACCTGTAGATATACTAAACTAAGGCCCAATCTCTTGGGCAGTGTTGTTGCAGCCTTATCTCCATGCAGGTGTACACATGTACCGTCCATTGGTTGGCAGGCTATACGGCGCGTAAAAGAAAACAGAAGGTACCCAAATTCTGAGGATATTCATACTCATGAACAAGAGCGGAATTTAATTCAAAGCTTCTTTTCTTGTGAGAAAACATCAAAGCACGGTTTCCTTGTGAAGTTTGTGTGACGAAATACAAACATCCCAGAAGCGAGCCAGATATATTGCCACTGGAAATATCCTGGTGTATGTGCAATTGAACGTTCGCCTTCGTGCTTATACATAAATTCAACCAACCAGAGATCGAAATCATTCAACCGGCTAATGTCTTGCGAATCTGGAAATTTTGATACAAGCAATAATACTCCCTATCATCAGATGTCTTCAATTGCAGAAGATGCATTGAGCTGGGATGATGTCTGTGAAATTTAGAAGAGCGGCTGCATACGTCTCGTCAATTCCCAAAGGCCATATATTCCGCGATGGCTCGATACTATACTCAACCAATTACTAGGAAGATCATACTCCAACCGCATCTCCGTCGGATACCGTCTCAATTTTGCAGACCTGCAGAGAATGTATATGAGACAGCTTCAGATCAGACTCATAAATATCGCGGCGGCCCAGCAGTTTAGGGAGGCAAATAAAAATGACCTGCCACTGCGCGAGTTGGCAAAACTAGGTCCGATCCTAAAGAGATCCGGTAGGACCATTCGGTCGTTTTGTCTACATATACGTAGCCTTTCTTTGATGGCTTCAAGCTAACAGGCTTACAGCACAGGCAGCGCAAGATCACGAGTACATGAGCCGATTTCACAACAGCCCGGACGACCCATTTATTGCGGCCAGCGAGCGAATCCACGATGACATATATCTCAAATCCGCCATTACGCTCCATGGCAGAGTGGCATCCGATGTAGCTCCTGTGGAAACAGCAATCCCAACAGGGCCATGGGAGGATAGACATAAACAGAGTGTGAAGCCCATTGCGAGCACGAGAGGCGAAACTCGGAAGAAGGCATTCTCATCACGAATTGGAGGGGCCGTGATTGGAGGAACCTTTTTTATTGGGCCGATGTGGCTAACTGCGCTTAAACAAGAGATATATCTTAGCCTTGGTGTAACCACGGGTTGTGTGGTTGCGTTCGGCTTGCTTATGGCATCGTTCGTAGGATCACTGGAAGCTGTTTTCGCAGCTACATTTGCCTACGCAGCCGTCCTCGTGGTATTTGTTGGTGTTATGATGCAAAATATGAGCTCTAGCAGTTGATACAGTTGGGGCCGAAACAAGTGTCCGCCTTTTTCATTGTAAAGTTTCTCTCCGCACGGACGAATGTTGTAGAACAGTAGCTAGTATGGTACGAGGTTCTTCTACCGTTTTAGGACAGTCTTAATTGTTCTGTTCGTTTTTTGGATAAAGTGTCTCCTGACGTTTTAACCCTCGGCACGCCTATATATTTTCAGCCTTTTAAGTCTATGCTTTTTTTTCTTACCCGTTACTTTAAATAATGATACTAGTAATAATATGTACTGCAGTTAGTATAAACAGTTATTCTTTATTCCAGCCGTCCTTGGTTGAGCCGCGGTCGCCCAACCAATCTGATCAACTATCTCGTAATTAGTCTATTGCATTATAGAAGCAGTTTTCATGTGCGACCTTTCTTGGCTGTCATATGTTAGCGAGGGCTAACCAGAAAGACGGTGACCATAAAATGAATAAGTGCATACATGGATAGTAAAAGCACTATTGCGAGGCGTGTGGCGCAGTGTAGCGCAATACTGTGTCTTTCTGTATGCTGATCAATTCTCAATTCCCTCCTTTTCTAATCTCCAGTTGGTCGAGTCATGGCAATATAGAAACAGAACCGATTTCTTTCTTAACTGGTCCTAATCTACAGAAAACCGCATTACTAGTACCCGATCTGATATACACCCAATGGCAACTGTAGCCCCAAACACAGCTGATGCATCTGATCGATACTCTTGAGGCAACCAAACCAGAGGCTCATCATCTTTTGTAATCCATGTTCCATTAGAGTTTATGCTATAGTGATGAAAGTCTGTATCCCCTGATAATACGTCGGGTGGTGTCTTTATAATAGGGGCGTTAATTTTTAGGACTCCAAGATCAGTAATAAGATGCGAGTCATCTGTTGCGTCGAATGCTATATCTCCACCAGGCCAACTATCAGGAAAAGTCTGAAGACAATTGCCTGACTTTACATCCCAGACTTTAATTGTCCCATCATCTGAGCCTGAGGCGAGCCGCTGACTATCATGTGAGAAGACAGCTAAGTTCTTTAAGTAATCAAGGCCCTCAAGGATCTGCTGACAGGAGCCTGACTTTACATCCCAGATCCTAATTGTATCATCATATGAACTTGAGGCAAGCAGCTGGCCATTAGGTGAGAAAATAACTGAAAATACGTCGTCCTCATCGCACTCTAGGGTTTGTAGATCGGCGGCTGACTTTATATCCCAGACTCGGACTGTAGTATCCTCTGAACCTGAGGCGAGCTGCTTGCCATCAGGTGAGAAGACAACTGACTTTACCCAGAGAGTATGGCCCTTAAGAATGTGCAGACAGGCGCCTAACTCTGCATCCCAGACTCGAACTGTATCATCCTCTGAGCCTGAGACGAGCTGCTGGCCATCAGGTGAGTAGGCAACTGACAATACCGGACCATCATGGTCCATAAGAGTCTGCAGACAGGTGCCTAACTTTATATCCCAGATCTTAATTGTCTGATCAGATGAACCTGAGGCAAGTCGCCGGCTATTAGGGCAGGCACTAACTGAATGTATCGAGTTATCATGGCCTTTAAGAGTCCGCAGACAGATACCTAATTTTATATCCCAAACTTTAATTGTATCATCAGATGAACCTGAAGCAAGCTGCTGGTTATCAGGTAAGAAAATGACTGATAATACTGGGTTAGTATGACCCTCAAGAGTCTGCAGGTAGGTGGACTTTATATCCCAGACCTTAACCATGCCACTCCATAAACCTAAAGCAAGCTGGCCAGTAATTGAGAAATTAACTGAGTATACTTGGCTATCAAAGCTCTTAGAGGTCTGTAAATAAAAGTGGCCTAAGTTTATATCCCAGACCTTAACTATACCATCCGCTGAACCTGAGGCAAATTGCTGGCCATCAGGTGAGAAGGCAACTGATAATACTGAGTTATCGCACTCAAGGGGCTGTATACAGGAGCCTGATTTTGCAGCACAGACCCTGACTATACCATTCCTTGAGCCTGAAGCAAGCTGCTGGCCATCAGGTGAGAAGACAACTGAGTTTACCGAGTCGTAATGGCCCTCAAGAGTCCGCAGACAGGGACCCCAGCCTGCTTCTACAGCTGGCTTTAATAGCATCCATGACGGCTCTTCATCCTTGAATATTTTTCGTATTTCACTCTGTAGAGGGCTGAAGATAAGAGCAGACACGTATACTTGGAGGGGCGTAGATTCAATCGCCTCTATATGCCGAGAAATAAATCGTCCGGCATCTTGTACCAAACTTAAAACTTGGCTCTGAGGCGTATGCTCCTACTCTAGTTAGTATATGTATATACTGAATCTGATTGTGGAAACTAGCCTCAAGTAGGTCTGTAATCCTTGCTATTGCAAGGATGCCTTCTGGCATATATCGCAGAAGACTTAACGCCTCTAGCCAGTGGAGAAAATGATGGCGCAGGAACATATCAACTAAGCCTCCTACTTGGAGAGCATCCCTCGGATTATGGCCAATATCGCAGTCACAGAGGTGGTCAATCCAGTAGACACACGAGTACCGTACCGCGATTAGGGGATCTGGGTTATATAGTTGGATTTCGTCGACGTGATATCCAGGAGTGCCCAAGCAGTATATATCACGTCGTAACGTGTTATACATAGATTGGAGCGATTGAGAAAAAATAGTATAATGAATATCGCTTGGGCTAGATGCGGAGATAGTAGACCAGACCTTGTCTGTAGTTAAGTAATCTTTTGCTGATTGATGCACAAAATAGATCGTATTGCCACGGATGGTGAGAAATGAACCGCAGAGACGTATTATTTCTGCAAATGACGAGATGTCTTCTGAAAATTCCTTAGGGTATCCAATAAGAGAATGAAGTTCATGTAAAGTAACTGGCCGGTAGACAGTCGATACCATAGTGAGGACTTGCTTGCAGAGAAGCACATCATAATCTTCGACCAATTTGAGTATCTGGTCTACCATCCTCTCATAGAGAGAATTAAGACCTTGTGGGTAAGATTGAAGCTTGTCGAGTACCCTCCCACTTCTGATATTATTAAGACTCTGACACACTAAGGCTGCCCAAAGAAATGTATTGTTGGCTTGAGAAACTAAGTGTTGTTCGGTGGTTTCTCGTATAATATCAGTATATCCGTGCTTTTGCGCCAAAAGGTTTACCTTGTAATGGATATAATTTTGAACAGCAGCAGAGACGTAAGCTTCATTCGACTCGAGGCGTAGTCTGATACTTTGCTTAAAATTTTCAAATTCATACTCGATGATAGGCCAGTTGCGACTTGACACAATCCACTTAGCGTAGGAGGCCGAGGAAATCTCCTTAATAAGGTGAAGAAGGCGTGGAAGTTCTTCTGTACACTCATCGAGAGCGTCGATAAGCAAGACCACATCTTTAAGACTAGGATCATTAAGTATCGACTTTAATATCTTAGATAGAGCTGTCCAGGCATTCCTATCTTCAAACAGCGCTTTGCCTGCGGGACCGTGCTTCTCCTGCACATGAGAGATAAGAGATGGTTGTTGAATAACGAGGCTGTAGATAAGCCCCCGCAGCACAGCCGTCGCACTTTGTAGTCCTGTTTCAGTTGCCTGGCAAAAGAAGTATGATAGGTGATATGCTGCGAACTCCTCTAGTTCGTTGATAATACCGCATAGCAGCATAGTCTTTCCCTTGCCAGGGTCCCCTGTAATCCAGAGTAGCCGACACTGCGGATCGTTACGCCACGTCTGAAAGTCGGCATGTTCCAAGATCCAGCAGTACGAGTCCTTAAGCAGGTTACCTTTGGTCTCTTCAATGCGCGTTTTGTCATCGCGGGGATCGGTGATTCGTAAATCTGCCAGGCAAGGGTCTGCTTGACCAGGCGCGTGGCTGTCGTGGTTGTGGATATCGCCTTGATGGATGATAGCATTATTGCCAAAAGTATTATTCGTAATACCGCGGGAACGTGACGTCGTTGAATCCATTATGGTTGAAAGACTCCGAAAGTTATAATGTCAAATTGCTAATGGCTTTATATTAGAGATGAGGCCTTTGAGTGTAGATTTGAGAAACATGCAACGGCTGCAGATACCTTAACCCCTCACCTATAAAAGATATTGATTGGCCATGTGACCGCCTTGGTATCTCACAAATCTTTCTTCATCAAGAGATAAAGTACCTAGGCTGGCAATCCGACTTTGTGTGTTTAATCAATAATACCAGAAGCAAGATTTAAATACACGATAATGATAGAACAGTTTTGAATAGAATAACTGAGACGAATATCCCATATCGATAATATTAGCTTGATTAACGAGCTTCACGCGCAATCATTCATATAATGATATCCATTGCTGCGGCCGATCTGGAGACCAGCTTCTCGTTCTCGTGCGGGGCAGTGCCGTGTTGATGTACATATCTTTCTACATGTAATTTTTTCCGAACATCGCGCGGTCTGCAGCTACATGCCTATTTGAACTATTTTCGGAGGCTAATTTTCGTCATATTATAACTATTAACTAAGTTTTGCCGCAGCGCAGCAGGTTACAGCGTTATTTATACATGGTGATGAAAAGAGCCTGTTCTGGCGCTTCTTGGATGGACTGGCCAAATTGTTGCTGGCTACATGTATATGACGGTGGGACATCTTGATGATAAGATATCAGTTATTAATGCCTTACGTCATAAAGATCAATTTCGGCCATCGATATGGCATTTATCCTGAGGATACTCAATTCGGTTGCTACTGTATTAGAGCATGTGGAACAGATTTACTTAAGGTTACAGTAAGTAGTAATTTCTCCGAAAGTTGAAACAAAAAAAAACGGTGAAAAGTCAACTCAATCTATTTTAAGGTTCATGATGCTTAAAAGACAACTTTGTCCGCAGGAATGCCAAAGCTTCATGGAGAGCTTATCTTCAGATCAACCTCCCTTATTGTTAATGGATACTGCCGATATTAGTGGAGCATCAATTGAGAGTGCAGATCAAACTTGAGCAAAAAAAGTTGAAGGTTGCACCCAACGTTCCAGACCAGGCATTCCAGAACGCTTCTCGCCCAAGCACGTTCCATGCTGCGCGTATCTCGGATGTTCCGAGAGCAACAGATCGTGCCTTGGGCACATGGTAGCAAAGCGACGACAGGCTTGACAGGGCTGTCTCAGCTCCACCCATTGTGTTTCTCTGTCCTCTCTCTTTTCAATAGTTGTGTTGGGTCTCGGGCCCGCTAAGCAGACGACAGACGAACACATGCCGACGATTCTCGACCTTGATGTCTCAACAGAGTAATACGGAGGATTACGTCCTCGTTGTTTTCGCCCCCTCAACAACAAAGAGGCAAAGTAGCAGCTACTAGTGCCGCCACCGCATCAAAAGAAGCTGTGGCTGACAACGTAGGGAAAAAATGAGGCGCCCGCATCGGAGACGACGAAAGATCAACCGTGTATCGCCGGCTCTTTACGGGACGGCACAACCGAGAGGAGGGTGTGTGTACATAGATTGTGGCACTGCCGGAGCCCGCCACAACCGCTGAAGACGCGGCATCAAAGGCCTTGGCGAAAGTATCAAGCGCCTTTTCGATACAGATCGCCAAGGTCTAGAGACGAGACCCGGTCCAAGCCCGGACCGGTACAGAGAAGAGTTGAGATTGTGTCTACGGGCATGTCATCCGGGTTTATGCCGGTGCAATAGGAGAGCATGAAGTCATCTTGGGACGGAAGTGCCGAGGTCGGTACGGAGTACAGAATTGTGTTATCGGTGCATAAATCCGTGCAGATTACTCGTGCATGGTCCAGGTCCAAGTCATGGCAAAACGTTCCATTGCTTCCAGGTCATCCAGGGCCCAGATCCGTGGCCGATCGACAGCGACTGACATGCGCACCGGATCCGGTTGCAACTCCTACGGACCTTTGCAGAGTCGCAGTGCTATTAGGACGCTAACCGTGGCGTGCGACATCCGGCGAGTCAGCTTCTGCTGATTGTGGCCGAGGACTGCGCGGATTGCTTCGGCGACTCGGCATTTCTGTGTCGCTGCCAGAACTAAATAGAAAAGTTGTCGCATCAAACGCCACACCAAACGGAATGCGGCATGGAGGTTTCACGCCAGATAAGGGACGTCGGAAGAGGGCGAGACAGAGAGACAGAGACGTCTTTTTGTTGAGACATGCCGCGCGCAGCAAAGACGGTCTGGGTCTGCTTCCGGCCGCGTACGAGTACAATCACGAGCTCGTGAGAAAACGGAGCACGACACGAGAGACAAGACATCCGCGGGCTTGGATCCGAATCCCTGGACACATCCGGCTTACTAAACTGTCTCGCCGTCTCCGCTCTCTTCTGACATTGCCTGTCCTAGCACCCTCAGCGTCTGACAGATGAAAAAGTTTGATTCAGCAAGATATAGGAGAGCCGAAGAGGTAATTAAACATGCATACGGTATCCTGTACTCCGTACAGTCGATGCAACGCAACGCTGTGCCGGCAGTGGCCAACATGGATTTTCCTTCCTGGTGGCGTTCCAAGGTTCTGGCGCCAGATCATGGCTGCAGTACCAAGGAAATTAAAATCTCGGAGGGCAGAGTTAGCGGCGCCTCCGCAAATCTACGCGCTCGCTGCCAGTGCCATTATGGCCGTCGGGTAGGACGATGGCGCCCATTTCGGGGAATTGGACTCTTGGTTGGCGTAGAGCTACGAAAAGTTCCGCCATGGGGGGGGGGGGGGGGGGGGGGGAGATGGAAGAGAATCAGGAGGTCGCTAAAAAACCGAGCCAGAACAGCGCCCCCCTTCTAAAACAGGCCGCTAAAATTGGGAAGCGCTGCAAACAAGGCCATTCTCCGGGCTGCAGCTCCATACTGACTTCATTTTCAGTGGGGACTGCGGGAACCCCGGGCTGGGGAATTGCAGCTGGCACAAATTCCTGGAGATTCTGGAGTCGGCCAGGCCCAATTTACTGCTGGCCGGGCCAATCCCAGCCGCAAGCAGCTCGCGTTGTGGCCCTGGTTGTTTGGCTGCTGCCTTCGTGGTTTCTGCTCCGCTCGAGAAAGGCCGAGCGCTGGAGTCGCCACTGGGGGCGCTCCGTAAAGGGAACACGGACTGTGGTACACAGTAATAGTACCGTAATGCTGATCCAGTAATGTGCTGGAACATTGCATGCTTGTACAAAGCCCTGACTAGCAGCAGTTCGCAGACAATTGCCCTTGATCCATGAGCGGTTTTCCCTCAGTCCCCTTTAATAGTCGTCGATCTGCTCCCGCCGCGCCTGCGCTGGTTTTCCCGTCCATCGTGGCGCCAAAGCTTCTTCAGCCATTTGCAAACTCTAAGCCCTGGGCTTGAAACAATACACTTGATGTGCTCGGAATAAAAGCAGCCGACACCCCTCGCCTCTGTTACCTACCTATTGTGATACTCGAGCGCTCTACGCGGCTACAGTCACAACTGCATACCTGCATACCTGCATCCAAAGTACCTGCATACACATCATCAGCATCTCGTTGCTCTCGAATCGACCTCGCCTTCTACTACACAAACCCAGCATCTACCTCATCGCATCACAATGGCTATCCGGGACCGGTTTCGTCGCGCCATGCGCAGATCCGACGACTCAGACACCATTTCTCAGACAGACTCAAATACCACCGACTCATCGGCCAGACAAAGCTCCAGCTCCGAATCGGCGCCCCAGCTGTCGCTGAAAAAGACCAGCTCGGTGCTGTCAAGGCTATTCAAGGACACCAAGGAGAAGGAGGCCAAGAAGGAGGAAAAAGACCGCAAGAAGACCAAGGGCAGAACCTGGAAGCACCCCAGCGAAAAGCCCCTGACGGAGCAGAACCTCAAGCACCAGGAGATGCTCAGCCATTTCACCATGACTTTTGGCGCCAGCGATCCAACGCAGGTTCAGGAGCTCGACTTTGACGGAATCAGCCCGTGCTGCACTCGCAACTGCAGCATCGACCTTGGATCGCCAGACAGCATCTGATCTGAGCGTCTGCAATATGCACGATACGTTGCCGGGAACCGATGCTTATGCGACTTGCGACCGGAAATTTTCCCCATTCGCCAAGTCGGCCGGCTATAATGGCTATATGCACGCATCGCATCGATTCACACTTTCGGTACCTGAACAGCTACACGACAAACTCGTGCTGTTTCAACACCCCTTGACTGGGAAAAAAAATTCAATATCACCATCCCTCGACGACTTTACTCCTTCTTCGACCTTGTCTTATTTTACCTCGATTTTTCGACCCCCTTTTTCTCCTACTTTTCGCTGTTTTAATATCCACGATGCGGAGGAGACGCCACCTACACCTGCGCTAAATACCGGTGCCAAGCGTACCTGCATGAGGGGACAGATCTAGATCTCTGCTAGACCGTCGAGCCTCATGTGACCACTGCTTTTTTTCATTTCCTTGATTCAACAATATTCTTTCTTAGTGCAACCCGCATTTCGGCTCCGGCACGGGATTCGCGCGTTCACCTTGTGTTATGTTTTATCACGACGCAAATGGCTATGACGATGGGGGCGGCTTTTACAGCTAGATACGTGGGTTTCTGGCATCTTTCTCGGCTTTTCATTTGTTTATTACGGAATTGGACACATTCTACACAGGTACCATGCTTGCTGTAGACGGATCATGGCGTTGGTTGGAAACACTCGACATAGCTCGAGCAATTGGGTTACATACACGGTACAGAATATGTGCTCGTATTTTTGACAGCTTTAGACATTATTTTAATGGATTTCAGTAATTACTTACATTTTGATGCCGTTGGCCCAGTGAAAGTAACCTTGGGAACCTTATCTAGCTTTAGCTACTGCGTATTAAAAGAAGCATACTACCAAGGTACCCTCTTAACATTGTAGTTCACGAAAGCCATGGCGGTTTCACAACTTTCAAAATTCCCCCCTACAAACTTCAGCATTCACTTATACATCAATACCGCCGGCACTATGAATGTAACCATATCTTGTAACTCTTGTTATACTCTGCCACAGCATTGAGCCATGGAAGCCACGGCGTTTCTTACCACTTTTACTCCGTACTCTGCGCCATAATATTCCCAACACGAGTCCCCGAATTACAGCTACCTTCCAATATGTACCGCTCCTTCTTTCGTAACTACTGGGTATGATCTCTTCATTTTTTTACTTTCTCCCGGCACCTTGAATCTCTCCTCTTCCAAATTAATTTTGCACTGCCTATTCGCGATGAAAACTTTTTATATTGGAAACTTCAGGTCTCCACCAGCCAGCTGGCACTTGGCAAGCATCCTATAAAGCTGGCAGGTGCCTTCCTTCCCGGCTTGCACAACTTCGTCACTACCCAGAGTCTGAGAATCTGTCCTCTGAAAAGATTTTTCAATGGCTGCAGCCTTATCTGTGAGACTTTAATCTTGCATCGGCAAACACTCTCCCATCCACTAACTATCTACAGGTTGACTTACCGTTGACGGCTCGCCATCTATCATGCCGGCAAAGTCCTTCTTCGATCTCAAGACTAGGGCGGTGCCGACGAGGTATAGCTTGTCCAAGAACATCCAGGACCTGCTCATAGCCCTCGACGACTTCCATCACGGATCCATCGACGCGGTAGAGATTGGCAGACTCGTGCGCTTGAGTCCAAATCGTAGGGCGGCCATTGCCAATACTATCACGAAATGTGCAAACATCCTCAAGAGTCAGCCTACGGAGGTTGCCACCTGCGTAGATGTCATCGAAATGTGCACAGAGCTTCTCGAGATTGCAGGTTAGTTGAGAAACATTTGTGACGCGTCCTCTTGGCGACGTCTTGTCTTCACATACTAACGACATGTACATAGACAGGAAGCCCCCGATTGACGGATTCCCCTTTTTTCGGCTGCCGGTAGAGATACGAGAACGAGTCTTCACTCTCATGATAGACAACATCTTCCGCACCAAATCTATCTTGCCAGCAAACAACAAGATCGGCAACTGCAAGTGTCCTCGATTCGAGCGAGATAACACGTTTCAGACGTCTCAAATGAAGGACCTAACAAATATCTTCGGCCCCAATCTAATTACTCTCGAGTTTTTCCGAGTCTTTTTTCGCACCAAGACGTTTCGATTCCGATGTCCCTGCGAACTGCGAACGCACTTGACGAACAACGGCATGTTCTTTGACAATGTGAGGAAGATTGTGGTTCAGTGGAGCGGTCCTGAGGCGGCAATGGCATTTAAGCAATTGAAAAAGGTTCCCAAGCTTAAGAGCCTGGGAATCGTCATCTCTAGGCTTACATACATCCACCTCAACGAACGATCGGCCACAATGAAGAACTACTTCCCTCTGGCATACAAGAATACACGACTATCAGACATCCTCGGCCTAGACGAGCTTTTAGAAATACGCGGACTTAATCTGGTCGAAGTCATGCTTGCACATTCTTCCAGAGGTGGCACTCAGTCACACGAGATGGATCGGGCAAACCTCTTGGAACTTTTATCTGGCAGACTGACGAGGCCAAAGGGGGTAAATCTTCAACTTCTGACTTTCTATTATGAGCAATCATCTAACGGCATATAGGACGATTATGATGTGGAGCTGGAATGAGAGAGAGAATGAGCTAAGAAATAATGGACGCACGAATCTGAATCGCATTAATCGCATTAATCGGGAAATGGTACCAATGGCATAGCAAGCGAATTAGGGTTTTTTTTTTTTTTTTTTTTTTTTTTTTTTTTTTTTTTTTTTTTTTCTTTGGTTGGTTCGGCTGATCATTTGGGATGTGTTGATTTTCTTAGGATCCCAGGAGTGTAACAACCGGGCGGGTGAACAGATAGAACAGAGTGAGTGAACAAGGGTGGGCTTAATGGATAGAGGTCAAGGTTATGGATCACGACGACCAATGGGTTCAACGTTATAGAGGGGTGTATATGGCATGTAACAACAGATAAATTACGAAAAGCCTCCACAAAAGAATAAAGACCTCGTACTCAAAAAACGTTGTGGTTGTTCTTGTCTTATACTCATACAAAGTATGGGCATCCGGCTCAAGATCAGCAGGCGAGGACACACTGGTCGAGCAATGGCAAAAGACGATGTGATGGCATCTACATGGTGAAGATGTATCTACGAGGCACTTACCGTTCGAGCATGATGTTTTCGAAGCACTAGCTTGAAGAATAGGCTCGTTGTTAGTATATGTAAGCTCCGTGTCATATCGTGACGATGGCTCCTAGACTTGCGAGCGACGACTGTGGAGGAGAGCAGGGCAAAAAAATTCTTTACTTGATTGCTATGGAGAAATTTGAGGGTGTAAATATACACACGCACTGTAAAAAAACACGGTGCTGATATTCTTCGGTTCTGCTAGTCACGTGGGTTCTGCACGTGATTGCTTACGTTGGCAGGTCGCTGTGCGTGCCCTACTTTGTGCCCCCACAAGGGCCGAAAATTCCACCATGTTTAGCGAGTCCTGTGAAATCCTCCGCCCTCTCTTCTTCAACCCGAACAATCGATTCTAACGAGCAGCACGGCAACGTCCCATACAGTTGCCCAGCATGTCGCTCGTCACGGGAGAGAAGACGAACTTCCAGTTCGTAAGTGGTTTCCAATTCATCGCGGACAAAACGTTTCCAGCTGCTACGAAATTTACGCGGTGTGTCGATGTCATCATCGCAACGAACAAAAATTTCCGGAGCACTTGGGGATGGTTTTGCGGCGGCCTGGGAGAAGGGGGAAGAGATGCTTGAAAGAAACGTTGTGGGCTAACAGTCATTGTCTCGTCTAGATCTTGCGTCTTCTTAACACCAATGTTGACGGAAAGCAGAAGGTTATGTACGCCTTGACCAAGATCAAGGGTGTCGGTCGCCGATACTCCAACTTGGTCTGCAAGAAGGCCGATGTCGATCTGAACAAGCGGTACGAAAATTCACCAATCCATGGACTTTGTTGGCGGAGGCTGCGAGTCGAAAAATCACAAAAAAGGGAGATTGGAAAACTAACAAGAATTCAATTATAGCGCCGGTGAGCTTACCTCCGAAGAGCTCGAGCGTATTGTCACGATCATCCAAAACCCTACCCAGTACAAGATCCCCGGCTGGTTCTTGAACAGACAACGCGACATTGTTGACGGCAAGGACTCTCACATCCTGGCCAACGGTGTCGACTCCAAGCTCCGTGAGGATCTGGAGCGCCTCAAGAAGATCCGCGCCCACCGTGGTCTCCGACACTACTGGGGTCTCCGTGTCCGTGGTCAGCACACCAAGACTACCGGTCGTCGTGGCCGGACTGTCGGTGTCTCCAAGAAGAAGGGTGGCTAATGGTTTTACTGTTTTCGGTCTGGGGTGGACAGGCGTGACGGCTGGGTTTTTCATCACTGTGATGAGCATTTCCATGGGATTGCTTTCTGGCATACGCAGCTGGTGCTGTACTCTAGATCAGAGTCAAATGAATTAAAAGCATTTTCAAAGCGTTACCATTATGGTGTTCACATTTAAAATATACTGGTGATGAAATCCCGCCGTAGCCGTAGTTTCCGACATGTACACGCCTTCATGACATGGGGGGAAATTAAGTAAAAAAAAAAGTTACGACTAATGAATTTATTTCTCCTTTAGAAAACCGCGTTACAGTCCATTGGCCTCGGGTATCATTTTATTCCTTTTTTTAGTCCTATCTGAAATTTCTGTGCTTTAATCCTCATGTGTGACTGCCATATCCAAAACTTCGACTCTGCCTTGGCCCTTAGTCTCGTTGCCAATGAAATCAGACAGAGCCTTGAAAGCGCCCGGCTCAACAAAGCCCACAACTTCCCATTCCGAGCCCATGACGTCCTGGCTCTCAACCTGCTCGACGTAGCCCAAAATCCGATCCTTGACTGTGCCGGCTGCCTTTGCTTCGCCGTCCTCCTCTTTTGCGGCGGCCTTGGGCGCTTTGACCGCTTGCTTGAGAACATTGGTAGAGCATGAGACTCGGAGCTTCATCCTGGCCCGTGCGACAGGGATGGGCTGATATGCGATGAGGGCCTTCATAGCGTCAAGGGCCTGGCTCTTTGCGCTCTTGGTGGTGACAACTCCCGTCCACGTGTGCTCGCGAGTCTTGGGTTTGGCCTCACCGGCCTCTGACGTCGTCGGCGTTGCGGTTCCCGAATCCGTCGTCTTTTCCCCGTTGTGCGCCTGCGAGCTCAGCATATCCAGAGCCTTTTCGATCATGCCGGGCGTGTACACTCTCTTCGTCCGCGGGTCGACAAGCTTGCTAACCACAATACTGATGACCTCATTATGCACCCGTTCTAGCTGCGCCGCGCGCTCTTTATCGCCCACCTGCAGCTCTCCCTTTTTCAGGATCTCGAGGACGATGTCGTCGGTAGATTTGCCCTTGCCAAAGGCCTTTTCGAGGTCCTCCTTTGGCGCGGTCTGGCCCTTGGAGACGTTGAGGAAGACGTTTGGGATCTGAAGGACGTTGTCGAGGTCGGTCTCGATGCCGGAGCGCCATTCAAGGACTTTGTTCTTGTAGCAGGCGATTTCGAAGCGCTTCTTGCCCTTTTTCAGGCGCACGAGCGAGACGTTTGTGAGCTTGATCTGGTTGGAGGGGAGGTTGATTCGAGACATGTTTGCGAAGAATTATCGGGTTTGTGTCGTGAAATGCTGGGAAGAACAAAAGCAGAAATTAGACAAGAAAAACAAGGTCAAACGCTGTATGAAGGAAACGGGTGTTGATTTTGCTGCTGTTTGCAAAGGTCGTGCAAGAAAAAAAAAGAAGACGTCAGTTGGATATAAATGTCAAGGCTAGCTGACTGGCAGAGCCTTGGCGGGGGATTATCCATGTACTCGTACCTGAGGATGACAAATGCGGACCTGGCTTATACTGGATCTGGGCGATGATGTCTTGCCACCTCTGGTTCCTTGCTTTGGCCTGAGCAGTGGTTTGGTAATGAGAGCCACACGGGAACGCCTTTGAGAAAGAGAATCTTCTACAATCAATGGCATTCCACTGCAAGTTTCTGCTTTCTCAGTGTATTTTTGGATTACCGCGCTGAACACCTGCCAGATGAGCGGCTGTATTGCACCGCTGTAGAAATGCCCCAATCTAGCTTAGCTGCAGGTGTATTTTCCCTCCGCCTGGTCATATTTGGAAGCTGATGCACACACTTTGAACTTTTTTTTTCCATCTGCGCTACCCCACCAAGAATGCGAAGCAGCCTTGCAAAACACCCTGGCCTTTGAATTCCTGCTCTGCTGATAATCTTCTGGTAGTGCCCCGCCTTTGAGAGTGTTGAGTCACAAAGAGTCACAGGAGGGTCTTGGGAGTCATAGAATCCGCATAAGCATTGTCGTGTTGGATTGGATCTGCTTTGTACAAGAATTTATTCACGACACTGTTCTTTTTCGAAGACATTCAGACTATAGCTAAAAATGGCCGACGCTACGACTGCCCCGGCCGTCGAGGACGCAACGGGTCATGCCCACGCCACTACCGGCAAGCAGGACATCAACCCGTGGTCCGTCTCTGGAGAGGTCGGCGAGGATGGCAAGGTCAAGGCCATCGACTACCGAAAGCTCATTGACGAGTTCGGCACCAGCTTGATCGACGATGCGCTGCTGGAGCGCTGGGAGAAGGTGACGGGCAGCAAGCCGCATCGCTTTATGCGCCGTGGAATTGTCTTCAGCCACAGAGATCTTACGGCGATTCTTGATCGTTATGAGAAGGTATGAGGAGATGGATGATGCTGCAATGCCCCTGCTTGTGGGATGAGATCCTGTTTCTGACGCAGTTTCACAGAATGAGCCCTTCTTTCTTTACACTGGACGAGGCCCCAGCAGTGACAGCATGCACATTGGACATACCCAGGTGTTTGACTTTGTCAAGTATGAGTTTCATGAAGACCTTGACTTGGGGCGAGTGTTCTAATGTGTTGTCGCAGGTGGCTTCAGGATGTGCTTGATGCCCCCCTGATTATCATGTTGACAGATGGTGAGTTATCTCTACCTATGTGTGTTTTCATTGAGTTGCAGAAGAACTAAGTCTTGTGTATGCAGACGAGAAATTCCTTTTCTCAGAAAAGCGAACCATTGAGGAGGTTATGAGCTACACTAAGACCAATGCCAAGGACATCATCTCTGCTGGCTTCGACATGAAGAAGACATTCATCTTTTCGGATTACGATTTCATCGGCGGTGCTTTTTATAGAAACATTTCGAGATTCTCCAAGAGAGTCACTTTCAACGTGGCCAAGGCCGTGTTTGGCTTCGACGGAAGGTGAGTTGTAATCGGAGTGTTTAGATTGCATGAACAGCATGTCACTAACCCTCTCCTCCCCCCCCTCCAGCTCGAATATCGGCAAGATTCACTTCCCCAGTATTCAGGGTGCCACATCCTTCGCCTCGTCGTTCCCCCACATCTTTGGCGATGATGAGAAGAAGACAGCCAAGATCCCCTGCCTGATTCCTTGCGCCATTGATCAGGACCCCTACTTCCGTTTGACGCGAGACTGTGCCGTGAGCCTTCGCTACGCCAAGCCCTCTCTGGTGCACATGAGATTCCTGGATGCCCTGCAGGGCCCGGGCTCCAAGATGTCAGCCAGTGACGACACCTCTGCCATTTTCATGAAGGACTCGGCCAAGGACATCAAGAACAAGGTCAACAAATACGCCTTCTCAGGAGGCCGCGAGACTGTTGAGGAGCACCGTGAGAAGGGAGGCAACCCGGATGTTGATGTTTCATACCAATATCTGCAGTTCTTCTTGGAAGATGACGAGGTTTGTGGCCCATGCGTAACTGCCTGGAACAAGGTTTACTAATACGACGAATTTAGGAATTGGCCAAGATTAGAGCGGATTACCTAAGTGGCAAGCTTCTGACTGGCGAGGTGAGTTCTTCGTATAAACCCCTATTCCTTGCCGTCAATATACTAACCGGCACGTGAACAGCTCAAGGCAATTTGCATTGCGAAACTCCAGGAGTACGTCGGCGCCTTCCAGGAGAGAAGAGCCAAGGTAACGGACGAGGTCGTGAAGCAATTCATGGCCATCCGCCCGCTGGAATGGCAGGGAAACCCCAATGTCCCCCGCGCGGATCTTGTTGTGCCAGTGGTTAAGGCGGATGAAGCCGCACCCTCGACTGAAGGCGGAGCCGAGAAATTGACCAAGAACCAGCTGAAGAAGTTGCTCAAGGAGCAGCAGATTGCGGCGAAGAAGGCTGAGAAGGCGAAGCAGAAGGAGGAGGGAGCGGCGGCCAAGGCTGAGGAGGGCAAATAGACGATGTCTTTGTCTAGGGTATGCATTGTTATAAACCAAAATAAAATTGAAATAAAAATGTTAAACATGGCTTGCAAGTATTGCTCTGTACGCCGGTGATAGTCTAACGTCGCGGGTGGAAAGATTTATGATGCGATATTACCCCTGAGAGGATGTAGCAAGTATATCGTTCAGCATTGTTGTGTTATATATCTTTGTTGATATCAGCAACCCAATCTATTAAAAAGGACCCCACGGCAAGAAATATGGGTTATAAATATGAGACCAAAATATATCTTTCTCTACTTTTGTTACAGGGGCTTCATACTGTACATCACCACGTATAGATACCCAAGTTGCCCAACTGTGAGGCCTGACAAAGCAATGTTGATACTCGTACTCGTACTGTACCTCTTCACCGCGTCTGCTGGAGTTTGCTAGATTGAGTGCTGATTGGGGCCACGTGAACGGTACGAGCCGGGGCCTGAGAGCCTCCACACCGGATACGGCAATATGTGGGGGCTATCAGTATCCCGGGGGGACCTTTGTTTTGCATGGATAGCACGGAGTACTTTGGCCGTGGTGGGCGTTACAGATACAAGCACGGAGTGTGAAGCCCTCCCTAAAGTACAGCAGAGTCTAAGGAGACGTGAGACTTGGTGGGTATGAGACCTGTAGAGTAGATGCCAATAGCGGCTCTATTCTATTTGCAGCATATCCAGGCACCTACCAGCCTTTGTATTGTCTCGCTCCTTCACCTCTCGTGCCAATCGCCTGAGGGCGCCATCAAGGGACTCGGACTCGGACAGTGCCGGACTCGAAGTTCCGTAACCGGCGAAGGGGCTGATGCGCTAACAGCCAGCAGCGCTCCTGCAGTGGCTATCTGTTACCCGACTCCTGCGGCAACGGCGAGGGGTCACAGTGCGCCTGGCCAACACTAACGACAGGTACATGGCAGTGTCTGGGCACAATAATGCGTTAGGCAAGGTGCCTGACTTTCCCCGGGCTTGAACCAAGAGGTTGGGCTGCCTGGCGACTCTCGCATA